TTGATACAATTTATATACCGCCGAAGGCGGTCGGGGGTGTGTCTAGGTACAAGTTGGGTGTAGGACTACCTAAGTAGGAGCGTATATAAAGGTGTGAACAGATCACGTCCGAGTCGGAACCTAACCAGGATCGTAAAGTACAGATGCCTTGGTCCAGGCATCTATCTGATGTGGTGGCTGTCGAGAATTGATGCTTTGGTCAGATGTCCAAGAACACAGCTGGTGATACATCTCCATTCTCCAACACCTTGCTCCAGGCGCGACCGCCGCTTCTTTGCCTATTCTTTCAATGACCCATCATTTATGCATTGCAACCGTTCTTCTCATTGCCTGTTTGATTGAGCAACGGAAAGGTACGGACTCAATTTTCCGATTGCATTCCTTGGCATATGCTCCTGCTCATCATGGGATGTCGCTGTTCCTTCAGAAAGCGCGGATGTCGCGAAATCACATCACCGCTTTGCTCCCATCGTGCCGCCGTAGTTGTGATAGAGCACCGCCTCTATATTTGTTACCTCGGCCTGGACTTGTGACGGTGAGTTTAAGCATTCAAATCTGCTCCATCACGAGATTCCATGCGATGCAAGGCAAGCATGCAGTTCCTGCTGTGTTATCAGGGTCACCAATGGACAGCATTAGGGCGTTCCGTGCACATGACCACCTCTCTGAATGTCATCGACCTCATAGACGCGCTTTCTGCTCTTCCAGATCTTAGCTTAGACGACGGCTCGCGGGCGCATATATAAACTGGGATGCAACTCTGATGGGCGCGTAACAGTATCACCATGCACAGGCCTCTGTCTTTTGCGGCAAGCGCGGTCCTCGCAGCAGTCTCCGCCTCGCGATGTCTAGCGGCCACCACTGTGTCAGTCAGTTCGACTGCTAGCCATTCCATTCCCACGACCCTCTGTGCGTAGCTGACATGCGAAAATCCATGGAGTGAGACGGTACTGACAATTGTCATCCTAGATGGGCAGATGTTCGAGGTATGGCTGTGCGATATGTAATGGTGAAGTTTAGTATACTCAATTCTAGCGATGGCGCACCACAAAGGATATCAACGTGAGCACAATTTGTGATGAACCCCCGATGGACTCCGTGCTAACTCATCTTCTTTCAGCATGTATGCATTCCCGCTGGCTGCATTTCACCCTCCTCTTACATTTTCTAGAGCGGCGACGGAGGTCTCTATGCGGAATGTAAGGTGTATTCATCCATCACGATACTTGAAGTCCCACACAGCCCTAGTGCTTCAAAATCGAGCGTTCCAGCAAGTGACTCCGGGTAGATCTTCTCTTCGAGTAGCGTGGATGTGCAACTTACGATAAATGACATAGGCACCTCCGATGCACTTGAACCCTGGGAGGCCATCAACGGTGCCAACATCACTGTCATCGCGGACTCGGACCCCGTCTCTTCAGCATTGCCCAATTCTTTGAAATTCGTCGTTCCCTCTAATGCGAGCGGATCAGTCGGCTTCAGTAATGAGGGCTACTGGGGTTCGCTACCTGCCTTTACGTACGCGCAATTCGGTTCTCTCAACGACGTGTGCAGGCATCAACGTGAATGCGTCATGGACGTACAATGCATCGCTCTACTATCGCTTCCCTAGTTCATCCACCTTTTCCGGGAAGCTCACATTAGGCCTGGAGTCCTCCGCGGGCGACGTGTTGGCGTCAAACTCAACAACGATCATCGGGAGCCAGACGATCTGGAAGCAGATCGCGCTCGAGCTGACGCCGTCGTATAGCGCGTTGAACAACAATAACAGCTTCTTCGTGACAGTCAACGGTTCGGAGGCCGCCGGAGAGACGATCCACTTTGCGATGTTCTCGCTGTTCCCTCCAACGTACAAGAACCGACCAAATGGCATGAGGATTGACATCGCTGAGGTAGGATCGTGATGAATTCATGGGTCGTTCCGTGATCATCACGAATGGACGCGCAGACGCTAGCTGACATGAAGCCTGCCTTCTTCCGATTCCCCGGTGGCAATAATCTCGTGCGTCTTGCTTCATCCTTTCTCGAGGCGCAGCTGATTGCTAAATTATCTCTATGTAGGAGGTGAGCGTTGACCAACGAACAACCTAAGCGCTATGTATACGAGCGACATCCGTAGGGTCAAACATGGGCCACCAGGTGGCAATGGAATGCCACTGTCGGACCTCTGCTTGACAGGCCAGGCCGTGTCGGTGACTGGGGCTATGTGAATACCGAGTATGCGCTACGCTTTCGTTGCCCTTCAGACTGGTGGTAGGCTGAATAGAACACATAGTGGTCTCGGTCTCTTGGAGTATCTCACGTTCCTCGAGGATGTCGGCACGGAGCCGTTCATGGCTGTCTGGGCTGGTACGCTGTGTATCAACCACTGTAGTCACTTATGCTCACGTTCTGTTCAGGCTATTCTCTCGGTGGAGAAAGTGTCCCTGAAGACGACCTCTCGCCGTACATTCAGCAGGCCATCGAGCAGGTCTGTAACCAGCCTGTATTTAATGTGCTGTCTCTCATGACCGGACCTGCATCGCAATAGATCGAATTCGCAGTCGGGGATGCGAATACCAGTTCAATTGGTACGCAGCTCGTACGTGTGGTCAAAATGAAATGCTTTACTGATGATAGTGTGCAGCTGCACTGAGAGCAGAGTATGGGCACCCTGAGCCGTTCAACGTCACCTATGTCGAAATCGGAAACGAGGTTCTTCTTGTCACTATACGACATGTATTCTTGGTAATGACGCTTTATGGAAGGACTTCTTTGCATCAGATTCGTAAGTCTACAATCCTTGATGTTGACCGCTGAGCGTTGACCCAGCCTTTCCATAACAGCTATACCTATAGGTGGCCTGCCTTCATAGGGTACCTGAGCGCAGCATATCCGGACATCAGTGCGCACTTCTCACGCCATCCTACGCTTTCAGCGCTGAGTATTCCTTAGACTATATTGCTACCACGTACCCGTTCAATCCCATCATCTCACCCACGCCAAAGCAATACGACGTTCATGTGTATCAGACACCTGGTAAGATGGTGCCTGCGGCTTTACGAGGCTGTGCTCACGACTTTCATCTCAGATTGGTTCATCGAAAACGCTTTCTATTATGATAATTTTGAGGTGTGCGTCCTCGGAATTTGCGTCTATCGTAGGCTGATGGAAGAGTGCGCAGCGTAACGGAACGAGGTACTTCCAGGTATGTCGCTACGGAATCCGATTCATCTCGTACTCTGATTGGGGCGCAGGGCGAGTATGCCTCAATCCGCTTTCTGTATCCCACCGTTCTAAGTGAGCTTTATCGTCGTGGGAAGTGTAACATCTCTCTTACTTGCGCGGGGTAGGCTCCACTGCCGAAGCGGCATACATGACGGGATTCGAGCGAAACGCTGACATCGTCTTTGCTGCGTCCTATGCACCTCTGTTGCAGGTCAGAGAAGTCACTCAGGTCACAATAGTAATCGTGCTAACCACAACTTTCTGCGCTGCAGCTGGTGAATGCTTCCGAATGGGTGTGTATCTCATGTCTCGCGACTGTTCACCATTCATACTTATGAGACAGGGGGCCCCCGATCTCATTAGCTTTGAGTGAGCTATTTTCTCGTCTCATGTCTGCAGCCATGTATATTAACTCTTTGCAGTGCTTCCACTGTCGTGAGGTCGACAGCCTACTACGTTCAGCAAGTATGACCAATTTTTACGAAACACCAAAGCGATTCATTTATCCATAATCCTTTGACGCAGCTATTTAGCCTGAACGTCGGCGACGAATATCTGCCTAGCACGCTGCCGACACAGAACGGGACTCTCTATTGGTCAATCACCAGGAGCTCTTCGACTGGAGACGTGTACATCAAGGTCTGCATTTCTCACTTTCTGCGCTCCTCTATCGTTAAATTGACACGAGATGCAGCTTGTCAACGTTGCCTCGTCCGAGACAGACGTGACGTTCGAGATGCCATTTGATGTGGCGAGCACCGGAACTTTGAAACTTCTGACTGGCAAACCGGATGATAGCAACACTCCGGACGCGCCGGATTACATCACCCCGGGGACCAGCACGATATCCACAGGTTCGACGCTCAACTACACCGCTCCCGCTTATAGTCTAAGCGTGATTATCCTGAGCACGTCCTAAACTAGAGGGAGCACATCGATTAGTACCGCCAGATCTGCGTCATGCGCGTCGAGACCAATCTGAGCCTGTAGTAATATGCTACCACGAGCCTGACGACAATTCATCATCCTCGTCATCGCCCTCCTCGGCGTTGGTCTCAAAGGTGGTGTCCTCAACGGCACGAGAGTATACGCCCAGCTTCCACATGTCTCCAATCAGGAACGTGACATGGTCGACCGCCAGTGCAAGCGTCGGATGAGGCAATTCGTCAGTTTTGCCATCGTCCCCGAGCATTATTTTGGGAAAGCGAGCGGAGAAATGAGTCAGCAACAGATTCTCTGCCTTCATTCTGGAGCAACAGAGTGGGATTAAATATTCCGTCTATCGCAAGGAGCGCGTTCTTACTGTTCGCCAATCGTGCGGGCCTGGCTAAAGGTGCTATACTTCAATCATGCAACAACAAACTGATGAAGACCTTATTTTGAACCACCTGGCGCATCATTTTCAATCATTAGCACCTAAACATTGCGAGTTTTATTTTGAATAATCTCTACGTAGATTGAGCGTGAATGTGCTGAAAGAATTCAAATTAATTCTTCGACACTTCATTTCGCGTGATCTATCGGAAGTCTCACCCAGTGGTCCCTCCCCTACTAGGATGAGGCCACCTAGGCCCGAAATTTCTGCCTCCGCCTGTGTCTAATAAATTGTCCAAATTTCTCACTCCAGGCGGGGGATTTAAAGCGGGGCACGTCGAAGTGCTCCACAACGTCATGTTCTCCCACACTCCGCGCAGATGCGATTTTGACTGGGCATCGATGATGTCTCCAGTGTTCTCACACATCCGTCATTGCGAGGAACAACAGACATACTTTTTGAAATTAAGGATACACTACATCGGTACAAACGGCTGCTGAGCGGAAGGTATACGAGGGTAATCACTGGTGTGCATGGCACGTCCATGGACTAGCAGGCATATCACATAGCACCCTCCGACTTGGCGATGATATACCTGCGAATTGGACACAATCAGTAAAACGTGTGCGATCTCTCCAAACAGCATGACAGCGCACCACGCGTGAAGCACACCTGGGATCCAGCCGAGGATCCATAGACAGACGTTGATCCAGAAATCTGACCAGTATGATGGTCAGCAAGCGCAACCCACTGGTGATGATGGCTGCGCAACGTACCAGCTGTCAAGCCCCGCTCTGATCATTCCAATAGGATCCCTGTCAGCACAACCACGCCAGTCGAACGCCTGAAAACTACGTACTGAAGAACACAGCGAGTGGCGGGATGAATCTGAGACAATGCGTCAACTACTCACGTTCAAGAGTGCAAAGACGCTACTCACAAAGCCAAGAAGTACAACATGACATCAGACATCGGGGACACCGGCTTAGCAGGCGCAGCGGTGGTGGTGCCCGTCGTCGTCGTAGCACCGTAGGACGGAGCGGTCGTCGCCATATTTATTGATTTTCAAGAAGTTCGTAGAGGGTAGTGAAGGTTGTGCGAAGAGCTGAGAACGAAAGGGGCGCTTGGCTGTGGCAGGCCTTAACGCGCTCACGTGCCATAACGGATACAAAGACATAACAGGTTAGCATTGGGTTAGCACCATCAGAACCCCTGATTCTAATCAATGCGCATTCTGCTCCGCATAGTAGTTCGTCTTCAGACCCCTGCAGCACTACTCGCACTCTCACCACCTCCACCACATAGGCTTCCTGCAGAGCACCTCTTTCATCCAGGCTAGGTCACCGCAATCCTGCGTCGTCGCTCGCTCTTGAAATACCTACCTCCACGTGTGAAATGATCGACCTTGGCCGTGGCGACTGGTGCGATCGGAATACGAGCTCAGAAGCAGATATAGTGATACAAGGAAAATGCGGCTCTCTTTAAAGGCGGACGAGAAGGAACTCGACGAGCGAAAGCATGCTAGGAAGGTGCTGAAAGTCGGCCTTCTACAGTGGACATCATCGATTCTCCGAGCCATTCTTGTAAATGAGGCACAAAACGATACGGAGATTGGCAACGGCATGCAGTCATCGTCCTCAGCTCAACACCCTCGTGCATCCTACAGAGCGATCAGGCACTCGCAGAACCCAAGGGGACAACGAAAATCCAATCTGGGCTTCGATGCCACACGAGTGGCCCATCAATCAGTCCTCGTGTCGACGACGTAATAAAAAAGATCCCGCCTGTGATTTGTGGCTGGAGGCGCCTGCAGAAGCTGCAGCGAGGCTGCGAGAAGTGGCCGCTGTGGCCGCGGTGGCGATAAATTCTCTGGGCACACTCTCTGCACTCACCTTGATCCCACCACAATCATTCTCCGCGATATCTGACTCCCTCAGGTGGCCTGACCGCTATTCAGCACCACCGTACGCACATTCCTGATCGTCCTATTTCCTCGGCCAGAGACATCCGCTCTAGATGATATACCACCTGCGGTCTCGTACGCGTGATGACGGTCTGCACCAGCATCCTCGCGTGGGCGGTTTGACAATGCCTCATCGACACCTGTCAGCGGCGAGCCCGACTGAATCAGCGCAGTCGGACTCCTCGAAGACAACTCACCGAAACGACGACGACGTACATGGCATCAGCCACTCTGCATATTTCGGTGGCAGCAAAGCTGGTCATGTCTATGGCAACGGGCCCAGTGACACCGGCTCTGTGCACGTCAGCAGCGGCATGAGGAACGAAGTGAATGTCGGAGGTAACTCTGGCGGTGGACTGGCTCTCGAACATAATGGCGGATCCAGCACGACGAAGTATGTGTATTCAAGGTCTGCAGCGGAATGGAAATGGTCAGGAAACGGCAAAGCGGGCTCGCAGAATGACTGGGACGAAGACGATGTCAGTACCATCCGCGGATATGTTGCGAGCAACGCGAGCACAGTCCATGCTCAGCCACATGTAGGACCCCAGGCTGGCTCAAACGTCGATTCTGCGGTCACGACGGGACAGCTGCCTGGTGTTGTACATGCCAGTTCAAGAGGGTTGGGCTATGAGCAGGACAACGCACAGTCGAGGCACACCTCCGACTTCAGTGGTGGCGTCTGCACATGCGAACCTTGGCAAGGCTTCCGGCAATGCGACGTCCATGGTTGGGGTATTCCGAACGCCGACCAGCTTTCGGGCTCGTACGCTGGCTCCTTTGCTTTCGATAGTCACCCCGCGTTTCGGGTTCACGGGACAACCGAGGCCTCAGAGGCAAACTCGGTTCGCTCGACCAACGTCATATCACCCGCCATGATCCCTGCTCCTCAAGCGTTCTTTGGAACTGACAAAGTCCTCTCCTGGCTCACGACACTGGCGTCATCCATGGCTCCTGAAAACGATGCGCGAAGCATGGCAGCCGAGAATGAAGACCTCGCCAGTGTTTCCGTGTTGGTACATGACGAGACCGAGAGCCGGGACATGAGTGGGGGCACACACCTTGCTAACGGTTCTCAATCCCGTCGTGCCACACCGGCGCCGCCCGAGAGCGCGACGGAGAAGCGGATCTTCATCGCACCTGGGCCTTCCATCAATGACTCTAGAGCCAGCGAGCTGGCATCCATCGAGTACGGCAGCGAGAGCGGATACGTTGCTAGCGTCGAGACTGTCGGTGGTCCTCGCGAAGAATCCAGCCTTCAGAAAAGGCGCACTCGGGTTACCTGGTCGAAACAGAGGGCGTCGGCAACAAAGATGCTAGCTGCTCCAACCGCGAGCCCTCGTAAGGGCCGGAAAAAGAGCCAGAAAAAATCCACCGCTGAGAGGGCAGTCTCAATGGTAAAGAGGTGAAGGGAAGACGATGGTGACGAAGTTAGAAAGAAATCATTTGTAGGATTTGAGCATGAAATCTACCACACCTTATGTCATGGAATCCGATGTTCAGCGTATCGATACGCAACGCCCTCCTCGTCGCCCAATATCATTTATGGACTATGTGTGAAAACGCCTCGAGGAGAGAAGATCGTGAGATAACACTAGAAACGCACAGAGCAATTAGCGATATATTCGGCACGAGTAGTTCAAGTCCACGGCGACGACACTTCCGCGCTAGCGGGTGGTCCAAGATGCTGGAGTTGCATATAATCCTCAGCTCAAGTTGTGACGGGAGGAACTCAACACGGGATTAATTAATCCGTGTTATGTCATTTACCTCACGAGCCAAAGATTAACTAAGTACAACGCTGTGAAACGTACCTGATATTGCCCGTGCCATTTCCTCTGCATGTCAAATGGCGTTGAACGAGATGGCCGTCACTGAATAGGTGGAATACACAGTATTAAAGGGACCGGCAGTATATGATATGCGAAGATGGCAGGACCAGCAAGCTTTGCATCACACTGAGCAGACGACGCGGGTAAGAGCAAGACGAGAGAAAGATCATAGCGCGTGTTTAGCGCGCTAGCCTATCCGACAAGTTGTGTGTCTCTGCCGTATTGATCAACACTTCGAAGACAGCTGCAGCATCACGTCTGGGCCGCTTTCATATAGAACAGCATGCCATCACACTGACTCGAAAAGAACACACAACATCGTGATGCTACAGCAACTAGTGATGAACGCCAGGAGGCAAAAGGTTACATGCACCCATGACACGCTGCTCTATTTCAGTATCACGTCCGGGAGTCCCAGCGGAATGGCGTATCGCAAACGTTTGGTGTAGGGGTAGCTCTTGTGTCGACGCTCTTCCTCATGGTAATTTCTGCGTTGCAAGTTTATGGTGCACGTCTGAAAATGAGTATTTCATCGACGCAGTTGCTTAGACTACCGCTGACGGCACGGCTAACTGAAGGCGGCACAAGTACTCGGTTTGAAATCCGTAATCCCGCGGGTAACGCCTCGTACATTTGTCCTGCAGTGCGCCTCGTATCGATTCATGCATGCCATACTTTCATACCATACTGTGGAGACTTACAGTGCAATAGATCTACACTGACAGCAATGTTGTGCTGGTAGGGTACAACGGATCATGGTGCTCGCTCAAAAGTCCCGAGAGCCAATGCGAATTGTTCTAGTTCAGCATGTAGCTTGCGACAGCCAAGGGCAACGTCGCGTGTCTTGCCCAGTCTTAGACGTTAGACACTTGTGAGTGCATCTGAAATGTCATGCTACCTCCTGTTGCGGCTTTGAGATCCTGAATTGATCGTGAATGCACCATTATATGACTTCGAGGAACGCCGCACAACGCACCTCAAGCCTCATTTCTGTGTTTTCGGTTGTTCTCCCTCCTTGATGGCGCTCATTTGACCCATGCTCGGCTCTCATTGAATCTTCCGTGTCCCACTCAATGGTGGCACTGTGTTCGGCATCTATGCGAGAGATGCGAATTGGTTCCACGAAAGACAGCATGACGTTTTTCCGTATGAATGCACGATTATTCAAGTTCACCATAAGTGAATTTGCATAGCTTGTGCAAGTATCAGCAACGAACGAGCTCGAAGGCATTCTGAACACGACTTACATTTTGGTGATTACAGGTGCGCTGATTGTTCTAGATGAGAATCGTGATGTTGTCCTTTATAGCTGAGACACTTACGGCGCTTGATACAGCAGCGTCTGCTTTAGCTGTCGTAGACGTTAACAGTACACCCACGGAGCTAAACGGACAGCGTTCACCGAAGGCAAAGCGATCAAAATTACGGCAACAATGGCTAAAGTGGCTAAATGGACGTCAGCAGGATCAGGGATTGCTGATAGAGGGCTGACCTGTGAGACTGCCTGTCTCGACGGAAAGGCATATGATCCCACTTAGGATGGCATCCATTCTGGCTATTCCTATCTTAGCTCTTAATAGCTGAGACGCTCAATCAGGCAAACATTCAAGGTGACACGTTGAATGCTACCCACGAGGATCGTCATTGCAACTGCAATAACTACATCATTGACAGCGGCGCCGACAAGCCAAGTCTGCGAGGTACGGGTGGGTTGACTAGTCCACGGACATGGGGTATGAGGTACTCACGGTCAAAGATGCGTCTGCTGGGCCTAAGTCCGCGGCAGTAGCAGCTTGACCTATCTTGCGACACCTCCGCTGTCAAGAGCATATTGAGGGGATCGAAAACAGACCAACCTTGACTCCGCCTGCAGTACCTGCCCCCAACTGCAACAAAGCAAGCTGTAAGACAGAAATAGTTTTCGAGCATCCGATAAAATGAAAAGACGACTTACAATCACGACTATCACGGGTAAAATGTAGTTCAATGAACGCAATGAATGCGATGAATGGGTCAGCATCATAAATATTCGCCACGCATAGAAGATTTGCACTACGGCGGCAGTGATTGCCGCCATAATAGGCACAGCAAACCAGACAAAGGGAAATGTATCAACCCGTGAGATGTCCCCATCAGAATAAATGTACTGATCGAATGCCGCAGCAGTCGTGAGAGATGTTTGAATAGTTTCGAAGATCGCCAAGCCATAGACTAGTTCCGCCATGCTGTCTCAACGAGAGTGCAAGGCGTCGGAGAACGTAATGACTCACCCAAACATTTCATAATCTTGCTGTCCTCAGGAAACCACAAATAGTATAGATCTATCAAGCATCAGTAGGAGCTAATGCATTGTGTTGTCCAACTCGGAGTACTCACAGACTTGTGTGAGCAATACCCCTAGTAGAGCCCAGTTGAGGAAGTAGCCGAGGAGCTGAAACGTATAAACATAGTGTCCGCAATTTCTAGTGAATGACACATACCTGAGGACCTGCTCTGGTACGACATTTTGTATCATCGTACACTGTCAACGACGGGAGCTACACGTACTGTACGCTGAACGTCTTCGAAGTCATCCTGGTTGAACTGATATCGTTGCCTTAGACAATTCTTCTTGCGCATGGTTCCGTCACAGGGACATACCTCAAAGGTTGAGCACGAAGTATACGATCGATGCTCCCTATGTGCGACTGACATTAGCATGCGCGAAGTGGTATTTATACGGCAGAGATGTCTTCCGGACAGCGTGAGTCGAAACATTCTGCGAACGCCAATTACAGTAACAATACCTAGCTGCAATTTACGCTCCACAAAGTTGTGATGAGTTGACACGTCCGTTCTGCCTGTCTACCATCAGCCGATGTGGTCCGAGTCGTATAAGCCAATTCTGTACCGGCAGTAACGTCATAACGGCCAGAAGATGTCAGTTCTGCAAGGGCTCGATGCTTCTGTGCGAATGCAGCAGCCTTAGAAGTTAGTATATAGAGCACCATATGCATAGGGATCCAATAATTACACAGGGCGTGGATATGGGCATTGTGAACACGACTGCGCTGCATCAACGCTGAGCACCGCTCAGCATCGAAACCTGATGTTCGCACCGCTCAAGTTTCAATGTTAGAATCACATCTTGAGATGCTCGACAATGTCTTGTGAATGGCCGCGGCCGTCAGGCGTCCAGGCCTCTTCAGATCTCAGCCGGCATAAACGCGGCTTCGATTCTAGCCAAGAATACATCAAACTCGCCGGCCGCCACGGGCGTGCCACCAGCCTGGTGACGCCAGAGATGCTCAAGGCAATGCTTGTGGTAAATGGTATCAACTGTTAGTTGCATCAACAGAACTCATCACGAATGGGGCAGTAGTGAAAAGACATCGACCTCGTAGAGCGCCGCAGGCCCCGAGACTGACAACCGGGATGATTGAGATGACTCCACGCTTGACAGATCCGAAACAGTAAAGAGCGGCCATCACCTTCTTGTATAGCATTCCGGTGGCGTCTAGATCTGGAAGATCTGGCGAATAACCAAGGGCGAGGTTTTGAGAGATGGACTGGTGGAGAGGTGTCTCAAGGGCAAACATCTGTTACAGCAGACCCGCCACTGACAGCCTTAAAATGGGCCCTGGCGACATCAATCCTTCGGCGATCTGAGGCGCTGATAAATGCTCGCCCTGAACCGCTAGATCAGACACGGAAACGATGTCCAAGTCAGTCGAGGAGTTTTCAACCAAGTGCATCGTCTTCGAGACATCCGTTCCCGTGGGCAGAAAGAGATAGTCGCGCGCCTCTACAAGGAGCTCAACAGCGATAAGACCGGTCCCCAGCTGTTCGAATCCCTGAAGTAAGTGAAGACTAGAAGGAACTTGAGCGTAGTTTCCACGAAGTCAACGAAGGAAAGGACTTCGTATACGTGTCCCAATATCTCCTGTTCCTCATCGACATGCATGCAAGAGACATGCGCGTTGACCGTATGCCCTGCAGTCTCTTCGGAAGGTCTCCGTTCCATGTGTGGTGAAATGCATACTTCGGAACCACCGACGGTCCGAAGACATACCAATATAGTTGGGAAATCCCGCTGTGGCGCAGCCGATACTGCAGCTAGAGCTATACACGACGCTGCACGCCCCGCCGCGCATGCTAATCGTGGAAAAGACAGACAGGAGCGGAGCGGAGATTGCGTGCAGCCCTCGACTATCTGCGCTGCCCCGAGGAACGGCAAAGTGGACGCAAAGTTGCGCGCTATGGCAGAGGAGGTTGATGACAAGATAGAAAGTTTGGTTCGGAGAGTGATTGGCGCTTGACGGGAGCAGTGATACAGTCTGCATTATGCGATTTGTCAGAATCAATCTGCCTAGTGCTCTGTAGGCTTCACCGATAGACAGAATGACGAGTAAGCGCATTTTGTGTAAACAACGACCGAGAATACCGCATTTTCAAAGCAGGCTAACTTTTTCAAGATAGAGCGCAAGATGCTACAGCTTAGTGCTCTTTTAGAACTGTAAATGCGCTCAAACCATCGCGAAAAGAGAGATCAAGTGTCGAAGATGACACGATGGATGCTGTCATGAGCTGGATAATGTAGTCAACAGCACCTGGAGATGACCAGTACTTCTCAGCGGGTTACTTGCCGCAATCCCAACCAGATGTTAGAACCGGTGCGCCTCTAGATTCCAAGACTGAGAAAGATGCGGGCCGTAATGGTCGAGAGTTGCACTTCGAACGTAGAGGCCTAGAGGCTTGAACTTCTTGAACTTCAGTGTGAATCCCTTTGTGAGCATCAAGCAACTTGTTTTTCGTGCCCTGATCCCGCCCAGCACCAGGAACAGACACGTAGAGCCAATGCGAGGGCTTTGCGCCGTAGTCTTCTCTCGGGAAGGCTGGCTCCCGGTGAGGCCCACATAAGCGTGAATTCGACATCACGACCCATCCTGTACTTACGCCGCCAAGGCAAATAGATCGAAGACTGTCACGTAGTAAGCCACCAGTCGAGTAGACGAGCCAGACCAGAGTTGTTGCCACCAGAGAGGAACTGGACTTATACGGCCCCATGCGACTCGTGAGCAGCATAATCGAGCAGGAATTGCGCTATACTAAACAATGCACCGACGAATGGCCAGCACGGACTCGTGCATGGTGTAAGCTGTTAGTAAAGATGTCTTAAACGCCCGCCACCTACTACTATCTGCCAAGCGCCCGAGACTCCTCGAGTATTCTAACAAACTGATGCCGAGTATAAGGAAGGACAGTCTCAGAAGATATAGCGGAAAGGGCAACCTCCAACGGTGCGTCAAGCCGCTGAGATGCATGACTCGACCAACAACATTTATGAGGTTGCAAGATTCTCTCTCACCGCCCAATGCCGCGCTAGCCTATCCCTGTATCACTGCCATATTGATCAACACTTCGAAGACAGCTGCAGCATCACGTCTGGACCGCTTTCAAATAGAACAGCATGCCATCAAAGTGACTCGAAAAGAACACCCATCATCGTGATGCTACAGCAAGAATATATAACTCAAGCGCATTATGAATTTATTCCCACTGCCGCCGAGATTTCACACATGTATGCAAATACACTGCTCAGACTGGACTTGGATGAGTAACTATATAACCATTCGGTTTCCATGAGTATAACTGCGTAGCTGCACAGCATGTTGGCACTGAAAACATCTGATGGACCAATTCCGTCGGCAATGAGACGATGTTCTGAAGCGGATCCGAGATATAATATCTGCACTACGCCAAGCGGTGCCAGAAACCGGCCATTTGGACGTGGGAGGCTCCAAATCTTCAGTAATGGCATATCATCCCAGAATTGGGTTTGATAGCAAGGGTCAAGCGAGATACGTCAACGCTCTGTAAAGCGAGCAGCGCATGTTTTCCCCTTCCAATCACATTTACATAGAGAGATGTCATGCACAGATTGCAGCGCTTGAAGCGAAGGGCATGTTGCATACCTCAGAACTGCGACAAACGGCATGATGTAGCCGAGAATAGCGCTTTCAATGATGCTGTAGGCGTCCTTATCCGCGAGCGGAGTCGTCACGTATGCGATTCATGCGCAACGGCTCGCAACACGGTGGTTTTTTTTTGGAAATTTTCTCGCTCGTTCAATAGAAACCGCCCCTGGACCTGTATGGTCTGTGTTTTCCTCTCCTGAAAGATGTACTTTCTCCTCCCTTTGCATTTGATACCCTTGACAAGTTTCTAGTCATCTGCCTGCCAGCTTAGCTCAGTCATCGCCGTCTCTATCTTCACCATCATGGTTCTGAACAGCGGCGTTGCTCTGTTTCAGTTTGGTGTGGAGGTAGCTCTTGTGTCGACGCTCTTCCTCCTGATAGTTCCCGCGTTGCAAGTTTACGGTGCACGTCTGAGGGTGAGTGTTTCGTCGATGCAGTTGCTTAGACTACTGCTTACGGCACTGCTAACTGAGGCACAAGTACTTGGTTTGAAATCCGCAACCCCGAGGGTAATGCCTCTTGCATTTGTCCTGCAGCGTACCATCGCGTCACGATCGCTTCATGCATGCTGGCATATTTTCATGTCAAACTACGGGGACTTACAGTACAATTGATCTACACTGACAGCAATGTTGCACTGATAGGGCACCGCGAATCATGGTGCTCCCTCAAATGTCCCGCGGGCCAATAGGGATTATTCTAGTTCGGCATGTAACCTGCAACAGTAGCGCCAAGGGCAACGTCGCGGCCCACTTTCAGACATCAGACCCTTGTGAGCGCGTCTGAAATGTCATGCTACCTCCTGTTGCGGCTTTGATATCCTGAGTTGACCGTTAATGGACCATTATATGACTTCGAGGAACGCCGCACAACGCACCTCAAGCTTCAGTTCTGTGTTTTCGGTTGTTTCCTCTCCTTGACGGCGCACGTTTGACCCGTGCTCGGCTTTCATTGAATCTTCCATGTCCCAATCAACGGTGGCGCTGTGTCCGGTATCCAGGCGATTGATGCGAATTGATTCAGAATCAGATGTCATGACGTTTTTCCGTATGAATGCGCGATTGTTCAAGTTCACCATAAGTGAATTTGCATAGCTTGTGCAGATATCAGCAACGAACGAGCTCGAATGCATTTTAACCACGACTTACATTTTGGTGATTACAGGCGCGCTGATATATCTATGTGAGAATTGTGATGTTGCTCTTTAGAGCTGAGATACTTACGGCCCTTGATACAGCAGCGTCTGCTTTAGCTGCCGTAGACGTTAACAGTATACTCATGGAGTTAAACGGACAGCATTTACCGAAGGCAAGGTGACCAAAACGAGGACAACAATGGCCAAAGTGGCTAAATGGACGTCAGCAGGGTCAGGGCTTTCTGACAAAGGGCTGACCTGTGAGACTTCCTGTCTCGACGGAAAGGCGTATGATCCCACTCAGGATGGCATCCATTCTGGCTATCCCTGTTTTAGCTCTTAGTAGCTGAGATGCGCAAATCAGGCACACATTCAAGGCGACACGTTGAATGCTACCCACGAGGATCGTCATTGCAACTGCAATAACTACATCATTAACAGCGGCGCCGACAAGCCAAGCCTGCGTGGTACGGGTGAGTAGACTAGTCCACGGACATGGGATATAAAGTACTCACGACAAACGATGCGTCTGCTGGCCCTACGTCCGCAGCAGTAGCAGCTTGACCCATCTTAGGACACCTTGGCTGTCAAGACCATATTAAGGGATTAAAATTAGACCAACCTTGACTCCGCCTGCGGTACCTGCTCCCAACTGAAACAAAGCAAGCTGTACGACAGAAATAAGTTTCGGACATCCTATAAAATGAAAAGATGACCTACAATCACCACCATCATAGGTAGAACGTAGTTTGATGAATGGGCCAGCATGAATATTCGCCACGCATAGAAGATTTGCACCACAGCGGCAGTGATTGCCGCCATAACAGGCACAGAAAACCAGACAAAGGGCAATGTATCAACCCGTGAGGTATCCCCGTCGGAATAAATGTACTGATCGAATGCCGCAGCAGTGGTGAGAGATGTCTGGACAGTCTCGAAGATTGCCAAGCCATAAACTAGCTCCGCCATGCTGTCTCAACGAGGGTGCAATCGCGTCGGAGAACGTAATGACTCACCCAAACATTTCATAATCTTTCTGTCCTCGGGAAACCACAAATAGTATAGATCTATCAAGCGTCAGTAGGAGCTAACACATTGTGCTGATCAAGAGTGCTCACAGACTTGTGTGAGCAATATCCCTAGTAGAGCCCAGTTGAGGAAGTATCCGAGGAGCTGAAACGTATGATCATAGCGTCCGCAATCTCTAGTGAATGACGCATACCTGTGGACCTGCTCTGGCACGACATTTGGTATCATCGTACGCTGCTAACGACGGGAGCTACACGTACTGCATGCTGAACGTCTCTGAAGCCATCCTGGTTCACTGGCAGCTGATATCGTTGCCTCAGACAAGCACTTCTTGCGCATGGTTCCGTCATGGCGACATACCTCAAAGGTGGAGCACAAAGTGTACGATCAATACTCTCTATGGCGCTGAGTCATGTGTGACTGAGGGTAGCATGCGCGAAGTGGCATTTATATGGCAGAGATGTCTTCCGGTCAGCGTAAGCCGAACATTCTGCGAACGCCAATTACACTAATAATACCTAGCTGCAATTTGTCCTCCACAAGCATGTGATGATTTGACACGTCCGTTCCGCCTGCCGACCATCAATCGATGCGTCCGAGATAGACTCGAACAAGCCAACTTTGTACCGGCAGTAGAGTCATACCGGTCAGAAGATGTCAGTTCTGCAACGTGGCTCGATGCCTCTGTGCGAACGAAGCAACCTTAGTTAGTAAACAGAGCACCATATGCATAGGGACCCAATAACTGCACTGGGCATGAACACGGGAATTGGGAACACGACTGCGCTGCATCAGCGCTCAGCACCGCTCAGCATCGAAACCTGATGTTCGCACAGCTCAATGTTAGGATCACGTTTTGAGATACTTGACAATGTCTGTGAATGGCCGCGGCCGTCAGGCCTTCAGGACTCTTCAGGTCTCAACCGGCATAGACGACCTCGATTCTAGCCGACTAGCCGAGAACACATTAAACCTGCTGCGCCACCACGCCCGCGCCACCAGCCTTGTGACGCCGGCGATGCTCAACGCAATGCGTGTGGTAAATGATATCAACCTGTTAGTCGCATCAATAGAACTCGTCACAAATGTGGCCTCATGAGTATTACAAAGAACACCGACCTTCGTACTTCGTAGAGAGCTGCAAACCCCGGAGTTTGACAACCGGGATGATTGAGACAGCTCAAAAACGCTCGATAGATCCGAAACAGTGAAGAGCGGCCATCGTCTTCATGTATAGCATTCCGATAGGGTCCAGACTCCGAATATCCGGCGGAACACCAAGGACGGTGTTCCGATAAATGGAACTAGCGGACCGTTGGAGAGGTGTCTCGGAGGGCAAACGTCGGTCCATCGGTTACACTGGATCGGCCCCTGACAGCCTCAATAATGCGCCCGGGTGACCCGAACCATTCAACGATCTGCCTGAGTCGCTAGACGTGGAAACAATGTCCAAGCAGGCGAGGAGTTTTCAGCCGAGCGCATCGTCTTCAAGACATTCGTTCCCGTGGACTAGATAGTCGCGCGCCTCGACAAGGAGCTCAACCAACCCACAAGTACTTCAGATCCGCCTCGAAACGATGGCCGCGGCACGTCGCCAGAGCCTGTCGCCAATACTAAGGCATCTGCCATATGCAGTACCAGATAATTGCTCGCGTCCTCTCCGCGATGCGGTCCCCAAGCGAAAAATGTAAGTTGAGAAGCAACCTGCATTGGACAGATACGACGTTGAAGTCGAAAATGCGCTGGAAGCTGAAGACGCGACCACTGACGCTGGCGTCAGCACAATTGAAATTGCAAGCAGAGGGAACGGTTCAATATACAAAGTACTCCAGACTTTTTCCCGCGTCGAGACGCAGTTCCACTGGAGCGGACCTAGAGATATCGTCGTGGTTCCGACGGCGAACGAATCATGGTACTTGAAAGTGATACATAGCCCATTATTCCGCCAGTTTCGAAGTCTTCATCGCCTGCATCAAATAAGAAATAGAGGGTCAAGATGAAGGTTGAAGAGACCAAGTTCACCGTTAAAAGAGGCTCGTGAGCTATGCACCACTTGGTACTGACTCCTCAGAGTGGGCAGAGATCGATAAGGAAAGACATCAAGCTAGATCAGAAGACGCTTGTCTCGATGCAAACCCTCGTGCAGTGGTCGTGGCTCTGAAGCTTGCTGACCGCATGCGCATCACGAGCTGCGAGTAACTGGACGAGGTTAGACTTATGAAGGCCAGCTCTACAGACTTGCCTCTCATCGTCATATTAAGTAATGCGAGGGATCCGATTTCCAAGGAGCGTAGTCGAGTGACCCTTCATAATGAGATGCTGCATTTCAATCGAGAGACAGTCGCGTCAGATAACAAACCGCCTCCATCAGGATCAAGCCATGTCGAAAGCAAGTTCTATCGAGGTAAAACTAAGCCAGAAGCTGTCTGAATCCCTGCAGAAAAAGTGCAGCAAAAGAACCAGCTCCATGGGAAGGAGGACTGTGTTGAGAGCAAAACTTTCAAGAGAGCATGAAGAAAGACAGCAGAGTTAAACGCAATGCGCTTGCAGTATGACCGCGGGTTGAGCCGGGTTGATGCGCCTTGACGCGCCCACGTGACAGAAAGTCCGCGCATTGCTGCCAGGGACGCGCCACCAGCCACCAAGTTGCAAGAGTGATGCGCGGGTCAAGTTTTCAGGACTTCAAGCTTTCAACGCCAAACCGCAACCTCTTGAGCTTGAGGGCCCCAGTTGATGCATTGACTGATATGGTTGGTGTGGGCTCAACAGGTCAAAGTACAAAGTTCCCGTAACGGTCTCATACTATTCAAGCCGTTCCATCGAGATTGTGAGTACATTGTTATGGCGCGATGGTACAGTATGACCTTCGGCAGGATAGCACATGTAACCAGAAGACTCGTCCACCTGGTAACGCGAAGAGCATTTCTTGACTCTTTGGGCCAAAGTGGCTCAACGCCGGTTATTGTGCGGTTACCGGTCGATAACTGGGGTCAAGGCCGACACCGGCCAGTGGCAACACTTCCGCACATTCTCGCGGAAAGAGACTACCACCAAATTGATCACACCTATCCTGATGCCATGATACTTGATTGAGGAATCAGGAGTAAAGCGGTCTCTGGTACTTAACTTACTGATTCATTAGACGATAGCGGATTTTGCATGGCTGGAATATGATACATCGATGCTTCTGGAAGCGCGCTGACAAAGAGATGAGGACACATATACACGTTACGGACATTAACTCCACTTCCCTTGCTTGTCAGATATACTTTGTTCCACAATCAGCACGTCGGCCGCTGCTGCGAAGCACTTACGCATTGAAATTGCAGCCAACTGGGCCTTCGGTCATAACCACTCCCCCCTCACTCTCTCCACCGATGACTTCTTCTGTGCAGCTCGAAGATTTGTTCTATGAAAATTTGACATGCTCAGGCAAGTTCAACGTATACTAAGAAACACTGACTGGAAAACTCACATACCTTGGTCTATTGAACTCTTCACAGTGGCGAAAATCCTTCACAATGGGAATATTCGCTTGTCCTGCCCGAAGCGTAAGTGCTCTCGGTGATATCGCTCGCAGAAGACCACGTCGGGCGTCATAATTCCTCACTGAATGCGAAGCTAATCACAACGTGTAAATGATGGTCGCCTTCGAAGAGGGGGTTCGTAATTCTTTATCGGCGAAAAGAAGGCGTCATTTTCACGTCGATTAAGTTGATCGGGGCCCGAGTCGGGAGGGACAGGGCTCTGTGCTTCTATCTATCATCTATGGTTCCAAATTTCGTGGCAACGCCGTCATTGACATCTTCTTAGAACGTCGACGCACAGGACATACGCATCTCCACTTCTAGGCGGGCGAACCCCGAAGGCAAGTGCGGGTGATATTTCCCGTTCCGATGGGATGATCGTTCCTTGGGACCTACTAACTTAATCCGAACGTCGTCTCCAGAACCGCGATCCTTCGCATGTAAATAAGGCGTTGATAGGATGATCAAGCTTGTTCGCTTGACCTGATTGTCGCGCAAGGCCTATCGGACAGATTGGGTCTAGGTCCGCACAGAAGTTCAGAATAGCCATCTCACCTCCGAGCTGTGAGTGCGCTGTGGGCCACAAGGCGCCCAATGGCGCGCTTGAGATCATTGATGTGTTGGCCAGACGACGCAGACATCCAGCTTCTCAGAAGATCATCCATTGTTTCCTGAAAGAAGACAGCATTCATGATAGTCAGGAGCACTACTCGGAATAGTCGGGAGATGAGGCCCTCGGATATACTGGAATTTTCCTATGGAGACCGAATTACAAGAGAACCAATTGCTTCTTGTCCAATGCGTTCACACATCACCTTCGGTCCTCTGATTATGCGGCAAGGCTTCTTGAATCGCCTTGATTATCCTTTAGATATGCTTCACAATATCTTTAGCGAACAAAGATCATCGAAAAAAAGAGGATGGGTAGCCTCGTATATGAGAGAGTTGGCTACGAAAATCTTCATTAAGCTCGGACGCTATCACCTCTACCATCACAATCTGCGAGTTATGAAGTCGAGAATTGAGCAAATTACCCGTGCAAAGGTATATTGAGGCACTTACAAGGAATGTCGATATCTCACTCAAAGTGATGGAAGGCAAAGCTCCCATTCATCTCCATGTACCAGTCTCGTTCAAGGAATCTTCGACGCAGAGGCATTATCTCGCCGCTTTAGAATATCCATTCTGGCCCTGACAGAATAGGACACACGTTCCTGGCACAGGCGAGCGAAACGGCGTAGCAGTCCGCCACAGACGAGAACTTGGGCGACGTGGCGCTTGAAATAGAGCGCATATATAAATCCAGTCGAGAAACTTGATCAAGTCGAAACAGCTTATAGATTAAATAACCAGCAATGCGTGGAAGGACCTGTTGAGAATTGATAATCAAGCCCTACGAAATCAAGTATAAGCTGATAAACGCGTGATCTCTTCGGCTTCAAGCGCAAATCTGTTCTCATCGCATACTAGTGTAGTTATGAATGGCTGGCTGGCGAAATCACGCCTGTGATGAGCTCAGTCGGCAGCAAGCTGACACAGATACATCTAAACCTAGACGACATGCCGCACAAATGGCAGCTCTACGCTGACTTCGCCGGTGCCGTCGTCTGGAACATGTTGGACGTTCCGGCAAACTCGCGAAACAATTTCGACACGTTGCAGTTGAGTTCCGAGCAGATGTGTCTGAGCATTCATTACAGAACGAGCTTCCAAGTCGCGGCTACGAATGTGGTTGTGTGGTATGGGACGCAACGGCAACACATTCATCCGAGCCCTTCCTCGCCTTCCGGGCCAGCTTGCCACGGGCCCAGGTGTATACGAGTGCGAGTGCCCGAAGTAGCTGCTTCCTGTGGGCACCGAAGCCTTCCGAACCCCAAAGCCAAACGATGACCGATCAGAGATCATCCGGAGAAGCCTGAGCCGCAGAACAGGCACACGCCATTCGAGACCGCGGGTCCGGCGCCTATTCGATGGGGAAAGGTCGCCGCTCGCCGCGATATGTATTGCGCGGGCAGGCGCGGCGGGTACGTTCGGGGGCGCCGGGCGGTAACTTTCCAAGGTCAAGAAAGCGCTGTCGGGCCGGCGGCGACGCCTAAAGGAATGAGCAATATATGCGGCACGTGGAAGGATGCAGCTCGTCGTGAGCAGCATGGTTCTGCCGATATTGTGTTGCGTTGGAAGGACCGCTGAGTTATCCAACTTGGCATGAGACTAGAGTAAGGACCGCAGCTAGTTCCGGGCAAAGGAGAAGAGCAGGCCTCGCGTTTTGCGCGTGTAGTATCGTAGCTGCAGCAGAGCATGCGATTACTGAATTCTACGCCAAACCCTTTGAAGACACAGGTCGCCGCATCGAAGTCGCCTCATCGAACGAATATCATACGATGACGAGAGACTATCTCAGAATCCTTCGAGCTTCTGGGTCACAGCAACAACTGAGATTGCGGATCCATGAGGCGCATGTTGCGATAGGGTATGAGTTAGAGAGGGTGTGTGTCCGCTTGAGCGGGGAACATCGTCTGTGAGAACGGCACCACGACATCCATGACTTCAAAGCTGAGAAGGTGACGACCAGGCAGCCGGAAAGGGTAGGATTGAGCTTAGCAAGCATTACTAACAACCGAGTCGCGCCCAATGAGATCCAACTTTACGATCATTGCCTGGGCTACCTGCAGCGATGTTAGCATCACTCGATCGTCAGCAAATGGATGTCAGCGCACAGCACTCGCACTAGTAGTGAAAGAACCCTTGCACGCTAGCTGCCCTGCTATATAGCTTCCGAAGATGGATGCGTGATTGTTCATCCGCAACCTACACAACGTATTCGAAATCAGCAATTAACATCATAGACGGGGTCAGCAGACAGATTCCTGACATCTTCCCGCGTCACTCTTGATATATACTACCCACGTGCATGCTCATTCTGTGCAACGAGAGGCCGCAGGATGAACGTGGTGCCACAGCGGGACTGCGATAGATGACAATAAGGAAGAGAGCCCTGGAAGAGATGTGAAATTGCAGAGGACACCGATATCCAGTCCGCTTTTGGAACGGAGTGAGATTCTGAGCCGCGGACGAAAGCAGTTTAGGCGATTTCATCAATAGCGAATGAGTATCAGCGCTGGGAACTAGACTCACGAGAGATCGGGAAGTGCGACGCGCGATATCCGCCCAGACGGTATCTCTGAGCATGGTGAGGCCAACCTAGCAGGTTGAGCGAGGAGCATGCGAGTCTGCCACGTCCGACTACAGCGCAGACATGGCAAACCTACCCATCTCGCTCAACAGGGGTATCTGAGTGTTACGAGCGGCCGAGAATCTGACCAAGGAGGGCAAGATTGCCTCGTTTTCTCGCCTCCATGCATGACGTCCTGAATATGTCCGCTGATCATGCATCATAGCATGGCGATCCAGGATAATGCACTAAAGAGACGTAGGCAATGCTACACTATCCCTTTTTCGTGACCGGGGACTCCGATTGCCAGAGCATATGGTGCACTGAACCATGATCATCTATTACGATCACGATCGACACGGAAGAGGGAGGCTGCTCGAGAGAGAAGGGAAGGTCTGCATCTGTCGCATACTTCATCTTTTGTCAAGACGGAGGGGAAGGTAGCGGGAGAACCTCGGAGAGCCACATATGCGGACCATCATGAGCCGCAGCATTCGCACGCCCTGCTTCACCATCCTTCCAGCTGGGCATGCTTAATTCTCTGTGCGAGTGATCCATTCGGGCATTACACGGAAGCACACCGACAGGGCGCACGAAGCGGTGGCAGATCCACGTGGGGAGATTGTTAGAAGATCTGAGTGCGCCCCGCCGAGCAACAAGGCCTGCTTGAAGAGATCTCGCCGGACTCCAAGATCCACATGGGGCGTTTGATTGCCTGCGTACTTGTATGGCGGAAGGGAGGCGGCGCCGTTCCAGTCGATCACGCCGTTATGGGACGTGATCGACAGCGAGAGATTTGCGACGTTGCTTGGTGGGACGAGGCGGCCTGCAATGCAACAGTAACCGCGAAGAAAAGTCGGGTTCTCATGAGGTATGTCAAGGGATCAATAAAGGGCCGGACGGACATTTGCCAAGGCAAGACTAGAATAGGTCAATAGAGATTATAATGCGAAGGTTCTGTCCAGATCAGTTCAGTAGTCAGCTCAGCATAGGATGATACCAGATATAGCAAATGACCTTCAACGCATGGCATCTCCATAAGTCCGAGGACTTGGCTGTCCTGTCCGCGGTGGTGCAGGGCATCAGAACGGTGTGGCGCAAGACTCATGGCCTTACGAGGGGAGCAAGCGTTCGAGAAAGAAAAAAAAAGGCTCGTGCAAGTTTGATGACCGAGCCACGCTGATGTGATTTGGCAGCTCTTAGTCCTCTCGCCTTCGAATCTGAACATCCAGCAAGGAAGCACTTTGATAAAGCATCACGCAGCCTCTTGCCCGAGCAGATGCCCAGATGACCGTACATTCAGTCTCCAGACAAAAGGGATTAGGGAGGGCCCGCCAGGGATAATTACGAGACAGGGTCGACATAGCGCGGCCGCGTACTGAAACGGGCAATTGACGACGACGGCGATTAGTCGATCCCTGCCTGCGCGAGCGACGGGCACCTCACGGGAAGCAGAATCGCGAACACATGACCAGTACATGCCGATGCAGCGCTCAGATTTCCGTGGCGCGCGCAGCCAGAATGGCGATTCGAATTCGAAGGCCTCGCGACTTCCCCAACGCCGGTCACTGCAGGCACCCTTTTGGAGGTGAATGCCTCTTCGAAAGCAGCGCAATTGGCACCGCCCGACCGGCCCCGACGTCAGTGCGACGAGCAGGGCAATCGCAATACCCAGAAGCGGATGTTTAGTGTGGTTCGTGTCAAGCTGTCGCGGCTCCTCTGCTGAATGTTCGTTCCTGTTCGAACGTCAACATCGTGGGTAGTTCGGCCCAATGTGAAACTAAGAGCTTTCCTACTGAAGCCGAGTAGAATTTTTGGGCAGTTATCGACGATTGCGCACCGTAAGGTGGGACATCGACTGGACGCCGGCCACACTCGCATGTTCATTTCCGAGGTGAAGCACGTCCTACGACATTCCTCGGTGAGTCTGCTCGAGAGCTCTGGGAACGAATGCTGAATGAGACAAGCAGATACTCATCCAATGGCAATGTTCTGAATGGTGGAATGATGTCGAGCCTATTATCAGGGGACCGGATTAGTGATTGGCCAGTGTCAGTAGCGGAGCGTGCCCGGAACGACCTGTCGGAAGCACCGATGCTCGGATGGGTCCAGCTCGATCCCCTCGCGTGGTAGCAAGGAAACTATGATCCTACCATGCTCGGACACAAGAGGCTTGCCATGTTGAGCATAGTTCAAGCTTGCGTAAGGATGAGAGAAACGTGAGGTGAGAAAAGCTAACAGCAGCGCTTCGAGCGATGCCATCACGCTGACCGGAGAGTGGGACTGATGCCGGCATGCATCCGAGACTCTTCCAAGTCCACCGTCAATTTCCCGGTACACCAGCGTTGAAAACGAACACCTCGCTAGTGCGACGGCATCTAAGCGAGGCTGTCCATCGCGAGGAAGAGAACGCTCTCGAGGATTCTGCCTAGCTGCAGGGAACTCCGAACTCCGTACCACACATGCCGGCATCGCAGGTAGGTTCGTCGCTCTCTCTCATGGGCGGAAAAATGTTTATGTGCGCTAAGCACAATATAAGGTATCGGGGAACGCCGATTGGATGAGGTGAATTGAAGGTTCTGATTAGGTAAGCTTGCAGGGCCTTCGAGGTCCGCGCCCAAAAGGGTTGCATGCGCAAAAATCTCAGAATCCGCAAATTGAGGATGTTCTGGAATTGATGGCTTCTTCGAGTGCACGCGAAGCGAAAGTTGGCCGCTCCTGCTTCAAATACCCAGCCCATGTCCGGTCCTGCTGATCCTCTCCCTCCCCGTCGTCGCCTTCCCCGACAATTCGCCTCCCTCGCGTGCCTGCACCGTTGCGCGCGTCAAGGTCCACCCTCGAGACACGTCGCACTCATTTACGCATCTCGATCCTGCACCCGTCGCCGCGCTGTCGTCCCACAAGGTATATCTTACGACCCTACCCGGAGTGCGCCTTCCCGTCTCACTCCTCTCCGCCCTGCAGCCATGGACTCGCCGTTCAGTACACGCAGCTTTGACAGTAGCATCCGTGACCAGCTCAGCGCGAAGCTCGAGCTACTCTCTCAGCTTTGTCTGCAAGAGATTGACGACGATCTGGCGGAGGATAACGCCCACTTTCACGCGAAGAGCGCGTACGAGGACGATCACCAGTGGATTACGGCAGAGTACCGGTGGGCGATGGACGCGACTGGCGACTCTGCCGTGAGTCTGGACAAAATGTTCGACGACGGTGAGCAGTCTTGCCGGTGAGACGCGAAGTGCAATGTGCTGACGCACAGGATTCGCAGAAGAAGACATGGATGCGTGCATGCCGCACCTGTATGACCCCACGCTCTTCTCTGATCCCCGATGTGCACCATTGCCTCCCACACGGAACAAGCCCGACGTTCAGCAGCGCGCATACAGTGAGAAAGTGAGTCGCTATTCCTCCTTGGTGTGTTGCTGTCTCGCGCCTTCGCGGCGGTGGTCGGTGGGGTCAGTGAACCCTTGTGCCTCATCGCTGTCCATCGCGCTCGGAGACGGTTCAGTCGCGACGTCGACGTTCTGCAGCTACGCGACATCAGTTTCAAGAGCCAAGGTGATAGCCTTCGACTGCCGACAGCGATCGGTGCCGCTTAACTTTCCTCTTCTTCGGAAGCATCCGAATTGCGTCCGGGTCGCTCAGTGGCACGTGGCCTTGTTGCCGTTTTCGGCGGCTAGGTCACACGAGCGCTACGGGTGAGGTCCTTCGCCTGCTGCGGTTGTGCGATTGATTCGCACCCTGCGACTGTTGCGAACGATGTGCGAAAGAAGGGAGACATAACTATCGTGAGCGATGTGCGTCGGCAAACATCACGATAGGAATGTCTCCTGGTCTGCATCTTGACATACTTCTGTCAATGTATCCGAACATGACCTGACCTTACTTCTCTTAGCCCTTGCCAGACATTCCACGCCCGTCGCTGGTTCGAACAGGCGTCCCCGATGCACCCCCACCCTCTCCTCTTTTGCCCCGTGCACCACTCTCCGTGCCGCTATCAAGCTCACCGCCGAGTTCGCCATTGAGGTCCGGTTTCTCATGCTCTCCTCCTCCGTCTCCGACCATGTCGACGACACTTTCTACAACTCCGCCATCATCCCCACTCCTGTCCTGCTCTGTTCCTCACTCGCCTAAAGCACACACGTTCCCACGTTCTCCGCAACCGAGCAACAGCGATGCGACCACGACGAGAAACACGCTTCCTCGTCCGTCTGCAACTCAGCGACACGCCACATATCCGTCCATCTCGTCCACCCTCGAACTCCTTGAGGGCCGGCAGACCCCCGTTCAGAAGAGGTCTGGGGTTCTGGTCACTGATACTGCGGAGGTGATCGAAGCCGACAGTGTGGCGATGGCGTCTACCCGACATCGGAGCGCCAACGCCAGCATAGGGCGAAGCAGCGGGGAAGCTATCAAGCCCGTTCTCTCCGGTGGTAGCCAGAACCTCAGAAAGCGACCGAGGCCCATCCTGCCTGCACTCACCACCTCAACTTCGTCCCCTCAATTGCGAACGCTCGCTTTGGGGTCTTCGTGCTCGAGTTCCTCCGGCTCGTCTCACTCGAGTGCGACCGTGATGGCGTCTCCGATGGTGTACGCGCCCATGACCTCGGGCGCACAAAGACAATTCCCTTTAGCGACGTCACAGGATGACGCCAGTGGTGAACTTCCGTCCCGGTGGTCTCTGGACTCCATCGCTTCGCGGCCGGCGCCGGCGTCATTCACCCCCACGGGAAGCTCCTTCGCGCCTGCCACGCCCCCCCAGACCCCCATCATTGGGAGAAAGAGGGACCGCCTGCTCAGCTTCATCACCAGAGGACGATCCGGCTCAGTGGCAAAACCATCCGGGATGGCATCGAACGGCATTGCAGCTCGCGACGGGAGCGAGGTGGGCCGCTTGTCGGTGACGAAGGAGCCGAGATCCACTGCGACATCGCCCCGTCCTTCGTTCTCAAATCCGCTGCCTCCCCTCCCCATGGCAATCTCACCGTCGTTCTCGACCTCATCGTCATCGTCGACTTCATCTGCTGCCTCTTCAGCCACGAGCTTGCCCACACCCGCGGACCCGATGAATCGCTGTCCGTCTCCGCCAGAGATCGATCCATTCTCGCCCACATCTCCATCCTTCGTGCCCAGCGAACAGTCCGTGCCCCCATTACCGCATAAGGATTCGTTGTATGACCACCCTACTCTACCTCCCTCTCCCCCTCCCGAGCCGACGCTGCCACTCCCTTCCCCAAGCACTCCCTCCCCGTCCTTCCTCTCGCCTCCGCGCCAGCAGTCGTTCTTCTCGCTTGCGCTCAAACGCCGAGCGCGCCGGCGCGGAAAGAAGCTCGTCATCACCGGTCTGCCGCAAGGCGACGCGGGAGACGCGCAGAGCAGCCCTGACGCCGAGCGCCGAACGCACGAGTGGCGGATGCGCTACGATGCCGTCGTGCGCTGGTGCGAGAGCTTTGGCGAGCTGCGGAAGATTGAGCGTAAGGACGACGGGAGTATCCATGTTTATTGGCGCGAGTGGGAGGTGGCGGATCGCGTGTGCCGCGTGCAGGCGCAGGTCATCATCAAGGACGTCGGCCGCGTGAGCCTTGCGTGGCATTACACTAACTGAATGGGTGATCCTGGGCCCGTGGAAGAGGAGTCGGCTTGCCGTTCGTCGTCGCTAGGCAACTGGGCTTCGGGACTCAAACAGCACTGCATTCGCAAGCCGCAAAAACTATAGCCGTCGTTCCTTTGTCTCTGTTTCCTGCTGCATCTGATGCGCTGCCACGCTCGTTTCGTTTCGCACCTCGGTAGCTCTCCCAACATGCGCTTCGTCGAATCTTCACCAACTGTACCATACGCATCCGCATCGCACGTTCATTCTTCTCATTGTTTCTGTTTATGTTGCAGTGTTTGCTTGTGTTCTAACCCCAGTGCTCCTCCGCTTCGCGCGATCCTCCGGCCCCACCTGCTCCTGTTTCACCACATTCTCATTGTTTGTGCTTTTCCCTGGGCTCTTGCCGGTACATTTGTTCACCCGTCCGACGTATTCCTATTGACCTTGTTGTGCATATTTGTCGTTTGCCATCTGCCATAGAGTCGTCCCCGGGCGCTACTGCAAAAGAAAGGAATACATAATGTTGTGTAGCAGCAAGTAGTGTATGAAGTTGTACATGTCTACTGTATGACTATGTAGAGTGTCTAATACACAGTAGAGATTCATCACTCTGACTTATGCAATGCCGGCGCGCGCGAAAGCGGGTGAATGGGTTCAAGTTGTAATGCGCGAGAGTCGGTCACCGGCCGACGTGCGAACAAGGTTCGTAGGTTTTATAGCTGACTCCTGGGCTTCTCGAACCGAACATCGAATTCTCGTAGGTGCTGCTATGCACAGAATTATAGCTTGCAGCGTTGCCAACGATGGTAGGTGCTTTGTGCAGGCCACGCTGGCACGGATAGCATGTACGTTAGCACGCGAACAAGTGCACATTCTCAGAGAGGCCAGATGTTCCCATGCTCAGATCAGTTCATCATTCACTGGCCGCTGATGTTAACAATGGAAAGCATCTGTCCACTTGAGTGGAAAAGACATAGCCAATCGCACCTGGGACATCGTAGCACGGCCCGCGGAAGTAGGAAGGATCTCTCGGATGCACCGGCGGATCATGTCGAACTTGATAGATGTCCGGAGTCTTCTAGCTCTGCGTGCCTTGCATAATGAATGGGCCGCAAACACCGTAACATAACCTTGTGCTCAACGTTTAACCTCAAGGTCGAAGCATCTCATGTGCCTGGGGTACGATCGTTCTGGCTCCAGAACGGCGCAGGTTGAGCTGCCCGGCAGCAAAGTTATGTTCGACGGTGCGTCTCGACAGGGAAGTATGGTCACACATGGAGGTGGAGTGCCGGACATACGAAGGCCGGAGGCATCGCGAAGCTGTCATGAGCCATGGAGGCGACGGGAGCATGCGGTCTCTCGAGCATTCAGTGCGTTCGCACAGTCATGCATGCATGAACGGTCGTGCTAGCCCTTTGATCCGCAGTACTGACGTTATCTGGCATTACGTGATCCCGTACCGAGTAGAACGATAGAGATGCGCGATCATTAAGGGCTGCGCGAACGTAAAGTGCGTTCGAGTTCAGGTTTACTGATAACGATTGGATTCGTTGATCGATGCTGCTTGATACCGCTCGGTGCACAGGCGTGATCATCGGGTATCATGAATAGTCAGTAGTGAGCTCTCGCGGAGAGCGGACATACAGGGCATACTGGTTCGCACTAGCCATGCCGGCACGGCCGGTGTAAGACCGCTATTCACACTACGCCGACATCTCCTCAGAGTTTCTTTTCCCGACTCTGCTGCGACTCCTTCCACCACTGCAACAGCAAGGCCAATCAATGAGGCTGAAGCTAGACGTCTCGATAAGCCGCATCCGACGTACCTCCACAGAGTCGCGTATCCCCTCCTCGATGGAATACTTGGGCTCATAGTCCAACGCCTCCCTCGCCCTGGTAATGTCGCACCATCGCGTCGTAGTTACGTACGTCACCCGGAACCGCGTCAATGTCGGCGTCGTGCGCGTGATCCACCCCCAGATTTCCATGAAGAACGCGATGATCATCGCGAGGAACCGGGGGATGACCGTGATCTTCGTGGGGACGTGCCCCGCCTCTTTCCAAAGCGCGCGGGGGAAGTCCCAGAAGGGCATCGGTGCGCCATTCGTGATGAAGAAGGCCTCGCCGTGGACGAACGAGTACTTCGGGTGAGACGGAGAGAGCCGATCAGCCGCGAGGAGGTGCGCGAGGGCGGCGTTGGGGATGTAGGTGAAGTCGAAGAGGTTCTGGTTGTTGCCGATTTGCATGCCCGTGCGGCCGGATTCCAACACGTTCATGAAACCGGGGATGGCATGGCGATCTCCTGGGCTGAAATGATGTGAACAACACGTCGCATTTCAAAAACGCGAGCGGCGCGCACCCAAACAATCCAGCAACCCTGAGCGAAACCGTCTTCAGACCGACATCGTACTGCTCGTCCGCCGCGAGGACCAACCGCTCTGCCTCTGCCTTGCTCGCGTTGTAGTCGTCAAAGGGCGTCTCAGGATATCGAGCGGTTTCATCGACGCCATCCTGGTCGGTGCCGTCGAACACCACGCTTGCGCTGCTTGTGAACACGAGCTTGGAGACACTGTAATTGCGCGCAACGGCTATGACCTGCTGTGTGCCCTGCACGTTGACGTGGAACATGGCGTCCCGAGGAGCGCCTTGAACCAGAGCGGCTGTATGGAAGATGCACGTCGCGTTACACTGTAATGTAAAGCCTCCGCGTTAGTACCAAGTTGGACATGATGAAAATGAAATGCGCGGTTCTGGTAATGAAACCAAAGCAGGACTGATTGACCCCGACAAATGGAACACGGACCTTCTTCACTGCGTTTGAGAGATCACCCTTATTTGTGACATCTCCCAGAAACTCGATAATGCGCTCGTCGGACTCTGCGGAAGGCGCAATATCGAATACGGCGACAGAGGTCTCTCCGCGCTCAAGCAGCATCTTCGCGATATGTCTTCCGAGCAATCCATTTCCACCAGTGATCAGGTAGGAATCTTTAGTGTTGGGAACCATGTGTTGAATTTTTTGAAATCCTAGGGCTCAGAAAGCCTTTTTTGATGACGGGGGGATCTGGAGGAATTAGTTGCAAGTGAAGACCTGCTGGCATTTGAGTGCTATTGAGCTGGCACCGTGTTTTCGGTCACATGACCGCGTCGGTTACGGAGTCGACTTTCCCCGCCGTCAGGCTGACTCTGCGCGCCGTGAAGCTGCTCAGGAAAGACCGTAGAAATCATCAATGCGCTGTTGTTAGCCGAAGGGATCATCCATGTTGTCGCTTTAGTTCTGCGCAAGAGTACTTCGATATCTCCCTAACAAGCCTCTAAATCCTCGACGTGACCTACTACAGTCCGTTGCTAGTATCTGTGCGGCAAACGATTTACTATCTGTCCTCGATGCCAGAGGAAAGCACCAGTTTAGCGGGCCGATATCGCGCTGTGCTGCTTATGAGTGCTCGATACGATGCTTCGTGTGGACAAGAGATTCATCCCGCATAGCTTTCTGCAGCCTGGAGAAGGTCCTCAGGTTATCTTACGTTTATGTGGCGTCAAACCTCGTTGCAGACTCTGTGGATTGAACGATACTATCTTATCAACGTGCGCATCACCGAAGGCTCACGAGAGCCGGCGAGCTGACACTGGGAAGGTCTGCGGCTAAAAATCATCTAAAATGGCATACTGCTCCTCCTCGTCGATCTCTGTGGCCTCCCAAGTGAGGATCAGTTGGCGCATAGCTGCCCACTCTTGGTGAGCCTTACTTTCCTCGATGAGTGTATCTGTTGTTCCTTTTGCCTTCCCCTTTCCCATGCCCATGTCCTTCTGCCCAAGCAACGGAGACTTCGGAATTAACGGAATGATTGGTTGCGGGTAGCCTTCAGCTACCGTGGTCCATTTTCCATCTGAATCGCGGTAGCGCCTGTAGGTTTGCGGGGATGGAAATGCGCTTCGATGCGGGAAATAGTCTTCAAGGTCCGCATATTTTTTGTCGTCATTGTTACTCGCTCTCTTCGTCACTTCCGTGTCAGCACCACTAGCAGCATCGTTAGCTCCCGTCGCTTCTTCGATGTCGGTTTTCATTGGACTCCTTTCCTGCTTTTTGGGAGATCGCGCTTGGGCGACGAGCGTAGCGAGCGTCTTCTTCGGTGTTTTAGGGCGCTTGAAGGGAGAGTGGGTCCTACTTCGGCGTCTGACGAACGATTTCCGACCGGTGGAAGGGCGTGGCGATCGGCCACGATCAACTTTGTGGGGCGATTTCGAGGCGTCTGCCAACGTGTTGTTGGAACGAGAACGCTTTTGATGGCGGGACTCGAGTTGTTTCGGCATCACTTGACTCTGTGGCAGAGGCGTCAGTATGACGCCGCGATGGTCCGATCGGGAGCGGCTGGCGTACCTAGTGGGGCGGAGTGCTGTAGCCAAGAGAGGTCGAGCAGGCCTTATGGATCTGCAGACGCGTGGTGGCATGCACTATTTCATGGGGCGCCTTATATGTTGTCTCCGTCCCATGACGCCTCGTGTTCGTGTTATATCTTGATGGGCCACAAAAGATGACATGTGTTGGGTGCCGCAGGCCAGTAGTCGTCGGTACATCTGAAGTTCCCGAACCTGGCCACATTGTGAGATTGATCGTGGCCAATTGCGACTTGCGTGGCCTTGCCACCACATATGTGCGTTGGAGTCAAGAGATGACTCTTCAGAATAGACAATAACAGAAGAAATACAGGAACTCATGATACTCCGTACTTGCGTCAGAGAAATCAAAGTACTGCGCACAGGACCAATGAGAGCACTCTACAGACTGCCCCTTAGCTCGACCATCAAACCCCCGCCAACATGAATACATGGTAAGTACATTCCTAATTGGTTGCCATCCATTTTACAAACCAATAGGGAATCAGAAGCTGAACCGGCTCTTGAACGTCGTCCAATCCCTACTCAGGAACCAACTGAGCTCGCGGAGAGCCTGACATTCCTGTTCATGTTTGCGCTGCCAGGCTTTCGTCTGATGTTCCTGTATGAGAACAGTTTTAGCTCAGCATCGAGGAAGAGTGTATTCGCGATCACTACCGGCACGCAGTATCTCGCTGTTTTGCATTTGTTGCATAGCTGCAGATCCTCTTTGTTGCTGCAGCCCGGGGCCCAACAGGTTATCGGAAGGCTAGTCTGAAGCTTGTCATTGGCCAAACGCAGGTCGTTCAAAGTGCAAGGGATGATCTACACGGCAGTAGTTGTCGTGAGTACCCGTGTTCCACGGACTCTGCTCTCCAGTACGTGCCGCATAACATACCTTCACCTGGTTGGTCGACTCCATACGGAACCCGACTTGACCATCAAAGAATTGGTGGCGGAAAGGATACAAGTGTGCCATTGTATCACCCTTCTGTAGTCGGCCACCTTTGAGGTAGCGACTCCCGCGATCTTCGTCATCATAAAACGAGGCAAGTACGACGCGGCCGGAAGCATCTCTCACGTGCAAATGGACCCGTCCAAATACCATATAGTCAACTACCTCGCCAAAGTAGCACCAATGCCGTTTACGCGTGGCTACGGCCCCTTGGACACGGAGGTATCTGTCGTCGATGCTATGTTCACCCGGGCAATTTTCGTAAGAAGGAAACGCGAGTTTATCGCGTAGATCGGCTATAGGCTTTCCAGGCGTGCCAGCATGGGATGTGTAACCGTGAGTAGCCACGCCCCTTGTGTAAACAGGGAGCGATCGCAGACGTTGCTGCGGTCCACGAATGAGTATTGCACCCTTCATTTTGAATTCTGCTGTAGACACGAAAGCCATGGAAGACAGACGCATAAGCTTTAATGAGATAGGGACTGGCCTGTGACATGCCTCAGAATGTGTTAACGGTGCACATGCTATGGTGGTGGGTGTAAAGAGCGAGGAAAGTGCGGAAGCTGTTGCCTGTACATATATGCAGTCGGACAACTTCGTCACTGACATGAGACCAACACGTGAAGAAGCAGGACGGCTTCGCAGAAGTCGCGTGCTCGAGCCCTTGTTAGTGCACCAAATTTCCAAGATGTTTTCGTCACCATCACCTGAAAGTCATTTCTATCTGCTTTTGTTGTGTAGGATGTTGTCCGAAGTCGCTCAATCACGCAAACATCGTCATCAAAGTTCATCGATGCATCAATGTGTCATAATTGCTAGTGTCAACAAAAATACTCACAGGGACGGCTATCGACGAAAATGATGTCGGTCCGTGCACGTTACGGCACCTTAATCGCGACCCCGATATGTGATTCAGGGACATTGCGTAGCTTTCAATCGCGTCGACGTCTGCCATCAACAGGATACGCTCAGGGGGGGTTGATCATAAATATGTGAGCAGGTCGACCAACATGACTGCCCGTAATGAGGCAGGCAAGAGGTGGCAGGTCTTGTCATTAGGAACACTCACGTGGAGGCATAGTATCGCCGTGTACGGTGTTATTGCTTGCATATGCATGCCTCGCATTCTTAAAGTATCATCTTCAGCTCCTAATTTTGACCATAACATGGTGGTTGGTTATGGCGTTTGGCCTCAGGCAATATGACCATTGAGGCTCTAGCTGTTTGTCGGCTCGTTCACGCACGCTCGTGGCACGGTCTGACACCGTCACATATAGCCCATGTCAAATACGGCATCGCACGGCGAGGTGCAAAAGTCAGATATGAATTGAGGCAAGCAGTATGTATCAGAAAATAGCGCATTCACGCTTTCTGGGAATGTAGATTCTGGAACCTACTTTCGACAGGCCCTGCCACTATTGACGCATCTCGTGTGGCGCGCCTGATGAGATGCGTCAATCATGTGACCGAGATTCTGCCACGTGCGTGGCGATAGTATCGAGTGAATAAAACTCTTTGCGCATTTACTAATGATCAACGCGAGCTAGATTCCCAGACAAAGCGTTGAAAACATTATGAGCCTTCGTTCACTGATTAACTGTTGAATGTGTGAGCGCTCGATGGGCAGGTGTGCATGAAGATTGGAGCCAACCGGAATTCTCCGAGCCCGTCATCCTAATTTGGTTGTGTCGGATCCGTAAGAACCATGACTTTCAAGCTAATATACACGAGGCCTTCTTTTTTATGACCCTCTCCAATCTTCTTGCTCAACCACATCGTCGCTATGGGAGTTGCAGAGTCCACCGTTTTGCCTGGTGACGAAGATGCTCGGTTTTCCTCCGGAGACCATTACATTGTGCTGGGAGTATCTGAGGATGCTAGTTCAAATGAGATACGCGTATGTTACATTCAGTTTAATGAGTCAACATGTTCATTGAACTGATTATGTACCGTATATCCAGAGTGCGTTTCGGAAAGCTGCATTATTACACCATCCGGACAAAAACGTAGATGACATGGAGCGCGCTACTCAGCGTTTTTCGGCTTTACAAGCAGCGTATGAGGTAGGGCTGTAATTTCACGTATATCTGATGCTTGAGAATCGATGAATGATATCGCGCTTGGTAGGTCCTCAGCGATGACCAGGTACGAGCGAATATTACTTCTTATATGCGCCGTGCCTATACAAAGAGAGCGTTTTATAGAAACGAATGCTATATGACGCGCAGAGAGCCTTCAAGGAGCCATACATACCGACAACTACGGAGGAATTCACTTCAAAAATGCCCGGGTTTTGGGAGCCGGAGAAAGAAACTCCACCAGCAGCGTCAGGACCTCGCGATACGCCACGCAATGGGGTGCCTCCGACTAGCTCTTGGTCTCGGAAAAGTTGGTTCCAACCAAGAGATCCTTTCCCTCCAGAGTTGGGCCCCATTGGCTTCGACGACTTGCATGATTTTCATCATCTCCTCACTCCTGAATTGCTCGTCGAGGAGGGCCACGAGGTGAATAGTATCGTGTTTAGTTCTCACATGCCCAATTTCAATTGAGATTCAACGTTTTTCTCGCAGACATTCTACAAGCTGTACCGGAGAATATTTATACGCATCGCGCAGGATGAGCCAAATGGCTCCCAAGATATGCCAGAATTTGGCGATGCCTCGTCTCCTTGGGCACTTCGTAGACGTCCAGCGAAACAGCACGATGGTTCTGTCCGCGCATTCTACACGTTCTGGGTCAACTTTGAGACTTCGAAGGACTTCACGGAAGAGATCGCTTTGGACATTCCTCCTGATGCTTCTCGTAAAACAAGAAAGTCAGTTCGTTCCCTTCTTAGATTGCAACATGTTTTATAACTTCCTGAACCTTAGACGAGCCCAAGCCGAACGCAGGAAAATTGGCCATCAAATTGGTATGGAGTATAACCGAGGAGTGAGAGTGCGTCTGCTCAGTGATCCACATAAATACGTATTCTCATGTTTTGATCGCGAGTTAGTCTCTTGCTATGATGATACGCAGCGTGGACCCCCGCTACGTTTGCAGGAACTCGCCTTGCGCGTGCATGGGATGTTACGCTAGGGCAATGGAGTCGCGAATGGGTTGAGAATGGTGCCATTTTCATCGGGTTGAACGACGTGAGTAGGTGTCTCAATGATTTTCGCCAAATGTTCGTTGCTTCGCTCTATGCTGGTTCAGATCCTTGCGCATACAGCAGTTCGTCAAATGCATGTAGTCCATCTGCAAGCTTGACTGTGCTGGAATCTACTATACAGTGCGATGTAGCACAATAAAGCCGCTGGTAGTAACGATAGCACGATCTTGACTTGCAGATGTCGATCGAGGTTTGTCCTCGTTGTATAATATATCGATGATAAAGTCTCATACACTCGGGCCATTCAACCGAGATGAGATCCAGATCCTAGCCGGAGAGTATTGTATGCTTCACTTTTAATATCCTTCCTACGGTATACGTAGGTCCATGTTTCAAAATCCCAGAAATCCGAATCATTAGACATGACTGTGACAACTCTCACGTGCAGTGACATATCGCGTACCGTGACGGATTGGCGCGTCTCCTTTTTGAGTCTCTTTCCCTGTTTTTCCTCTTCCTACATGATGATTGCGGCCAGAATTCGACAATTCTATCGTACAGACTCCTCATACTCTGTAATTGCCGACCCCCTTTGAACAAAAGTGAGACCTCAAGCAACTTCCGCGTTCCCAGTGTTACGTGTCAATTTCCCGATACACAAGAATGACGACATTCTGAGCTTGATATCTTCGCTATATGAATTTTAAAGCGCTGAATGCGCTCTTAAATGGACTCCAAGAGTTGATCGCGTATAATTATAACAATTGGTGCGTGTAGATTCTGAATACCGCTCAATAAAGTACACAGCAGTGCGGAATGGTCCCCGTTTGTCTCTATCGTCTTAGTCATGTTGAATGTGCTCTTGCTACTATCTGAGCGTGTGTACTCTTTTTCATTGCTGCTCCATGCTGAGTGACTGATACTGAACCTTACAGACGTTCGAGAGCCAAACAACAGTACATGACTCCTCTGCTTCCGCATCTGGTAATGAGCTGTTTGACTCACACGTCGATGGTCGCTCTCAAAGCACTCGTTTCGTCTTACTGATTGATCAATCGGATGTTCACAAAGGTGTCGTGCTGCCTGTTCAGTCTGTCCTCGCCTGTGACAGTACGATGATGCGTCACAGACCTAGTGGAGAAAGTGCACACGTACATTGCAAACACAATCCATGCTCATGTAGATGGACTGGATAATGAGTCGTCTATTGGAGCTCCGTGAAGGCGCCGCTCTATGATAGATCCTGGGCATATCCTTAGCATATAGTGAGTTAATACAGCGTTTCTGAGTCATTCGACTAATTTACAAAGTAATTTCATGCAGGTTCAGGGTATAACGTTCATCACGGTATAGTATACAAACTTCATGCACAATAGATACTACGCCTTGGGAGGTGCGCGGTCATGTCGATGCGGAGACTGGGAGTCGTTCATCTGCGAGAGGTATGTTAGGTGAGCCTAACCAAAACAATGCATGTACTTACACAGTAGTTATCCAAACAAGGCATTGCTACTGGATTGCCTTCTCAACAAGTCGTTGAGATTCCTGGCCACTACTCCTGCACCTTCCTTCACCCTTTCTCGGTCGTCTTCCCGCACTTTGGGTAGGAGCTTCGTTTCGAATCGATCAGGATGCCATCGCTTGATATGATCCTTGATTCGGTCCTTTGAAGTCTTCTTGTCGCCATCTGGATGGTGCTTCGACAGCACGTAGGCCTCGATCGCGAGCATGGTCAACTCTTCTAGGCTTTCAGGCGTCTTCAGGATCGGCCAAGGGAACGCATACCAGCTCAAGACCTCCAGTGTCCCTAACCTAGCCCATCGTCGTTCGTGCTCTTCGAATATCCGAATCACTTCCTCCTTCGTCAACTGTTTGGTACGCTGGTTGTGTTTATGCCTCGCTTCCTGTTCTTGTTCCTTCTGGAAGCGCTCCTGCTGCTGTCGAGCAAACTCCTCCTGCCGACGCTGCCATTCTTCTTCGTCCAACGAAGCGGTTCTCGTCCAAGTGTTTGGGGTCGGTGACTGTCGATCACCATTTGGAGCTCCTGGAAGAGCACCAGTGGCTTTCCATCCTGTGGATGCGGGCTTCGCAGTAGGTGTGCTTGTGGTCGTGCTTGTGGTCGAAGCCGTGCTATGGGTCGATGCGTTGGACCGACCAGAAAACGAAAATCCCGAAACACTGCTGAAGCTGGATGACGTCGTACTGTTTCGATCGGTGGAGGCACTACTTGCCGACGAACCGGTCCGACCAGGTATGTTTTGTGGGATGGACGAAGAGGCCGAACTTTGAGGCGTAGCGGGCTGATTACCTTCAGAGGCCTCACCGCCTGATCTCTTCCGCTCTTCATGCTTCCTTCGCAGTGTCTCCTGCTCTTTCTGAAACTCGTCGCTCTGTTGCTTTAACTGCTGCTGCTTCATTTTAGCACGGTTCCAGAGCAGCTCTTGCTCTCTTATGAGCTCTTCCGAAGATAGGAGGCTTTCTAGACCGTCCTCTGAAGAGACCTCCCGTTGGGCGGCTTTCCCATCACAATCATGGTCCCCTGTCGGCTTGCATCCATTTGGCTGCTGGTGCTCCTGTCGGACTTCTGCCGTGATAGATTGCTCACGCCGGACCAACTCCTCTTCCCGTCGGCGCAATTCCTCCTGTTTCTGTTCCAGCTCTGCCTCCTTCCGTCGCAACTCGCATTCTACTCTCCTTACCTCTTCCTCTTTATATCTCACGTCCTCTGCTCGCCGTTGAACCTCCTCTTCTCTCCGCTTGACCTCTTGTGTCTGCTTCCTGGTCTCCTCCTCTGCTTGCCTGGCAGCCGCGGCGAGTTTCTTGGCCTCGTCTTCTTTCTCGCGCGCCATCTCGGCCTGCTTTCTCGCCTCTTGCTGCCGGCGTTTCGCATCCTCCGCCTCCTTTCTCGTACGTTCGGCTTGCCTCTGCACCTTTTCCTCCCTTTGCTTGACCTCATCCTCTCTGATTCTCAACCCCACAGCTCTGCGTTCGTTCTCCTCGGCAAGCCGCCTCATTTGTGACAGCTCCTCCAGCTCCTCTAGACTATGCAACCCGTATTCCGAGTCGTCCCATAAATCATCATCATCATCGTAATCCTGCACCGACTGTTCATTATGGGACGCCAGCCTCCGCCATAAGGACCAGTCTCCACCCCATGGGGTTTGCAAGTTCTGTCTCGACGATTGCGAGCGCAGGGAGGACGAATCAGCAGAATCACGGCGCCTGGGCGGGTTGGTTTTAGCAGGATTCGACCACATTCGCCACTTGGCAGCTGGCCGTAGTTCGTCGTTCGGAACGCCAAACGTGTCAGATCGCTTCATGCTCGTCGCCCGACTATTACTGGGGCTCCCGCTGGGTTGTGCACCTCCGGATCCGTGGAACGACGTTATCTCTGGACTGTGATGAGACAGACGATCACGGTGATCCAATATAGGCGACTGCTTAGCGACAATTGGTCGACTTGCGTTGACACCAGATGGCTGCAAGCGCATGTCCTCCGGGTCTGCTTGCGGCGAAGCAGATTTCCAAGACGCCGTCTTCATCGATATATCCATTCTATCGCTCGTCGATGGAGAGTAGTCACGGATGCTTGGATCGCGCTGGCCTGAGGGAGGATGTGTGGCCGGCTGAGGGCCTCGTGCTCTGTACTGGGAAATAGAGGAAGGGGGCGCATCCGGACTGTCAGGACCAGCTTCTTTCTTCCCTCGAAGAACATCGCTGGCAGACAACTGCGGTTTGATCGGCTGATCCAATGCCTCTTGCTGCTTCTCTTTAGTTCGTGACGTCTTTGCCCATTCCTGCTCCAACGCGTCTTTCCCGGCTTGTTCTCGCCTGGTGTTCGCCTCGGTGTCGACGTTGCTACCCTGTCTCGAAAGGACATGCGTACTGCCGGCCCTCGACGCGTAAAGACTGCCTCCTCCACCAAAGCTGCCTGGTTTGCGGTCTCTGAAAAAAGTGTCAACGAACGGACGCGGCTTCGCCGACCCAGCTTCTGAGTTGGAAGGAGGCTTCCAGATCTCCTGATGCGATCCGACGCTGGAAATCGAGGCAATGCTCGCTTGCCGCTGGATTACTCTCTGATGTGGATCATGGCTACGCGAGGGCGTAACTGGAGAAGCTGCCTTACTGTTGAACACGACCGAGATGCCAGATAATGGGTTCGGTTTCTTGGCAGCAGAAGTAGGACTATCGTCCTGTCGTGCCTCAGTGGCGTTCGTGGCTCGATCAACTATGGCGGGCTCTGCTTTGCCGGACTGCGCTGTGTGGAGTTATTGGCTTGACTCCGCTCCTTTTGTTTGATGAAGAAGCTTACCTGCACTCGCACTCTTAAAAACGCTTTGGCCACCCTGCTCGCGCGCAGAGCTTGACTCGCTGTGCTGCTGTGTGTTCCTCTGGATGGCTGCCATGCGCTCCCGTTGTAATCGAACGATCTCTGGATCTGGGATTTCACCAAGCACCGCCCAACGACGCAGCTTCTTCTCGTATTGCAGTAGCACATGGAACTCCGCCTCTGCCATTTTGCGGAGCTCTGCCATCCTGTCATCATACTCCTTCTTGACCCGATCTTGGTCAGTAGGACTTGTCGAATGTAGGCTTAGCTCGTCATCCCTCTTCTGCTTTGCCTCTTCCACGAAATGCCACAGCCCTCCTTCAATCTGCTTCCTTGTTTCCTCCTTCCATTGGTCGTCGGGCTCGATATCCGGTTCGCCTGCTCCAGAGGCGTCTCGTTCGGAGATGTCAGTTTTGAGGGGATACGCCACAATGGCGGCCATCGTAACGCTAGTGGCGAGCAGTAGAGCAGCGGCGTTGCCGAGATCAACGTGGCGTCAAATGTAGGAGAACAGACAGTGTGGATGATGGAAGAGAGCGGAAGTGGTCGCTTGATGTGGAGGTACAGGCCAGACTTGCTGTGAAGGATATCTGGGAGGATGTAGGATGTCCCAAAGCGGTCCTGCCTCATGTTCAGCACACGCGTTCGGATAAGCCTCGTAGAACGCTGCCAGGCCTTGGGCGTTGAAGCGCGGAATTAGATCAACCCAACGCTCCTGTTAAAGCATGATGCATGAGGTCTCAACAAGGAGATAGCAACAGACAAACCAGCACCACAGGACAAACAATTGTCCAATATGGGTTGCTAACGCGCGGTGCCATGTCCATGTCGATGCGCCTAGGTTACGTGACGCGTCCATCAATTCATTCTTCGTAGCGCTCGTCTTCATGGGCGTCAGTCGGGATGCTACCACTGCAGGATGAAGGCAATTATTCCCGCTGCAAATGCTCTGAAAATGTGTTCTAAAGTGTGACCTATGCAACACTATGCCCTAATTAGGTAACTTTATTTCCCAAAAAGGCAGTCAATTACAATTTAGTGTCATTAAATAACGGTCGCAAATGCTTTCATGTCTGCGGTGTACCCTTCACGCGCTTCCTCGTCAAGCCTTGAAAAGTCTTGTGGGCTAGCATCGAGCATCTACTGTATTCCAGGCTACTCACGGAGCGAAGGCACAATCAACTATTCAATGGCGGGAACCTGGATAGACGGCCTGGCACACTGCATCGGATTCAGAATCGCGATGTTGATCCCATTTACTGGTCGTTCGACATTATGAACAGGATTTCCTCGCGACGACTGGCTCTCAAGTCTACTCTATAATACCTTCTGTCCAGCGACTTGGTCCATCTCTCGTCAACCTTGCAAAAGAAATTGTCTAAAATTCAATCAACCTCGTACCTATTGGTTCAAGTGACCAATGCCATGATAGATCTCTGCTGCGCTCCTTCTTTCAGCTGATGCGAGATGCTGGCTTTATTTTACTGAGAGTATACGGGTCGTGTCCAGAATGCCAGATAAAAATGCCACGTGAGTCTCAGAAACCTAGCAGAGCTTTGGACATATAGCTGAAATCTTTCTATGATGCGGCAGAACACATCGAGATTTGCGGATCCCTACCCGGTGAGCGGCCGTCCGAAAGCGATACGGCACAGAATCTATCCATCCAGGTCGTTCAGATCTTAAGCAACGAGATCCTCACCGCAAGAAAGTCAACAACCACCGTGCACGATAACATCATTTCAGGTATATTTCTTGGCCGATCTTCAGGAACCCCAGAAGCTAGAATGATGTGAAGACAGTCACTCCGGAAGAAGGTGATCAACTGAAACAGATATAAATACAGGCAGATGTCACGGTTTTACCCGGACATATTTACTTTTGCTACACAAGTCCTATGAGTCAACCTATAACTAGATACCGAAGTGCCCACCTTCATACTGGTCTATCTAAGTGGATACTTGGACCTGTCACAAGTCAACACCAGCCACACAGCAGACTTGACTGTGTCTACCACATGACCAACGGAGCGCCCGATTTGACCACCCAGTCACGTGACCGGATAAGGGGCTTATACCTTTAGGCTATGATAGTGACACAACAGATAGCAGCACCTACCCTATTGGCTACATCCAATAGGACCAACACCATTGGCCACTCAATAAGTGGTCCCACTTCAGCTGCTCACAAAGTGGCACCATGTTCTACAATTATCTCATTGGATGCAGTACGGCCATTACCCTCTCTTTTGTGTGATAAGGCTAAGGGGCCCTTTGAGCCACCTTTTACCTCATGTCATCATCCACCACTGGCGATGAGTCACAGGATGCAGGCAGCACCTTGCAGCCAGCTCCTTGCCTTTCTAGGCAGGAGTCACAATGCGCTGTGACAGCAGATGGTGTCATCAACTAGCCAAATAGGTCCATAAATTGGAAGTGTTCGCTCATTCTCATCAGATAATAATGTGCAGAAGCTGTTATACCAGAAGAAAAAGTGGGTGCATCCAGAGCGACAAGTGAAAAAGTGAGTCCGCAGTACTTTTGAAAGATTGGCGATTTTGCGGAACTCTCTGGTGAGTGCTCTCAGCATTCACATGAGATGCTATAGCGAGTCTCATATACCATCTCTCCCACTTTGTGGGAACATACATACAATTTCTGTAACAACTTAGCATACACTTCTTCTGATTTTTCCTGTGTTCATCGATACTATTACAAATATCTTACAAGTCTTCCATTCTTTCACTGCAGCGGGTGCATAGTCCCCAGGCCTCAAGGCAATGCGGAACCAGAGTTGATCGCATTCGCCACCTGGCTTGTGTTCGGGCGATTGTACGCATAGCTGTGGCGTGTGGTCAGGACTCAGCCTCTTCAGACAAAGCGCGAGTTGCTCACCGTTCGTAACTGTCAATGTACAACTCCTTAGTGCTGCAGGTGCGCTTGAAAGCAGGGTAGTTGATGATTCGCTCGATATAAGCTCTGAATTGGGGCCCTTCGGGAAGTGCAAAGCCACGATAGTAGGGAAGGACGTTGGTGGCACGGAAAAGCCCTATAACACCTCAGATACGTCGGTTTCGACATTGGATACTCGGTATAGCTTACAGGGTGCAACCATGACATCAGCCAGGCTCAACTCGCCTTGTTCGCGCCAAAGTCCGCAAGTTGTGCTGGTCTCCTTCTCAGCTCTTTGATAGAGCTTGATGAGACCTTCGATTGCTTGCACGAACTCTCTTCCCGCTGCGATTTGCTTCTCTGATGACACGTCACATCATTGCTATGCTGGCAGTAATGAGACCGTTTCTACATACCTTCGGTTTGTGCCTGAAGGTACCGATAGAAGGATGGGACAAGAGTGCGGTTGACGTGATCCGCTTGTAGACGAACGAGGGCACGGGCATCTGTACAAAGCATGATTACTATGCTGTGGAACATGCCTTCTATGCGTGAAATTACATGGATCAGATATGGGAGGAAGCAGGCTTCGCTTGGTCGCGTTTGCTGCTAAGCTATAATCGCATATATTGAGTTTCATGACGACATTTCATGCGAGAACTTACTCCTCTAGAAAGTCGAGGATTACGGTGCTCTCATTCACCGCTCGCGCAGGCTCATACGTCTCGAGCCTCAACGCCGGGACGAGTCCTTTGGGAGAGACTTCAAGGAGATCCGCAGGTTTCTTGTACGGATCGACCTCGTCTGGACTCAGGTGTTATATCGCGATTGACTTTACTTAGGGAACATATGGTGATACTAACAATACTGATCACAAGTTCAGCAGATCGGGAACGACAAGACAACCTGGCAAAGACTGACCTTGTAATCTATCCCGAGATACTCCAGCGCCGTCCAGACACGCTCGACGAAAGGGCAGAAGCAGCTACCGAAGAGTGTGATATCCTTCGAACTCCTATGAGCATTCGCCGTTTCCAAGGCTTCACCGCTGCATTGCCGATGGTAAGATTTCCCGGAATCGCTTGTCTTCGACATGATCGATGTAGGCTGACTATTCGATTTCTGGCGGGGCGTCGGCCCGAAGGTGTTAGCCACAGGCCCTCACGATCATATGACCGCATTTAAACTCACGCACGATGAAATTCGAGCTGTAAGTTCAGTAGCGTTCACAAGCATGCAAGGCCTGGAGGATGATGGATAGGTTGTGACCCACGGAAGAGTGCCTGTTCACAGCATGTACATTTGAAAAACTTGGAAAGAGGCTTGAAGTGCGGCCTAACGTACGTAGGGGCGTTGAATTGCGGAAGTGAATCAACGTCCCTTCTTGAAACTCATCTCCAGCGCCAGTGGCAATGAATTCTGCTATTTAGATGAACGGCAAGCACGAGAAGCCCATCGGGATCTGGGCAGATCTGGGCGCATGATCATAGCCGGGGCTCCTACTTATCAGAAGACGGTCCTGGCTCTCAGGAAGCCATGAGTGATAAACGGGCCAACTCGATGAGGTCGCAACCTCTGCGCTGTCGACGATGTTCTCATATTTCGCTCATCGCAAAGCCTGGTGCGTATTGATATAGTAATGTTGCCCTGAGACGTTGAAATTCCTGTCATAGCGCCGCGAAGAGAAAGGAACGCGAGGAGCGCATTGCGAGCTTGTCGACCATCTACCATGCGCCTTTGTCGTCTGCCGATAAGAGCATCCTTGGACAGCCTGCCTCGCAAATCGTCGCAGGCGTCCAGGGCGGCACATTCAACCCATCCGACGTGCTCGTCGCGTACAGCAAGAAGGCGCTGAAGGCACACCAAGCAACAAATTGCCTCACGGAAATTCTCATACCCACGGCGGAGGCTTGGGCGAAGGAATGCAACACTCAAGGCCCGCTCGCAGGCATGCCTGTCAGTCTGAAGGACACCGTCGCGGTGCCAGGCTTTGACAGCTGTATTGGCTATTCTGCGTGGGTCGGCAAGCCGCTTCAGAAGGAGGCGGCCCTGGTGAGGCTGTTGCGTGATGCGGGCGCGGTGCCCTTCGTGAAGACGAATGTACCGATTACGCTTCTTTCACTTGAGTCTGCGAACGATGTCTTTGGGACGACAACGAACCCGCATAACAAGAACTACACGCCAGGAGGGTCTAGTGGAGGTGAGGGTGCCCTCCTTGCTTACGGAGGGTCTCGCCTTGGGATCGGCACGGACGTTGCTGGCTCTGTGCGAGCGCCAGCGTGAGCGGCTCGTTACTTTCCTATTGAGCGAAAAGGCGATGAAGTGATATTTGTCAAATAGCCACTACTCCGGTATCTACACGATCAAAGCCTCCATGAACCGCTTCCTGAAGACAGGCAACCCGACCAGTATGCCCGGACAGGAAGGCATACCAGCTGTCTATTCGCCTATGACGCGCACGCTGGAGGACCTGGAGACCTTCTGGAGGGCGATCGTAGGCATGAAACCCTGGGACTATGATCATTCGGTACGCGTGATAAAGTTGTTGATTACTGACGAAGTAATCCGTGCGCCGATTAGTGCCTGCCGATCCCATGGCGCGAGATTAAACTCTCACAAGCGAAATCAATCAAATGGGGCATCATGTGGGACGATGGTATGTTTTTACTCCATCAGCACGGCTGATATCCTGCTACGGAACAATCTTTCCTCAGGTGTTGTGACACCGTCTCCGGCCTGCCGCCGCGCGCTTCAAGAAGTTGTATCTGTGCTCCAGGCCGACGGGCACGAGGTCGTCACCATGTCAGTCGTTTGAGCTGCTCCGCCTGCCGAAACTCACATTCCATGAAGTGATCCCCCGAGCCCATACGAAGGGCTGAAGATCGCCTCACAGCTGCTTCTCGCTGACGGCGGTACGTCAACCAATGCTCAACCCCACGATGTCACCTTCTGAACAATTTCCCAGGCAAGACATGCACGAAGCCGATCCGCACCGGCGAGACGAACGATCCAGGCATGCAACAAGCGCTCGCGATGTTCCGCACACCGCGCTTCCTCAGGCTGCTGTACGCCTGGTACCTACGGCACATCCGCGGAGACGAGATCTACGCGGGCCTCGTCGAAGGATGGTACGAGAAGACCGTGCCAGAGTACCTCGCGCTCGTGGCGCAGCGGGAGGCATACCGCGAGCGGTGGTTCGCATTCATGCACGAGCAGGCGCTGGATTTCGTGCTGACCGTGCCGAATTCGCTGCCGGCGGTCCCGCATGGCGGCATGAAGGAGGGGTGGAAGGCGTGCGGGTATACATTTTTGTTCAACCTGGTGCGTCCTTCTTGTTCTTACGAGGCGATTGAGGGATGCTGAAGACAGAAATTAGCTTGACTACTCCGCAGGCGTCCTCCCGATTACCCATGTCGATGCTAAGCTGGACGCGCTGCAAGCTACCTTCAAGCCGAAGAACGCTATTGAGGCCGGCTCCTACCGCGTGTACAATGCGGAGAAGATGCACGGTCTGCCTGTTGGTGTGCAGGTTGTTGGAAAACGTCTTGAGGAAGAGAAGGTACTGGAGGGAATGAAGCTTATTGAAAGACTGCTTAAAATGGAAGGCAAGGCGTATGTTCAGCTTGAAGTTGGCGATTGAGCAGCTATGCGGTGATGTATTCGATGGCGCAGATGTCTATGTCAATGTTATTCGGGATTTGAGTAACTCCAACTTCGAGCTTATCCAAGTCGCCTGCTGCCATGAGTGTTTCGAAATCTGACGATGAATGGTGCAGGAAAATGCCGCCACATCAAGCAATATTCTGCTTTACAGATAGAAAAAGAAATCATAATTGCTGCGATAGACGCTAAATAGTGAAGAGAGCATGGTCTGCGCCTACGACCTGCGTCCTGACGCGGTAACACGTACAGTCTCACCAACCATGAAAATTTTGACGAGCTGAAAATACGCCGCGGCGTATTCTCTTTGTCGCCAGTCTGTTTGCCAGATGTTAAACCAAGGATAAAAGTGAGCTGCCTTTGAACACTATTTTTCTGGCTTCGTGCTTCATGGACTTCTCCTATTCTGCATGGTCCAACTACGGCAAAACGGTCCCATATATGCAGCGTTCCGTGTTGGCAAAGTAGCTCTTTCGTAGCAGTGCCATTGCTGTGCTCGGAAGGTAACACGACTTCGAAATTGTCAAAGCGAATATGAAAAAAGCAACTGAGCTACCAAGTCCGAAACCCCGCTTCACCCTCGATCTGAATCTCCGCTGTCGTGAATCGCTTGAGATTGGCACTCCGAATGCGTACTCCGATGTGGCTGCTGTGGCACGCATCCTCTGACTTACTTCACCCCCTTCCAAACCTTCTACAGTTGGTGGCTGGACTGCTTTTCGCTCTGTTCATTGCGCGCTGGTTGAGAAGGCTGTGCGAAACTTACTTGACTAAGTCTGTCATCAATGCTGTGTAAAGCGCAGCGCTGACTGCGGCACATTTATAGCAGCTCGACGTCACCAATATCAGCCATTCACCCTTTCGTCAAAGCTCACCATGGAGGCACTCCGGTTGCGCAAGAAATTTCCTCAGGTCTCCGAAGAGGAGATGTTTGATCTCGTCAATCGTTTCAAGTACGTCCATGTGCAGACTGGCGAAATGTATTCGCTCATCATGCATGGACAGTACGATTAACACGGATACACCGGGTCGTATAGACAAGGCGGATGTGTTGCAGGCGCTTCAAAGCAACGGGGAATCCTACGATCGCGCGAGGGAAACGCTGAAGCATGTGCAGATCGATGCTAGCGGGAAGGTCGAGCTGGAGGACTGGGTAGAGGTGCGCCCTCGCTTGCTCGGAGCAATGCTCTCCTGTGCTCAAACCCGATGCGCAGCTCAATGTCAAGCTCAAGACTCAAGCGCCAAGGGCCCTGCCTACCCATAGGGGCAAGGTCACTGTACAAGGCTCGAATGCCAACGTCAGTCATACCATCAACGAGGATGAGCTAGGGGAGTTCACGAATCACATCAACGTGGTACGTGCTTTGTCCGTGCGGACTGGCAATACTCTTCAATTTTTGTGTAGGTCCTCCAAGGCGATCTTGACATCGGCTCGCGTCTCCCTATACCTACGAATACGATGCAGATCTTCGACGAATGTCGAGACGGCCTGATTCTCTGTAAACTCATCAATGACTCTGTCCCCGACACTATCGATCCTCGTGTGCTAAATAAGCCAACCGCGCGCAAGCCCTTGAACGCATTCCAGATGACAGAGAACAACAACATCGTCATTACTTCTTCCAAGGCCATTGGCTGCTCGGTCGTCAACATTGACTCCACTGACATTGCGGAGGGTCGTGAGCACTTGATCATGGGTTTGATCTGGCAGATCATCCGCCGCGGACTGTTGGCACAGGTGGATATCAAGATCCACCCGGAGCTGTACAGACTGTGCGAGGATGATGAAACCATTGAGGACCTGCTAAAGCTCACGCCGGACCAGATCTTGCTAAGGTGGTTCAACTATCACCTCAAGGCGGCGGGATGGGAGCGAAGGTGCGTGCGGCCCGTGATGATCGGAACTCGATGTTGATCGTTGGTGCAGAGTGCGCAACTTCAGCCGAGATGTCTCGGATGGCGAGAACTACACCGTCTTGCTCAACCAGCTCAAGCCTGACGAGTGCTCGCTCGCTCCTCTTCAGACGCGGGATATGCGCCAGCGCGCGGAGGAGGTGAGAATGGATGCATTTTTTTCGACTGAAGTTCCTGGCCAACAGTCTCACAGGTGCTGCAAAACGCGGGCAGAATTGGATGCAGGAAGTATCTCACACCCGCATCGCTCGTTTCCGGAAATCCACGCCTGAACCTCGCCTTCGTCGCGAACCTTTTCAACAACCACCCGGGACTCGCGCCATTGGACGAGCAGGAGGCGAAGGACTACGGCGTCGTCGAGGACTTCGATGCCGAGGGCGAGCGAGAGGCGCGGGTGTTCACACTCTGGCTCAACTCGCTCGGCGTCTCGCCGGGCGTGTACAATCTCTTCCAGGACCTCAAGGACGGGCTCGTCATCCTGCAGGCCTTTGACAAGATCCTACCTGGCAGCGTCGTGTGGCGCCGCGTGAGCAAGCCGAAGAAGGACGGAGGGCACGAGCGTAGCATGAGCGCTGCGAGCACGAACACGGGCGAGGGCGAAGGCGAGGAGGAGGAAGATATTGGCATCACGCCGAATCAGTCAAAGCTGTCTCGCTTCAAGCAGGTCGAGAATTGTAATTATGCGGTGGAACTGGCGAAGCAGAACGGGATGCACATGGTCGGCATACAGGGCGCGGATATTGTGGATGGGACGAAGACACTTGTGCTCGGCCTCGTGTGGCAGCTCATGCGGCACGTGGCAGTCCAGATATCCCATTTAACTGTACTCATAATGCGTGTGCAGGATGAACATCACGAAGACGCTTAGCTCCATTTCTGGAAAAGGCCGTCCGATCAGTGATACCGAGATCCTCAAATGGGCGAACACGACCGCGCAGAAGGCGAGGGCGGGCATCAAGTCCATCCGGTCGTTCAAGGACCCTTCGCTCACGACGGGCTTGTTCTTCCTCGACCTCCTCGAGGCGCTGCGTCCGGGCATCGTGGATCCCAACCTCATCATTCAGGTCAACGAGTACGGCCCGTACGAGGATCGGAGGCAGAATGGTACGTATATACCTTTTCATGTGCCTTTCGAATTGTTAATCATACGCGATTGCTAGCGAAATTGGCGATCTCGATTGCACGCAAGATGAACGCGCTTATTTTCCTGGTGCCAGAGGATATTGTCGACGTTCGTCCTCGCCTGGTATGTCGCCTCATGCCTCCTCTGTCTATTGTCAAACTCATTATGCGTTTTTTAGATCATGACGTTCGTGGGCAGTCTCATGGCTATCGAGAACCAGTAAATGAATGGCTGTTGCTTCTCTTCTCGGTGCGGTCTCGTTCATATTTGATGAGTTTTCGGACAGCTCTATGTTGTACACAATCTAGCAGTAATGCCGCATGGCAGTTTGGGAGCTATACAATAAAGAAAGCGGTCAATACAGTTACCTTCGATTTGCAGTGCGCTACGAGAATGTTGAACACCACAGCTTTCTATGGAAACATGGGTTACAAATCTGTATGTGATTGCTAATTTTTCATGTGAACTATCGCTTTTCATGAAGTCTTCGTGTGACGAATGCGACAGTGTCGCTCCATCATCATTGTATCTCACTGGCAATTCAATCTTACGAGACCCTGCGACATATCCATATCTGATAACCGTGTCAAGGACAGCGCCGGTAACAGAAGTGACGATGCTCCTGCTCATCAAGGAACTAGATATGAGCGATTCAAGAGCCACCGACAATCTTCATACGGATTTGGCACGCGTCGGCGCGCAATCTCGTCAAAACGAAGATCATGCAAAACATGATTTTCTCACATCTCGCTAGGTTCCAGGAGCGTATATGCCTTCCCTTCCTGCCTCAGTGATCGAACAGGCCTGACATATGCAGGTTGAGCATGAGTTGCCTGCTCGCCAAACCCCCGTGTTACACGTAAAGTGGGCACGGTCATCAAGAGCACAAATTTCTTTTAGCACCGCGATATTTGGATGCAACGGCGAGCTGCTGTGTTGCTATCGCACTGCTCCCACGACCTCTTCCTTAGCTTCTCTCTGCGACTAGAAGCAAGGGAAATGTACTCATGCGCGCATGATGTATCATACATATCTGATACGGTTGTTCTGTTTGAAGGCGAGACCGATGGTTTTTGCGGCGATCTCCAATACCTGTGCTATCCGTAAGTCCCATCTGTGCCTTACCCAGGTCTGCGTTCATGTCCGTTCTTTCAGGCATTATGTAAAGATGAGTCGGGCGCCGATGGGCATCCTTAAAGTCCCTCCGAGACCCGTTTTGTTTTGCATTGACCGTTGTCACCGACGTTGATACCTCTATGTCGAACGCATCAGCTGCAAGCATATTGGTTCAGGAAGAAGTGGACCTCTTACAGCAAGGGTGAGGATGACGATACGTTCCGAGGCGTTCTACTGACGAGTATGCGATCACTGTCACAGATACGCCAATAGCTACTGCTGTCTCGCAGCTGCTGGTACGCCCCCGGGTCGGACCACTATAAGCGATCAGACTCGACTTACAGACTGGACATGTTCAGCCCTCATCTTCTTTGAATACATTGTGACTTTCTCTGAAGAGATTCACGTCATCTGGGGAGCCAGGTTGACCACTGTCACGGTCATCTTTGCCCTCAACCGTTATCTCCTCATGGCACAAGGCGTTAATTTCGCACTGAATCCCGTCTGGTGGCGTACTCCACTGGTAAGCCATGTGATGTCGTGCTGCTAGTGAATCGAGCACTCATGATCTATGTGCACACAGAGGTGAGCGGCGACGACCGCACCATATGTTCAGCGCAGTTAAGAGGTTGTCGCAGCTGCGAGGCTGTGCTCTTATTGGATGATGTGACAATTATTGCTCTTGAGGCTGTGACAGCAAGTCAGAGATTGTTTGACCCCAGATTTCACGAAAAGACTGATCGATAAAATGTTAGGCTTTTCCGCGTTCCGCACATATGCTATTAGTGGACACCAGATCGTTCCTGCATTGCTAGTCTTGTTACTGGGGCTAGCACCAGTCGGCGCCAACGTCGTGAGTATATGCGTTTTCCACCAGCATATGTCTGTTGAGCACCTCTGGGCAGTACGGATTTACAAGAATTTCATACGAGTTTGTCACTTACGTAGGCAGCTATCCAGTTTGTGGATTTAACAACCGCGAGACCGTCGCGATAAAGAAGAAGTAAGTGCTACGTCCGCCTCTCCGATGTCGGCACTCCTAGGACTGACCCTCCTTTGCTTAGACGTGAGTTTGAAGAAGACCGAAGGGTTGTTGCTCTGACACGCACGATCTCTGCAGTCGTCATCATCGCGCGCATCTTCCCGGCTGTATCCGACCTGATCGTGGTCCTTGTCACTTGGTTCAAAACATCCGCGCTCGCCATAGAAGTGCGGAAGTTACGGATAAAAGGATCGATCGCGACATTGTTGATGAGAGATGGTGAGTATGTGAGGTTCTCTCAGTGCATACGATGCCTTACAAGCAGCCAAATCAAGGCACGCTCTACTTCATGTACGTCGGGCTCTTTCACAGTACCTTGCCATGACGGCGCTGTTCTTCCACCGTTCATTAGGGCCCTTCTGCTTCTCAACATCCTTGAGATCGTGATCAACATCCGCTATGAGGATCCGCAGGCAAGTCTACCCATACAAGAGCATGGTCACTTTCATTGATGTGTAAGCAGAATCCCGCAACCTACATCACAAATTTCTTGCCACCGTAAGCGACCGATCTTACTCAATTCAGCTCAACCCATGCATACCGAGTCAATCAGAATCTCATCAATCCTGGTGTCGCGCTTCATCCTCAACCTACGCCAGGCGTCCCTCGGCAGCATGGGGCTGAATACGACTTCTCACAGCACCCTGAACAAGCTGAACTTTACACCTCGCCTGGTCGGCAACATTGGCGCCGAGGTCCAGCACACGTCTCTTGTTTTTGAGAATGTCGCTGAGGATAGCATGGAGGACGAGCAGGATATCAGTGTGGACTGTGAGACCTACGAGTTAACGCAGGTGCAGTAGTCATCGTACTTACAGCCATGTAATCGTGTTCCATAGTGCCGACTCTGACTGTAGCCCGCATTTCAAACACCTCGACATGATAATCTGATCGTGATTTCTGAGCAAAATGTTACGCAAGGGGGAGATTCGCCAGGCCAAAAGCTGCATCCTGCTGCCAAGATGCCGAATGCAGTCCGAGATGTAGACAAAAATCGGTGAATTGGTAGCAGCAGTCAATCTGTTGCATGCCCGAGACTAATTCTACAGCATAGCAGATATTTAGACCATTGCAAGTAAAGCGTCGCAGCGACGCGGTCTCACCTAGTCTCACAAACAATGGACACATATCGGTGGCTGGAAATGTCATCGGTCCTTGCGGAATTTGAGAAATACAGGCACAGCTCGAGTCGGCCGCAGCCGCCAGAATGAAAGCACCCACTATCAGCCAGAGCGATGAATCGATGACGGTTTATGAGGGAACGCAGGTGCCGACCAACGTAACAAAATAGCACTGGCATCTGCAAGTCTGTGTACCTTCAGCGGCAGAATTTCAAGGCTCCTAACGGATTTCTCAAGCCATATGGCACGCATACACGCCGAGGAAAGTGAGCATTATCACTTCGTTTGGTCGCAGAGTTAGTAGTACAGATCCCTTCGTCCGATAATTCTTACAGTTGTGTCAAGTACATGCTCTAGAGAGCTTCTAATTTCTTCCTTCTTCTCCTCATCGTGCGCGAGCAACGAGTGACCTGTCATCTCTGCAATCAAATAGTCAGTCTCACAATCTACTCGCACTCGCCTTCGGGCTTAGGCAATCCCTGAGTCATATAAAACGTTGTGAGAGCAACGAGGACATCCTAGTCACATAGTATGCACGGGCCATCGTAATCTCAAGCACCGTCGGCGCCACATCGCACAGCACACCTCCCTCCTCCGTCCTTCTTGTCGACAGTAAAGTGGAATTTCTTCGGGTCGCCCGTCATGATGAACGGCCTGACCGGATCGATCGTCGTGTGTGCCGTGTGCGGCGCATCCGTCTCGGCGGGGTTGATCATCTGCTCCGCGTTCCCATGGTCTGCCGTGATGAACAGGATGTAGCCCGCGTCCTCAGGCCTCAGGCCCTGTACACCCTCGTGACGGCCTTGTTCGTTGCAGAGATGGCCTCCATTTCTGCCTTGTCCGCGCCCGTGTGGGCCAACCATATCTGGCGGCACAAAGTAGCACATCACGAGGGGATCATATGCCGCTCCTCGTTGGGATATTGCTTCTCAATACGGCCGTTGAAGAAGAACTTGACGTGTGTGGATTTCTCAGTTTCTAGGCACGAGCGGAGATCTGCTAGCACGATAACTCACAATGTGTCATTGAGAGCACAAGGTTCTACAGCACCGCGGTTTTGGATACCACGGCGAGCTCCTGAATTGCTATCGCACTGCTCTCATGACTTGTTCCTCAGCTTCTCTCTGCGATTAGAAGCGAGGGATTCCCAAATGTACTCACGCGTGCATGATGAACTAGACGTATCACAGCTGATACGGCTGTTCTGATTGACAGATGGTCTTTTCAGCAATCTCCAATACTGTGCTATCCATAAGCCGCCATCTGAACCTTACCCTCTGCGTTCATGTCCGGTCAATCAGGAATTACATAACGATGAGCCGTGGGCCGATGGGCATCCTTAAAGTCCCTCCGAAAACAATTCTGTTTCGCATTGACCATTGTCACCGACGTTGACGACTCTACAATGTCGAACGCGTCAGCTGCAAGGATATTGCCTCAGGAAGAAGTGGACTTCTTACAGGAAGTGTGATGACGACCATACTTTCCGAGCCGTTCCACCGACGAGTCTGTGATCACTGTCACAGATACGCCGGCATCTAATGCGGCCTCGCAGCTACTGGTTCACCCCCGGGTCGGACCATTCTAACCCATCGAACTTGTACAGAATCTAGCAGTAATGCCGCGTGGCAGGTTGGCAGCTATACAATAAAGAAAGCGGTTACAACTACCTTCAGTTTGCAGTGCGCTACGAGAAGGTTGAACACCACAGCTTTTCACGGAGACATGGGTTAAAAACGTATGTGGGATTGCTAATACTTCATGCGAACTATCGCCTTTCATGAAATCTTCGTGTGACGAATCCCACAGCGCTGTTCCATCATATTCGTATCTCACTGGCAATTCAACCTTACAACATGCGCACATCTGATATTCATGTCAAGCACAGTGCCGATAACAGAAGTGACGAGGTTCCTGCTCATCAACGAGCCAGGTATGAGCGATTTTACAGCTACCGACGATCTTCATACGGATTTGACATGGGTCCGCGGGCAAGCTGGTCAAGATAAAAACTATGCAAATATGATCTTCTCACATATCGCTAGGTTCCAGGAGTGTGTATGCCTTCCCTTCCTGCTTTAGGAGCCGATCAATGATCTTCATGCCCTCGAGCACCTTTTCCTCTTGTAGGCGTTTCCCGACGATCTGCACGCCTACCGGCAGGCCATGCATCTTTTTCGCATCATACATACGGTATGCGCCACCTTCGATGGCGTTCTTGGCCTTAAACGCACCAAGGGCATCGCGGTTCTGATCGACGTGCGTGATAGGCAGAATGCCTGCAGTGTAATCAAGCTGGAGTCAAGAACAATCAGTTTATACTCGGATTCAATGATTGAAGTTTTGAACATACCAGATTCCACAAGAAAGTATACCCACATGCCTTCCATCCCTCCAGCATCCCTCCATGCGGCACCGCAGGAAGCGAATTGGGCACCGTCAGGATGAAGTCGAGCTGCTGCTCGCGCATGAAGTCGAACCAGCGTTCCCGGTACGCCTCACGCTGCGCTACGAGCGCGAGGTACTCCGGCACGGTCTTCTCGCTCCATGCCTCGACGAGGCCCGCATAGAGCTCGTCACCGCGGATGTGTCGAAGGTACCAAGCGTAGAGCTTCTTGATGATGCGTGGCGTGCGGAACATCGCGAGTGCCTGGACGACGCCCGGGTCGTTGAACTCGCCAAATTGAAGCGGCTCGATGCAGCATTTGGCTGAGTGGAACAGTCAGCCGTGCGGAGGGGTCGAATAAAGGTGCGACACGTACTGCCGTCAGCCATCAGAAGCAAGGATGCGATCTTTAGGCCCTCATATGGGCTCGGAGGGTCTCTGTGGTGCCTGTCAGATGTGGCGAGGTGTGTGCGGCGACAGAACTCACATCTGAACCACTTTGTGACCGTTCGCTTCCAAGGTGGAAACAACCGTTGCAAGTGCACGTTTACATGCAGGGGAGGGCCTCACGACACCTTGGGTTGCGGTCAGTAGCCTGATCGACTCACTGCGCATGATACACACCATCATCCCACATGACCCCCCAGCGGAGGCCCTTATCGGTAGACAAGTCAACATCGCGCCAGGGGATCGGCAGGACCTATCCTGACCCGTTCGTTCACAATCAAGAAGACTAGAGCGGCCACCACTCACCGCGTGGTCGTACTCCCATGGGCTCATGCTCATCACTGCGCGCCAGAACGTCTCGAGGTCTTCGAGCGTGCGTGTCATGGGTGAGAATGACACAGGCACGCCCTCTTCACCTGGAATGCTGGTGTGTGCGTTGCCGGTTTTCAGGAACCGGTAAGATGACGCTTTGATCGTGTAGACGCCGGAATAGTGCCTGAGCACGCTTTAATGAGACGATAAGTTAGTATGTGCGTGGAAGTGTTGCTTACGAGGGAACTCGCACAGAGCCTGCGACGTCCGAGCCAATGCCGACGCGAGAGCCGCCGAACGCAAGAAGAGCGGCCTCACCGCCCGACGAACCACCAGGCGCGAAGTTCTTGTTGTGTGGGTTCGTCGTCGTGCCAAAGACGTCGTTCGCAGCCTCGAAGGAGAGCATCGTAACGGGCACGTTGGTCTTGACATACGGCACCGCACCCGCATCACGGAGCAGCCGCACGAGTGCGGAGTCCTTCTCCATCGGCTTGCCCACCCACGCTGAATACCCAATACAAGCATCGAAGCCCTTGACGGAGTGCTCATCCTTCAGACTTACAGGCAGGCCCGCCAGTGGGCCCTTGGTGTTGCAATTCCGCGCCCATTCCTCTGCCTCTGGTAGCATTACTTCGGTAAGACAGTTTGTCGCAGCATGCGCCTTGAGGGCAGCTTTGCTGTAGGCGGTGAGGATTTCTATGGGCTTTAGAGCACCGCCCTGTACGCTCGACACGATCTGCGAGATAGATGTGGCGATGATTGTCTTATCGGATGCGCTCAGCGATGCATGGTAGAATGCAGGGAGCATCTGGATCCGCTCGCGGCGTTCCTTCTGCTTTGTGTTGCTAGTTGGTATGGGCAACAGTGAGCTCAAGACATCTCGATGCACTAACCGCTCACCATGCGCGACGATGAGCAATGTACGAGAACATGGAGGGCTCTGTATCAATGTAGATACACAGAGCATGTCTATATCATACACGCTGCGCGGGCGGCTTTCCCATGATAGCCTTCGGATAAGACACGATGATCATGCGAGAAGCAAGTCGGTTCCTTTTTACGGAAAGTCAAAGGAAACTCGCAGGTGAGACTTCTAGACACGAGACAAGGAGCAGTCAGACGACCACGATACTTACATCGTGACGGTGCAGGTATCTTAAATACCTATTAAACACCACACACGGAATTGGTCAGTCATAGCCAGACATCTTACTTCTTTAACTTACGAAGATAGACCCCGTGTAAAAGATTTGATGCCGATGAAATGTCACTATAATTACACCTATCGCTGGCAGGGAGCGTTGTGAGCACGTAATAGTATGATATGGATTTGCTCAGAAGTTGAGGTTATGCTCTACTGATCATCATAATTATGGCCGAACACGCAACGAAAAGGAATACTACTCACCGGAGACCGCATTCGACGCAATTGGAAGAGCCTGGGGGAAAGTGTACATATGTATGAGTCGAGCAAAGAGGGGGACGTAATCTCGATGAAATCGAGATTATACTTTGGCGCCCGACTTTTCATAATCCGTTCCCGCGTGCGCGTCTATTAATGCAACTGAATTTCTACCACAACATTCAATTTGATCTCAGGCTCAATCTTCCCAACTGCATATCCCTTCGTCTTTCGTTGATGATAACTTGAATTGTGACAGATGTCTAGTTGCCCCAAATTTGCGCATCAAATGCTGAGATGCGGGAAGAGTCGCATCAACCAGCTGCGTTGCTGGGCTGCAACTGTGTGAAGGATTTGCAAGTTCAACGTCTAGTGCCTCATCGTTTGTAGGTGACATATGCCTTTGTGACGCGGATAGAACATTGACGAGAAAAGCGGAACTAGTTGTAAGTACAAGCGGGCCCAGCGTTACTAGTAGAAGTTGGTCATACGGAAGAATGTATGTATATCAGTGCGACTATACTCAATATACTCCAGGAATCAACCGGTATGGAACCCTCTCCGCCCACTGCTGCCATTCTTCAGGGAACTCTTTACTCAACACTACGTCCTCCCTCACAGTTCTCGCCATCAGATTGGCTGCTCCGTAGACCTGCAGAACCATGAATAGCCATGCGATGGCTTGCCCCACCGTGCCGTTAAACAGCCCCGACTCTCTAAACCACGATCCGCGGCTTGAGACCCACAAGACAAGGGCGAGGATGTTCATTTGGAGGCCCGTGTAGCTCGGGTGCCGAACGATGGAGTACGGGCCGGTCGTGCAGAGCTTGTGCTTGTCCTTGACCGTCAGCTCAAACGTGAAATGGCGACCGAGGGCTCGGAAGCACTGCCGACGGATCAACGTGCCCAACACGTTGAGAACGAAGCCGATGAGGAATATGTTATCGAGCGCGATCTTGCCAGTCGGACGGAACGTAGTAACGGGCAGGTTGCTCAGTATGAACTGGGCAAGGACAGTCGAAGGACGGTCCTGCGCGATGACCACCGCCGTCTCACATACTGCGGCGTACCAGCCTACGTACTAGCAATGTTGCTCGGGTCAGTGTACTGACCATAAGATATCGTGAGTATGAATGACCTTGTTCATCGCTGTCATCTGTCTTACGACGCTCGTGAAGATACGCTCATTCAACGGGATGTCCTTTGCAATCTCGCTCTTCGAAGGTGGTGGAGTTGGCGGAGTGAACGAAATATGATTGCTCAGGGCAGCAACGAGGAGGAGAGGGATTTTGAGAAGAGGCATGGCGAGGATACAGAGGATTACAGCGGATGCGTTGCAGGCACTCAGGCAAGTAGACGGTGCGTGATGTGCTGTCTCGGCCACTTCTAATCCACGCCTTTATATACTCGGAACAGCAGAAGAGTAGCTGACCGCTGACGTCCCAATACACTCTCGGAACTCTCCGGCAACAACCTGCGGGGTGATGTACTGCTTCAATATCTCGCTTCATCGTTAACAGATGGTCACGGTCGCGACAGCGCCGTACGGGTGCTTGCACATTCTTCCAGATCGAGTGTGCCGTAAGCATCCAAGAACATCCTCACGTCTAGTTCTGTGTGGAGATTCCAGAAGAGCCTATATCGACCACTAATCTTTGATTATCGCCGATCTACAGGGTCAGCCTCGGGGAGCATGGCCGTACATGCAGGCTGTGTATTCCCCGGTCATCACTGCTATTGCACACATTGAATGTATCGGACATGGGTCGAATCCGAGCTCTTCTACATGTCCAAGGTGCATTTTCAGTGATAATGTAGCAATCACGCTAATGCCCCTGCTTATGCCTGAACTGCAGACGGCACGTTCGCTACGCCGGTCGAAGCAGACAGCATCATTTCGACCCCGTGCCTCACAACTTATATCGCCCAAGTATGATAGACTGGAGCGATCGGGCGAAGACCAGAGCCGGCCGTTTGCCTGCATTGATATTCTTTCCGTGAACGCTCTTCCTTCCCACATCCGCCGATGTCCAGAGGCGGAGTTGACGAGCTGTTTGACACGTCATCTCCGCGTTACATCTCGCAGAAGCACACCTGCGAGCGCACAATTCAAGGCTTCTATATACATCATCACGATTCTGTTCTTCGCTCCACATTCCCCCTATGAGTTTCCGGTTGGTGGGTACGGAGATGTCTCCAACTCACATGCAGAAGATGGTGACTAGAGCTAGAACAGTGGTCTAATGAACTGATTCTTGCACGTCCACACTCGCCGACACCCTCGGGCGAAGTCCGGATACCCGAAGACCCGTATGCATGCAAACCTAGAGCTTCTAGCGCGGCGCGGTCTCTCTCTTTTGCGGTTCACACCGCAGCTAAAATCGTATAATCGGATCTTCGCCGGATCAAACTTCTCATTGTCTGTGTGGCTGGTCTGCGTACACTGACGATGCGTGTGCTACTAAGCCGCGTGAGTTGCGGCTAGGTACAGTATCAAATACGACGCGCCCGACATCGCGGACTGACAGGATTGACGTGTACGTCCTGACCTTGTCCTTTTAGGGACCAGATGAGAACGCAACAGAGACGGTACCTAGACTTTGATTCTGTCTACAGGGCATTCAATGAACAGTGAGTTAAACTGCCACAATGTGTTGGTTCTTGAACGTCTCTGTCGGCACGAAATAGCCAGCTGACTATTGATCAGGTTCGCAGAAAGATAAGTGGACTCCGCCAGCGGTTGCTTGGCTGATCCTCCGCACTGCACGCAGTCTCTCAGCATTCCTTGGTGGCACGGATTGCCTTGGTGGCACGGATTGGCAGGGGGGCTATGCCGATGGAGGTACCTCCGAATGGTTGTCGATTTCCTTTTCAGGTGATGACATACAGCGGTTTATGACCTTTCATGGAACGCACCGCTGTTCGCGGATCAACATTTTGTTTGCTTCTGGATATACGCTAGGCTTTTGGATAAACGCACGAGCGGAGTAAAGGTATGTTGTAGATGAAACACTGACTCATTCTGTCTTAGCATGTTTCGTCCAAAGTCATGGCGCGTGCTCACGAAGAAGGGGAAACCCAATTCCAATATTACGATCGTCTATAATTGAATCCACTCACCAAATAACCAATAAGATGGACGTATGGCACATCGGAGTTCTTCGACCAGTGCATTTGTATGGGACCACCATGACCTTGGGCAAATGGCATGGTGGCACGTACCAAGGAATGGGTTGCGCGCCAGGATATTCAATGCTACCTTCCACCTCAGCGGAGTCCGCCTCTCATCTCGAGCACGGACAGTTCACAGCAGCTGACCAAGTTCGCCGAACGGTTCGTATCTGAGCGCAGCGATGTTCGCTACTAGCAGTTGAGCATCCGTTCTGTCACGAGATGCCCCTGCTGATGTCCTTCAATGCTAAAGCCCATTACCAGACACTCGGCGTCGGCGAAATAAATATGAGGTGCCTTGATGGACGCATTGCAGAGAAGGCGAAGCGCGGAGCGGACGCGGACGCGATATCCTTGCGCACGGCTGGGTACCTTGCATTGGGCTTGAGCCACTCTTGTGCCGGTGCGAATGAATGCCCGAAGGCTATGCCAGTAACATGGAAGCATTATTGGATTGATTCACTTCTCGGCAATAGCCACGGAGAAGTGTGGATTCTATGGAAGTGTGGTCTGTGAAGTGATAGGAGGTGAAATCATACGAAGTCAACCTAGCGGTCTTCCAGACCATATCAAGGCTCATCACCGATGCTATGTGGTCCGAGTCTAACTTATTGCGACGTTCGGTAGGTAGCTTACTGTCCGCTGTCCACGGCAAGATCACGGTGAAGCGGGCATAGTATAGCTCTAGTCCAATGCATAAGACAATCTGTCCAGACAGCCTCCGTGATACAACTACCAAACTTCCAAGTCATTACCAAATAGTACGATGAGTATGCGATGTACGATGAGAGGTCCGTGAGAACAAAGAAATACAAGCAGTATCATAGCGTAACGTAACTTCACCATGCCCTAAGTCCAACGAAAGTGAAGATTTACGTATAATCGTGCGACGACCTCATCGTAAACGAACGTCTATGTCCTGTCCAATGTACTGAAATACTAATGCAGAGCCTGCCGCAGGAGTGCATATCCAGATAAGAACATCACCGCTATGGTGGCGACGAGACTGACAAACGCGGGATGCGCGGCATATGTCGACCATGCGCCGTTCACGTTGCACCCCGAGCATGACCATTCTGTTGACGAGGAAGTACCTAGAGGGGTCAGCGACAATTATGCGCAGACGAGCACAGGTACCCACCGGACAACGGGGTATATGGCTGTGGCGAGTACATCGCAAACTGCAGGTCGCTGTTCGGCGCAAGGTATCCTGGCGAGGCTGCCACACTCGGACCTGAATCACCCCAAATCGACAGGGTATATGTCGCGACGGCGAGCGGCGTACTCGGGTTCGCCTGCTGGTACGACCACAGATCCCAGGTTACGGAAGTCGCTGTGCCGTTGATGATTCCATTTGTTGGGCCGACAGGGTATGTGTTACCGTTGTCGCAGACGGCAGAGACGGTGAGGTATGTCGGCGTCACGTAAAGATTGGTGAAGTTCCAAGCGAATGTGATGGTGTTCGACTCGGCGATTTTGAAGTACGAGGTCGCTGTCTGAGGCGGTTGGGTGATAGTGAGAGCACCATCTGCGGCAGTTGAGGGGATATCAACGGATGTACTGCTCGATGATGACATGACTTCTATGACTTCCAGCCGCTACGATGCTGCCTGCACGATGAAAGGAGTGGGCACCGACTGCGGGAGGTCGTGAACGTGGAGGTCAACGTCTGAGACGGTGAGGAAGGCCCCCGTTGGCAACGACCCATCCTGAGAATATGTGACCGTGACGACCACTCGTAACGCTGCGTGACTGTGGGCACGCCTGGCCACCGACCGTGACGGTGCCACCATACATGTCTTACTGGAATTGCCATGTCCAAATCCCTTCCTTGACACATTTCTGTTACTCATAGCACGGACAGAAACTGTTTTTCCACTCATCAACAGATCAAGAGCAATGATTAAGGGGCAATGGATTGTGATGGTTTCTGCTGGTCAGAGGAAGCGATCTCCTGGACTTCAATGACCTGGTCGGACTTGGACGATGAAGTCAATCAGGTGTGCTGCTGTCCCGAGAACACTTCTTGCTGGCTTGAGTGATAGAACATCCTGTCTGTAGCCTTCTTGCGTTTACAGCCGCAGAAGATGTTGTCTTGATAGCCTTCCTGTGTGGCTGTGAAGTGCCAAATCAGGTTGAATGTCCAGCAAGAAAGGAGAAGCAGAAGAGATACAAGAAATGCGTGCATATCTTCCAGTGCAAGACACGTCGAAGTCAGCTAACTCACAAATCACGTCGCCAAGAAGTACAATGGTAGAAAACTATGGGTCAGCTTTACCTATCTGTGCGCCGTAGCCGTACCTCATGTCATGTTCAGGTACATATTGCCTCACCCACGCGCGTGTATCGTCTATTGACAAGTCCATTCGCACTGCTCCGGATTTTGCGCTATCATCACGATCAAAATCCCACTGCCCATCCGATCCGTGCTCAGCAACACCATAGGACGCCGTCCTCCTTCCTGTGAATATTGCAAAAGGAGCATTCGATATATTGGTCAGTCACACCGCAAGCAAACGCTCTTGTATTGTCTTAAACCTGATATGGCCGGTCTGAAGAATGTTTTCCTTCCAAATGGCGTTCCCGGTCCGCTTATGTTGAATCGCCGGCCAGCCATGGACTATCAGGATTCATAAAGACGCTTCGCCGACGGTTTATCCTCGAGCTTTGCCCTCGTTCATCTCATTGACTCTCATTGATCCGATGAGCTACGGGACTGGGTTTTCGCTATAGCTGTGCTGGATGCGCATTTGGGCAGAATTCCTTGGCATCTACGAAGAAATGAACATGCTTTCTCTTGGCTTACTTCTCCGTGTCATTCATAGGCGATTTCTGCGAGGCGCATCTTAACGCTGATATGCGCATCGAAACGTTGTGATTCAAATCTCTCACGGAAGACTACTCAGTTGCCCGTTTTCCGGCCTCATTACCAGGCCTTTTGGTGGAAGCTCTATCTCGTCAAGATCATGTCTGTCGAGGATTCTGTGTAGGGCGGCCCACGCAAGATAGCCTGGATTGCGCATACACAAATTTGCCGCCTTCGGCTGCGAGTCGCTGACGAAGCAGGCCACTAGAATGATAATCATTCAAGAGCTAGGAGACCATCACAGTGTTTTACTGGTTGACAAAGTCATACCATTCGCCACTTTCGGAAGCATCACCACTCATCCGAGGATAGCATCTCCGTTACAAACTAGGCTCGCAGTAGGAGTATGTCTGGTACTATCTTGCGGCGTTTTCGACTAGCTGGGGTCACATCGGCGAAGGTAGAAGGCATAGCGTGCTGGACCGCTTGGCTGGCAAAGCGGCATGGCCCCGATTGGGCGAAGTCAATTTTGGGATGTCTCGGCCTCTCGGGACGTGCAACTTGCCAGATATGCACATGCCAGGTCTTTCTCTACGCTAGCATGGCTTACACGACTGTTTCGCCAACAAGCAATTCCACGCAGGTTTCAGTGTTCACGGGTCATTGGTGAAATTGTCCAACAGCTTCGCTCATGGTTTTTTCTCCTTGGCTGCTTGCTCTCAGACAAGGCCTCACTCTTATCAGTTTTGTCTGGGCATTCCAATGAAATTTGGGGCTTTGTCGGCTGGTTCTCGGCAGCAGTGCTGGTTCAATGCCACTTGCCTTCGAATCCGTCTTACTTCGTCTACCCGCTTGTCCCTGAGACCATCTCCTTATGCACAGTCACTATCCTTGAAGGCCACTAGCTCCAGCCTTCTTCCTGATATGTCTGCTCGTCGCTACAAGACCTCAGTTTACCGTGGGAGTGCAAATGACGAGAACTTCTTGTCATACTGTCTCAAGACTTTTGCCATACGTCTGAAAGTATGCTCGCATCCTCTTGCTTTGGCTCGACAATGCTTCTCCTATGATGATCGTTCATGCCTTTGCAGCCTCTGAGCACAGAGCTCCGTGGGAAAGCGAATTGGTATCGTCCAGCGTTCCCCGTTCACGTCTCCATGTCTTTCAATTCACCGCGGGCTCGACGCTTTGAACGTTTCATCTTTCGACTCGACTTGCAATGCGTTGAGCTCTGCTTCCTGACTATGTTAGGCGACCGGACTCTTGAGTCATCAAATGCTCAATTTCGCGCATAACGAGATTAACGTGTTCACCTCGTGAGTCTACCAATCACGCAAGCCAGGAAAGGGGTGCTTTTCAGAAGTGTTCCGTTTCGCCCAGGGTCTTAGCATTACAAGATAATTCCGAATTCGACATCAATGCCTCAACTAGCTCAGTGGCGTACCGACTGGTTCCTGAATCGAGGTCTCTCACTCCTGTTACGTGCTAGCAAGCCTCCGCAGATTCCTCGTATATCCGGAGGATACATCTGAGGCCCGCTTATGTGTCTTGGCTCGCAACGATTCCGGCTCCTATCTTCACACATACTGCTGTAGGGAACAACGGCCTTCTGGTACGAGATCTCCGGTGCCGTCTAGCTCTGGTCGAGAATCGAGAACGCTATCTCCGAGACTCGTACTGGATTATTGAAATTTGAGGTTGTTTCCTACCTACCGATATTGTGCTCTCTCCTACACGATAATCGATCAACGGTGGTAATGACTGTTTCTCGACGCTGAAGAAGTTGGCGCTGACCTGCTCAAGGCAGCGAAGTTCCTTCCACTTCCTGTCCAGTATCCACTCAGATCCCTCCCGAGTTCAAACATGTCAGAACATCACCTTATTTCGTCCTGGATTACGATATGCGAACCGAAGGTCGGCAACCGCTTCGTAGCTACAGGTTCCGAGGGTCTCTTCTCCGCTTCGATGTCCCACTCATAGAGAAGCCGCTCACCGCCTTGATTCTTTCTTCCTTTCTGCGTCGCAATGTGATGCTGTTGCGGTCATTGTCCACTTTTACAAGTCGTACGACACACATCAGATGATCTGAACTATGCCTTAGTCACAGCGTTTTCCCAGTGCATCAGGGAGGACATCGGTTTCAGAAGAGATATTCTGATACTGATGTCACACTCTCATCGCAGGCCATTCATGCTGCACCCACAAAAATCAAGACATGGTTCGCGTTCGATGATCATGTTCATGGCAAGAAGTTGGGAAAGCTATCCATTTCACCGAGGCGGGGCCAACTTTTGCTTCAGTGTTCTGCGGAAGTCCGCTTGATCTCAGGCCTTGCCGCCGGCTCGCCCTTCTGCTCGGTTCTTCGAGATTTTCTCACGGGGATTTGACTGCAGCTTTGGCAACACGAGCCGTCATTGTACTCAAAACGGTAGTCCACCAACCCAAGTAGCTTGGACTTTCCACTCAGATCATTGTGCCGTTCCTGTCTGAAATGTTCAGGGAATTATATTGCAAAACGAAGCCTTTGATTGGTCTCCGGACGGCAAGCATCCGATGGGGCGATTGCCCTGCGACAGATCACGCCCAGCACTGGCAGCAACTTCACTCGCTCATACATCAATCATGATCATGGAGCGTCTCACCGTATATTAAAAAGTTGAATTCGCGTGCTCATCAGCAGCCTGCGCACTCGATGATACTAGCGCATAAGGACGCGGTAAGTTTCAGCTTTGTTGCCCAGTGTTCCCGCGATGTCGGTGAATTTCATTGTGATCTGATGGGCGAGTCCCGAACCCCTGGATTCACTCATATCATGGAAGGAAGGCTGCCTTCTTCGACCGCTCCGACTCGCCTTACTTTTGCCGCTGCACTTGGTTTTTTGCCTCTCACATCTATGAGCTGTCCGCCTTCTGTCACCTCACCTTTTACTCCTACGCCCATCCCACCCGTCCTTCATCCACACCGCACAGGGCCGCACGTTGCTAGGCAGCAAGGCTTGTATCCCCCTCCCAGCAGGCGCAGAACCCAATCGGAGAAGTTCCCAGGAGCAGGTCTAGGTTCAGGCTTGGTTTCACAAGTTGCACGGTCATCGGACAAATACTGCCAGTTCAATATGCCAATAGGAATGCTCGGCTCATGGGTGGCTCATGATAGACTGCCCAAAAGGCGAGTCCCTATTGTGAAGCCCGTCAAAACGGATGGAGGCCCCACTTCAGATTCCTCCAGTGCCGACATGTCCTCCCCAGCGACCTCCACATCGCTCTCTCCTCTTCCCACTCCCGTCTCTGCCACGGGCGACTCATACTTCACGATGTCCTCCAGTAGCTTTGCCAGTTCTTTAGCCTCGAATCTTGCCGATAACCGGGCCATCGAGCGTCGTATCCATTGCCATGGAATAGTCCTCACTCCATCGCAGTCGAAATCGGAGGATGAACAGCCCAAACGCTCAGAGCAACTCGACCGCTCTCCGTATAGGCAGAGTCGGACAGTAGGCATGGACCGTGCTAGTCATAGTGCGGAGAGCGTTCTAGCCTTCATGCACCCTGCTCCTTCTGAGTCGTCATTAGCAGTATCTGTCGCTTCAGATCGGCCCAGAGGACATTCTCCGAAGGAGCAGACGATGAAGCCTGCCTCACAACGTCGTGTCCAGCACCGTCGTCGGAAGAGTGACAATTTCTCGCCGTTCCCCTACTTCGCCACGCCACTCGTGTTTTCGTCTGTCAATCCACATCTTGCGATGGTTCCCACTCTTCCTCCTGTCGCAGAGTCGTCCTCGAATCCGAAGCCGAAGCCGAAGAATAAGGAGAAAATGCGCCCTAAAACCGCTTCTGCAGCGGAAAGGGCCCCTTTACCCGCGCCGCCAGAGCCTACAGCTCGTGCGCTGGATGACACTCAACTGCCTTCCCATTCCTCCTCGCTGTCCAGGATAAACCTCAAATGGATGGTTCCCAGCAAGCGACTATTTGGACGCCAAACTAACGACACCGCTTCCCTGCACAGTTTGCATTCACACCCGGAAGATCCGGATGCCCATTTACTCCCAAGAATATATTCGCTCCCGCTCACATCGAACGTCAATGATGATCAGGAGCCCTCCGCGACCGCGAGGACGGCCGCGTCAGTTGACCCACCGCAGCCCAGCGAGGGGCATGATTCCCCGGCCCCCGAGCCTGAGGACGATCGCAAGGTGGAGATTGCCATCTTGAAAGTGAAGGGCGATGTACGAGAGGAGAGCGATCTTGGCGAGGTCATACCGAGGCTGCGCAGGCTCAGGGCGCCGACAAGGAGGAAGCTATAGCGCGGAGCCATTACCATCACTGTGCACGACATCGGCGATGATGCATCGTTGAAGATGTGGGTCGGTGTCAGTGTTCTTGATAGACAGATAGACACGGCAATTCCGGGGCGGTTGGTTCCCTTGCAGGCATGGGATCATGCATATCATCATGATAATCGCTCATCCTTTGAGGATCCGTTAGATACATTCTTTTCCGATTCCACACTCTCTACTCTTTCCAATGTAGTCGAACTTCAGGCTAGTCATGTATCGATAAATGCTGCGAGTTTTATATCATTCGTATTGATGACGCTGGTTCCATAATATCCTGGTAATTACAACCACAACGATTGTCCACGGAGTCTGGGCCTTGAACAATGCCCCTCCGACAGTACGATTGAGCACGAAGATTGTACTGAACTAGTACTGAACAGACTCACCGAGAAATTGCTACTTGCATTGCAGGCAAATAGTACTCTGTCGCCGACAGATAGCGAATGTTGTGACTGCAGATGCGCAACGTCGAGTGACTGTGCTATATGCGCCATCACACGCTTGCCTCAAGCCAATCCGGGTTGGATTATCATCATGCTCGTAAATTACTCGCCTATCCAGCTCGTCTTTCGCATCGCGAAGAACTAAACCAATGCTATACCACGTTCTAGATACAAATACAGATGGTGCTGGCAAACTGACTACATCCGCAAGTAGGATACTAACATATGCATGTGCAGACAAAAAAAGTCCCATATATTACTTGACAAAATGACGCTTACTGCACAAAACAAACTTGAGAACTTGCGTGAGACTGGGACAATAGCCTTGAGACTTGAGGTGTGTTCGACCTGGGAGGGAAGGGAGATTGACCGCGCTAGACACAACACCTGCCTCCCCAGCACGCGAGCTTGACAAGCGAGACATGAAGAAGGGCCAACACGAGCGTCGGCCCAAGCCCGTCAAACCAGGTATCCATCACGGCCAACGCAAGGATAATAGTCGTGATGAGCGGATGAAGCGCCCCATCAGGACACATATGCGATATGCTCAACACCTGCAACGCAAACCCGTCAAACCCGACATGCTGAAGTGAAAAGACAAGACATTTCTGCTCACCTTCACAACCAAAAATGCCGCCTTCACCGTACGCAACCACACAATGCGCGGGATGCGCACGTGCACCTGCTTCTTCCCGACCTGGATCGTGCGCGTCCACACCCCGTTCGTAGTTAGCGGCGGGATGACAGATATGGGAATACTGAGCAGCGGAGTCTTCCCCACGCGTTTCTCGTATACGGCGCCTTCTGGTTCTGGCGGCGCGGCCATAGGCGAGGGCGCGTTGCTGCCTTCCGGCTCTTGAGACACGTGTGCATGCAGCGCAGGGCTGCCCTGCAGCTCCAGCTCGGACTCCGGCGCGCTCATAAGCGAGGCGGCGCTGTGGAACATCCGGCGGAGCGGGACAGGAATGAGCGATCCTTGACGGACTGGTATGGGTGAGATTGGGTCAAGCTGCCGATGCAGGTGGCTTGTAAATGGAAGCGAGAGTTGGAATGGATTCAAAGGTATACTTACACGACCCTCGCGAAGGGCGCCAAGCACGCGCTCAGCAGACGGACGAGCCGAAGGATTGATGTTCAGCAAACTCTCCAATAGAAGCAAATACTCCGGCGGCAAACGCCTCGACTCGAATGATGTGACCAGAGCACTGGAAGACCGGAATCTGTTGGGCAGCAGTACTTCAGCCATCTTTGGTCCTTGCGAGAATGGTGGTCAAATGCGTACCCAGTATATGTCTGCACCTCTCTCTCAAGTGCATCGGCGATCTCTTTCCCATCTTCCCTGTCGTCTGCCATGCCATCAGATGCATGCGGGTATGGCAGCTTGAAGAAAAGGAGCTTGTGAAGAATCATGCCGAGGGACCACATGTCCGATTTCGAGTCAACCTGTGAAAGAACGCCCGAGGGTGATGGCAGGGATTCTGGTGAAGAGTACTCGAGTCTGCACATAGAACATGGGCTCGTAAATGCTGCTGTTCATCGTAACGTGATCGGTGAGAGTACATACGTGCCAGTGTTTCCGGACCTCGCCCGTGACTTGAGCATGTCTTGCGACGTGCCAAAGTCAGACAGCATTGCCCGAGGTCTGCATGCTTGTCAGCATCATCGAATCGCGAGGATGTTGAGGTTAACATACATGAGACGGCCCTCATCCCACGTCAAGAGCACATTTCCTGGCTTCAGATCGAGATGCAGGATCGACTTCTCATGCTGCATTGGAGCCTTCAGTACGGTCACATTCTGCACATCAACGCACAACCACCCACCAGAAACGCGAGCCCCGACACGATATCCCCAAACAAGCCTCTCACCTCTTCCGCACTTAAAAGATGCACCGCTTTCCAGTCCGCGGGTGCCTTCCCGATGGCGGCGCCGCCTGCACTCAGCCCGAGCTCGCGCTTGAGACGTTCCCGGTCCGCTGGTGCCGCGCGCTGCAGCTGGCGAAACGCCCTGATGCGAGCGGTGCGCGACTGCGGGCCAGCGTCGGGCGAAGGCGACGCCTCGGAAGCAGGAAAGTCTGTTTGAGATGCAGATTTGCCTGCGTGAACGTGCGGGAGATTCGCGCGCCGACCGAGCCGGGACTCTATGAAGTCGTCCAAACTTCCACCCTCTGCCCATTGCATCAACACGCTGTGAAAAGATCATTCAGATTCGGTGAAGCGTGCATTTGCGGACGCGGGCACGTGACAATGACGACATGGACACACGAGGAGGGAAGAACGGATGCTCACTGTAACGTGGGTACTTGCGGGCCAAACGAGGAGAATTGGCACATCTCGAGCCAGGTGTGGTGATAGGTGATGATGTTCGGATGGTGCAGTCTCTCCAGCAGGCGAACCTAGCATTGGGTCAGCCTTGAGCGAAGAATGGCGGGCGGTGCAACCTGACCTCTCGGAGGATGTTGAGGAGATAGGAGTGCGATTGACCGACAGCGATCTTCTTCACCGCAAAATGGCCTGCAGCAATGGGTGAGACAAAGACATAGGCGACGAGCGTCCCAGCAGAATGTTGACATACCAAGTGTATTCCCGTCCAAAACGTGCTATCGCAATGGGGGTATCTGCGTTGAACCCTGACCATGGACCGAATCGCGAAACATCTGGCACGCACCTGGCAGAGAAACACACTCCCATTCGCACCCATCCCCAATCTGCCCTCTTCCTTGAAGAACGCCTTGAAGTACCCCTCCGCCATACTCTCCTTTCTGAAAACTCCCTGCCTGGAACCTGTGCCCGTTGAGGCGCCAGGGATCGACCGAGTCTCCTGCGGGGTGGCCGGACGAGAGGCAGATTCGTTCGCAACCTCCAGAAGCTGGAAGTAATTCGGTACCCTGCTCCGGGGACTGCCCATCTTTTCACCTTCAAATTCGCTGTTCAAGGCACCTTCTGCGTCCTGCTCGGCGTGGTGCTCCGTAGGTAGGAGTCGGTTGCAGTATGGACAGCGACTACCTCTGCGGCTGCGGACGAGCCCCGAGCCGGAATGTGTGCGCACAGAGAGCGCGTGAGAGGTCGCATTGTAGAGCACAACCTGGTTCGAGACGTGGAGGATGGGCTGCCATTCGGGGTCGAGGGGCGCAAGTGCAACGAGCGCGCTGCTCGGAGATGGTGGTTCGCTCTCGTCGAACATCGCGCGGCACTTCTTCAGCACGCAACTGGAAAAGTCTTCAGCACGCAACTGGAAATCAGTGAGTGGTAGTCCGAGGTTGAGAGACGGACTGATTGCGAGGGCTGGTGACGCTGTGGGGCTTGGGCCGAGGCGCACCGAATATGTCAGTTCAACTTCAGGTTCAGTCAAGGTTCAGTCAACGTGCCGGAAAGAGTCACCGGTTCAGAGCACGAGGGTTACAACCAATGACAATGAGCAATGTGAACTCATTCGAGGTGCGCCTGGAAGACCTCGTGCTACAGCGCAGCGACTTACATCGCCACCGCTGTCCACCTTCGGCAGTTGCCGCGCGCCGCCTGAGCCTCCTCGCATCGCCAATTGTCCTCCCCATCCGTCTCTTATAGCTCGAAATCCACTTGCTGAAGACGTCGGAAAAGGGATGATGGTGACGTCTTGTGCGACGTTAGCGGCGTTCGGTTGGGTGAGTGCTACCTGGTGGCGTCCGCCTCAGCATAGCAGTTGGTGCCAACCTGATACGATTTAGCAGCATATAGCAAAATGATGAACGAGGCGAAACCGATGTGCCGGAAGGCCAGAGACACGAGCACCTGACAGGAGGACAGCGCGAGAATACCGAGTGTCAATGATGGCTTGATTCTCCCGGTGCAAGCGTTGTCTTCTCTCACCGTTGCAAGTTGACAATCGTCGCACCGCAGTCGACGACGTATCCTCGGACCTCTTGCGTCTTGGGGTCGCTGTGCAGAGCTGGGGTCGATGCGTGAGGGTGCAAGATGAAGCCGAGTCTGCAGCTCGAACAGGAAGCAGAGCTGTATTGATACCGTGGTGTAATTAAGAGCTGTACGTTATCGTGATACTCGAGGCCATGCAATTACCTTCCACCTGTTTCCTCAGTATTCCATGTCTGATGTTCTATGAAGGGATAGGTCAATGAAGTCATTCGTGTCCAGAAGGGCCGGCCTCCCCATTTCCAGCCGTTGTCCTGAGGTTCACGGCCGTGTGCAAGGCTCACTTGCAATGTCTGTGGCCTGGCCCTGGACAAGCATGCAAGCGCCTATGTGATTGAGCATTCGTTCTGGAGTCCGAGGCGAGTACTTCTCAAACCAGAGCCTGCTACAAGTCTTCTGCATGGCAGGAATAGACGAGATCGTAGGGGCAAATAGATGCTCCAGATGCGCGGACCAGTCCAGCACTAGACGTAGACGAGTGGTTGTAGGGTCCAGAGGTCTTCACGTCTTGAGAAGCCAGCGCATACTTATTGGAGCAGAGACCTGAAAGCATCGCAATCTTGGCATACATTGCTGCTGCTATTCTACTGATATTGATCTAGAGGTCGGTAGTTTTTTTTCGCTCAATATATGCGCACTTACATCTGTGCAGTCATGTTGTAGAAGCTTCTCAGACATGCCACTTTGTCCATAGTAGATATCGGCAAAGCCTAGTTCAGACACAAAAACCACCACTCAAGGCGACGCTAGTATGCTGAATGAAATGCTTAGTGCTGTAAGCCATCTCCCGAACGATAGACGTCCGAAGCGGCCGTCCAGGCTGAAGGGCCCAATGAGCATTACGCGTCGCACCTTGTCAATGCTGAGGCTGGAAGATAAATCCAAATATTGTATACTCGGTTTGCAGATGTATGAGTCGTCGAGGAAGATGCTGAGCTGTGAAGCCCACAGTATACATATTTGCGCCACATGCGCGACGCGTTGTTGTGGATTGTGTACGTGTGCGAACTTGCAGATGTCGGCGCCGACGGTGACGTCCCTTCATTCTCTCTGCTGATCATCGCTTTTCCTGCGCTTATTTCGAAGAAATATCTCACTGACCAACACGTACAGCTGTATAACTCAAAATGTGATGGTCACACCGAGAGGTACGAGGCCTCAAATGTTTCGGGTAGTGTGTAAATCTCATGCCGCGCATATAGTTGAGGAACGGTCGCCGCGAGTTGCTCACGATCTGACTGTAGCATGACAAGCACTAAATAGAGAATTTAAGGTGGTGGGACGGTTGAGTCTACCTCTTGTCAAGGAAGACAGGCCATGCCCTCTCTGCACCCGTCAATTAAGAATCATCGAGACTCAATTTCACATTCAATGTCATGGCTTTATGTGATCTTTTTCATTTTGGTATGTGTATACAATGCCCATTCTGACGACTAACGTCATCGTCCGAGGGTCCATGAATATGTAAGTGCGTAGCTGTCCATGCAGCGGTGTCCATGTATGATGTCCGATATCACAGAGTCCAATGTCTCTCTTGTGTCCAAGTCTATAGTGTCCGATTGCGCAAGTCCGTGAATAAAGTAAGTGATAAGTTATGCGTGTGTCCGAGTCATTGATGTTTGTAGGTATGCATTTCGTTCTATTTGTTGTTCATCGTGGTGATGATAGAGTAATGTGATCCGACTCGACGTCCTAGGGCCAGCCTGAGACGTCGGCGATCGCGGATTACAACGACAGAGAGCACATCTCGAGACGCTCTAGGAGATTGAGCACTGATGGTGCATGCGCTGGGCGCTTCTTTTCCGACGCGACGACAGACTTAAGAGCCTCCCCAAGGCTCTCCGCGAAATCTGGTATCTCGACCGTGGGACCTTGTGAATACGATCCGGGGGTGATCGGTCCCGCGCTCTCGATACCAGAAGTGGAGGTGGAAGAGGAACTGGAGGTCAAGGACGACTTGGACCCGTCGAAGAAGGTGAAGAGGGTGTCACTCTCCTGGTATACTTCATCGGGGTCCAAGCTGGTGATATCCGCCTCTTCGAGGTGGGCGTCCTCGACCTCGTCTTCTGCCTCCGTGCTCGTCGCCGCGGCGCACTCGTCCCAGCACTTGCCATTCTGCATCACGCAGATCCCCTCTTCGGGGGTGGTAATGGCGTCCTCCGGAGGAGGCGCGCCCATGGCAGCTGTGACAAGCTCGTCGTCGCGCATGAAGAAGGTGTCGATCTCGAGAATGGCTAGGCGCAGCTCCGGGATGGAGATGCGTTCAGCCGGCTGGAGAGCCAGGATGTTATTGATGAGGTGGCCAGCAGCCCTCGAGATCGGTACCATCTTGTGGAAGTGATATGGGTCCATGAGGAAGTCCGAAAAGTCCGGATCTTCCGAATGCGCTTTCTGCCAGGGGACTCCGCCGGTGAGCATGTTGATCAGGATGATGCCCAGCGCCCAGATATCTCCCTGCTTGGTGGGATAGGCCTTGAAGCCTGTCTCCTCTCCAAGACATTCTAGCAGTGAAACGTCAGTCTCTGTGGTATGGATGATGACAAGCGTTACTCACCAGGACTCATATACTGGAAGCTTCCGCATCCCCACGTGTTACTGAGGGGATGACGGGTCGCCAGACCGAAGTCGGCGATATAGACCTCGCTCCCGTCCGCACTGCAGAGGATGTTCTCCGGTTTCAAATCACGGTGAAACACTTTTTTCATGTGACACGCGTAAACCGCATCCAAGATCTGCAGGAACACCTTGCGGACGAGCTCGTCCTTGTCCAAGAACGCATCATTTACGCACAGACGGAACAGATCGCCGGGACAGTAGTCCATCACGATGTAGATGAACTTGCTGTCCTCGAACGTGTCCTGCACCGTCAGCACGTTTGGATGGTCCGAGACGAGCTCCTGCAGCATGACCTCCTGGTGCTGGTGTATGCTATCCGTCACCGTAGGACCAGCCTTACGGACGATCTTGATAGCGCACTGCGCCGGAGTCTCGCTGCCGGAGGAGGTCGGGGCTTGCAAGTCGTACGCGTGGTACACGACTCCACAGGCGCCAGCGCCTAGGACCTTCGTGCACTCGTAGCGACCGCTATTGAGCGAACGGCCCGTGAAATCGGGCAGTTGGCTGGCCATCGATCCGGGATGCATCGCGTTGAACAGGGGGATAATACGCGAGAGGACGGATGTGAGATGGTAAGACGGGAACTTGAACTCTCGCTGCCATTTGGGTTGGCTTTTTATGTATTTTTCCTACGGAGACGGATGCTCTGCACATTGCCACGGAAAGCGGCAGCGCATATCGTAGAGCGCGACATCCGCCACATCCAGACCTCACTTTCCACGGCCGAATACCAGCATTGGTCAAGATTGTAACCGGACGCGGATACAAATTATACAGGCTAAATGCTATCCGTTGTGATTTCGACTGAACCGCTTCAGGTCACTGAAGAGCCTAGATTCATTACCACGGTCAAGATTCTAATCCGACAAAATGTTTGAGGGCAACGAGACCTCATCCGCTTAGCAGATGTTCATCGTGAGTGTACTTGCAGATTATTAAAAATCGCTCATAGCCGCTTCCGAAATAAGACATGAGATGACGTTACGATAGTCATATCATGGACATCGGTCAGAATACATGCTGCATGTAATCTTCAAACAACTGCCCTCCGCCTCCTAAAGTGGAACAGATTCCGTAACAACTGCCGCCCAGGATAGTCCCGCTTCTGCTTGTCGGATGCCTTATTCCCGTCCAATGGTTCTCCTAATCCAGCCTCCAGATCCAGCTCCGGAACGGCGACAGCGGGGTCTTGAGCGTGGGTTTCCGGTGTGGCCGGACCATCGGTGTCTTCTGAACTCGAAGCGGTGTCGTATAATGATGGCGCCGAGGAAGCTTGGATGGCGTTGTCGTGGTGGTGCTCATATACAGCACGGTTGGAGACTGAAGACGATGGTGATCCAGACGTACCCGAGGTGAAGACACCTTGTGGCTGGGAGGGAACGGGAGACGGAGAAGCGTCAGCATCTCCACATGGTTGCCCATCGGTTATGGGACTTGCGACTGCGCCACCAGAGCGCACATTGGAAGCATCAGACGCGCTCTCGGCGTCGATAGTTGAATCCAGCGATGCCGTTTCCATCGTCGAAGTGGACGACTCGGAAAGCGAGGGCGGTGCCTCTCCAATAGCAAGAGGATAGTATGATTTCCAGCAGCGCTTGGCGTTGACGGATGCGTCGGCGAGCTCCTCTTCGCTCATATAGAACGTATCAAGGTCCACTATGAGCCGACGCATCGTGCGGAGGTCGATAGAGTCTTTAGGTAACGGGGTGAATACGCGCGCCAGGATGTCGTGCATGCCCTGCGAGATGGGCAGCATGTACCGGAGCACATGGGTGTCCTCGAGATATTGGCCGTAGAATTGGTCCTCCCGGACGGCCCGCGCCCAGGGATAACGCCCAGTGACCATGTTAATGAGGATGACGCCGAGTGCCCATATGTCGGCGCGGCGAGGATTGTAAGCGAGGTGAACACCGTCTGCATTGATGCAATCTGACCACGACCACATCAGTCGTACTTTCATTTCTTGCAAGTGGGAGCAACTTACCTGGGCTCATGTAAGATCCAGTGCCTGTGCCGAAACTGGTGCAGTGTAGCTGTTTGGTCGCGAGACCAAAGTCGCTGAGATAGAGGTGGGTGGCGTCCGCGCTCACGAGGATATTCGCAGGCTTCAGATCTCGGTGGAAGATGCCGTTTTGGTGGCAAGCGTCCACGGCGTCGATGAGTTGCAAGAAGAGGTTTCTGATGAGTACGTCGTTCCTCGCAATCGTCATCCTCTCGATGAGCAGTTTGTGCATGTCGCCTGAAGGACAATAGTCGAGGACGAGGTATATGAACTCGTCATCGCGGACTATCCGGTGCAGTTTAATGATGTTGGGGTGTCCCGAGACGTACTTGTGACAGGAGACCTCTCGGGCCTGAAGCCTGCCATAGCGCGTAAACGGGTCTGCAATAGGAACCACCTTGACGGCGTAGAATGTGAATTGTCCGGAAGGAGCCTTGCGATCCCTCGCACGGTATATAGTTCCATGGCAACCAGCACCAACGAAGTTCAAGAGTTGGAGGCGGCCATCATCGATGACCTTAAGGGAGAGGTCGGGGACTCGACTTTCCTTGGAAGGCATCACAATGGCAATGACAGTGAAAGATTGTGTGTGGGTGTAAATGGTGACAGTAACGAGTTGGGTGCGTACAGTTGAGCACATTGGCCATCAGCTTTATATTCGAACGCCGAGACTGCTGTTCGGGACGGATCTGCAGGAAACTCGGATGAGGCCATCCGAGATTCCTGCATATCCGTTGCGCAACACCGCTGGTCCGACTCCGTTGCAATTTGGACTGCTGCTAAACACCAGCGCTCCGTGGACAATGCTGCCAATGTTTTGCATCGCATCGATGGTCGATAGGTTGACGCGTGACGGTCCAGATCGTAACATACCAGCTCTCGATACTAATGTGCACTGACTTGCCGTTTATGGGACATGACTTGCAGAATTGTTCTCCTCTTCGCTTCAACGTTTCCTATTTTATAACATTGTAAAATTACTCAGCAATGGTGCCAGGTCGACTTACAAATCTACACATCATCTACTTTTGCATTTACTGCTGCTGTCCATTTGCCTTTCCAGCATTCGCGTCCTCCAACACGTTTTTGATTCCCTGCGTCCACGCACCCAGTTCCTTCTCCAACCGCACAATCGCCTCTCTGACCTCGTTCGCGACGAGTCCGCCGCCATTACCTACCCCGAAACCCACCATAAGCTCGTCCCGTGCACGTAGCAATGTCTCATACGCGAGCTTCAGGCGCGGCGCGCCGGACGGAGGGAACCGCTCTTTGGCCACAGAAAGTTCGGCCGGCGGGGCCGGCTCGTCGACCGCGAGCAGCTTGCCAAGTTCAGCGAGCGCGATACCGCGCACAGGATGGCCATGCGGCAGGACAGCGGTTAGCCCGACGGTGTAATTCCGCGCGGTACGGATCGTCTCGTCGAGCGTGTCTTGCGTGAGCGAAGAGGATAGCGACGCGATGAGCAGCTCCTTGTGCAGGCGAGTCAGCGGGAGGAGCGGGTGACAGGACGGCGTGAGGTGCGCGGAGATAAGGATGGGGAGCATATTGGTCGTGATGTGTTTGGCCCTCACGGGGTCTGCGGAAGTGGGACGTGGTGAGAACGGCACAGATAAGTGGCATGCGAGTATCATACGAGCCTCTGAATTGCAAAGATGTCGCCTTGTCCAGCGCTTCCTGACCGACGCGAATAGCGTCGATGACGGTATCCGTGTCTGAAACGATAGCCTTGCACTTGACACAACGACTCATGGGATCTTCTGCACGTATTGTCAGCTCAATCCGCTCAGCACGCTGATCATACTTACCATCCGCTGGCGCGGGGCACGTCCCACCACAGGACTTCGGGCACCATATGGACTCCCGAGGATCAACAGCCAATGCCTTCGTGCACAAGCGACACTTGCAGGTAAAGTTGTACGTCTCCTGAAGTTCTTTCTGACGGACGTGCTTCGGAAGCGTGACGTCGATGTACGAGGTGATAACCTGACAGAGATGAGTGACGTGCGAAAGGACCAATGAATACAAATTATACCTCTTCATCCGGAATAATAGGCTTGATTGAGACCAGATGCATGAGTGGTTCTTGCATCTGTGGATTGCTTGACGTGCGAGGGAATACAATGACAGCGTTCGGGTCGCAGGAATGATTCGCGAACGCGATTGTCGGACAAACCGAGATACCAATAGGTGTAAGGCTAGGAGACGTCAGAGTGAAGGTGTTTGTAGTGAACTATAAGAAGATTGACATTAGGCCACATCCAAGCTTGATAATGGTGGTTTAACCTACTCGAGAGATTAGATCAACCAGGTCTCCTGCGGACGTCAACCCGTACGGTTGGAGTTCAAGTGGCGACGACACTCCCAGGTAGCGAACAACAGAATGGGCAAGGTGTGTATGCGACTCAAATGCGGACGGCTGTAGAGACGATCTGTCTACAGTCGGAGTGAGCATGCGGTCATGCACGCATTTCGCCAACGACTCACGAGATTGCATCATGTTGTATTCTTTCGTCTACAATCCAGCAGTAAGCGAGCCGGAAACGGTGTATTCGATCGTTATGGCTTACCCATGCGCTGTCTAGACCTTCCTTCTGCTGGCTCCACAAAATCCTTCCCAGGCATCTGACACCATCTCCCGGAATTGCCGCATCGGACGACGGTGCGGCTTGCGCCCACTTCTGTATTGCATCACATTCGTGCTTGTGTACGGACCAATCGTTGTTTTGGCATTGCTGTAGGAGTGGGAAGGTCATTGATAATGTAGGACGCTAGGGCGAATGAACGTACATACAGAGTTGCAGTAATGTACGACACGGCAGCGTGTACATCGCTTGAGCCCGCTTTGAGGAGAAGGTCCGCAGCAAAACGAGCAATACGCGTCGAGATACGAGGTAGAGAGCACGCTAACGTGCGGCTTGGTCGCCATCAACACGCAGCCTGAGCATTTATGAAGGATACTCAGAATCTTTTTGTCTTAGATATAAACGTAGAATATACCTGCTTTGAAAGCACTCTTTGCATACATCCCTCGGCCCGTCTCACAAGAGTGTCTGATCTCCAGTGAGGAAGGCAAGGCGCGGTGCGTGTTCTCGAGGCGTACCACTTCAAGCGGCTTGGATGCGAGACGAATCTCAACATCCTCTGCGAGGTCCACGGACGAAGATGGTGCTGCCTCATCTTCTCTGACGTCCGATATAGTAGAGATGGGTGCCTTGACGAATGACTTGGCCTCTTTGGCCTTGCGAGCAGAGTGTAAATTCGAGAAAGACATGCAGTCCCAGTGAAAGTATAAGTAAATTGAAGCAGACCTAGTAAAATTGATTTGAATTAGATCTTGAATAATAGGTCCCGAGGAAATGAAGTGGACCGGAAGCACGACAGAAGTCACGCGCAAGCTCACGCTGCTGGGAAGGTGGGCGCCTATGTCGATCGCTATGTATGGCTACAACCTGCGTTTTAAACAAGGCCAAACAACCGACGTGCATTCGCGGGCCACAAGGGCGGCCCATTAGTACAACTTGTCCTCCTCCGAGTAGCAATAGTCAAGCTTGGTGTAACTTATACTATTTCTTGGTTGGACGATGCTCGCAGTTTGCAACAAACACTATGCCTCTTAGGGGGGTAAGTAATAAATGGTGTTCGGTTGTTTATATCTAGCAACTCAAATAACAAAACATTGGAACATCCAGGAGCAAAGCAGGCAGATATACACATTCAGTATTTAGGCAGGGGATTATAGATTTCTTCAGAGGAGAGCCCATATGGAGACATGGGTGGGTGACATGAAAGAACGTGGGATTGTGCTATAAAATGGAGGGTATCTCAGGTATGAATATCATCAATGGAACCCATAAACAACGTCATAAATAACCGAGTCTGGATGAACGAGAGGACCATCAGGTAAACATCTTTAGGTTATTGAAGCATCAGAGCATCATTGATCAGTCGGAGGCGGTGTGCGTAGACGGTGACACACGCTTGAATGCGGATGCCGATTCGCTATCGAGGCGCTTGAAGAAGTCGTCTTCGGACTCATACGGGGACGGGCCCGAATTTATCTGCAGACGTCCGGGTGATGTCAATGTATGTTCGTGAAGAGGGTTCGTAAAGTGGGAGTGGCAGCAGCGACACATGTCCGTTCACTCACCCATTTGCCTAGAACCTCAGCCAGGCTCCTCACCTCCGTCGGGCTGAACATAACATCCTTTCCCTTCTCCGCGTGCAGCCTCAAGAGCTCGGGCAGCGTCCGCTTTCCAGCACCTGCCTCCGGCAAACCCGTCCTTGCTACTCCACCCTCACCAGCATCTCCTAGGGTCCCTGCGTTGGACAACTCAAAATTGCCACGTATCTCCGAGGTACGATCCCAGTTCTCTGTCTCGCTGACAGAGCTCGGGAGATGTAGCGACAGCTTTGGCAATGAGGATTCGGCTTCGTTGCTCATCGTGCTTTGGTAGGATTTCCGGTTTATGCGCGAAGAGAAGAGGGACGAGATGGAGCGTAGGAGCAGACACTGCGGACAACGCACAGCACGACAGCAATATGATGAAAGCACTTAAAACAGCGAGGACATCATTCATGTAGCAGCGACCGAGAGAGGAGTGAAGAAGGTAAGTGCACGTGCACGGCCGCCACACCAGGCGCGCAAAGACAACGCGATCGAAACGCGTCTGTGGCGCGGCTAGCGCGAGTTCACGCATTTCACAAATTAAAGACGAAAGTAAAGTAACATTGGGATTCGTAAGGAATCTCGTAGCAGAAAACTAGGAGCGTCATGCATCGTAGCGCATGAAGTGCTCATATCGCTGAGCAGATATTTTTTGGAACTTCACGCGAGTGATTTCTCCGTCGGACGCCGTTTGTCCCCATGCAACGAGTATTCACGTGGGGGCTAATCTCGTTCGTCCTTTTCCTCATGGGGCAGCTCACTCTGCTCCACATTGCTATTGCAGGACGGGAGCACCGGATCTGAATGGAGTCGGACGACGATCATGAGCAACAGAATACAATCAAGGCCAAGACACGCACGACCATGACATGGTCGGTATCTCCCCGACCCTCAGTTCTGCTGCGCGTAGGTGTCATGCATAACAGCGGAATGCAATGTACAGCAATACCTCTGTTCGAGCGACGTTGGACATCACTCCGCGTATCCAAGTATAGCTCAACGATTGTTTACCCAATGATGATGTGCACTGTCTGCAACGCAGTAGTGGCGCAGGGTTGAGACAATCCACGATTATCGTGCTGCGGACTTTACCCACGCGAAATGTAGATCTAGAACATGAATGGGCCGGAGGATATGATACTGTAGGTCAGAATATAACCGAATGGGTATAGGGTGTCTCTCAACCTATGACTGGTAGTCAACGTACACGAACGTTCACCACTCCTGCGCATGTCGTCAACAGGCTCCGTGGATAACCTCGCAGGTCCATGCAGTGCATGCACGAGCATGGAGCAGTTCTCAGCTAGCAGGAGACTGTTGCTTCAAAACCTGGGCCAGCCCCGCGGGTGGGTTGATCATACCTTGTCATGCAATGCTCAGTGTCGTCACCACGATCAAAGTAAATATCCGTCCTTACAGCATGGGTAGCTAAACTCCTCGCCCATTCACGTTGCTGTACAAGTTGCCTGTTCAAGGCGCTCCTGCGGAGTGATAGTGCCGACCAGATCTGATTTGTCTGGTGCAGGTACTGTTGCGCCCACCGACTCTCGTGCGTGATCCGCCTGAGACTTCACGAGACAATACGATGGGTACCACGACACGGGTCACACCCGCATTCGGGCATGGCGTTGCATGCGATCCTTTCGGTGAGGTCGAGCCAGACGGCCGTCGCCGAGCATCGTGTACATGATGTCGAGGAAGAACATGGTCTCGACGCCTGCACAACACTCCGTCCTGTGTCGTTTCAGACACTGTTATACTACAGTCCACGGAGTGCGAATGTGGAACATACCCTCGGAACAGGCGCAGGCCAACCAGATACTCGTCCGTGCTGAATATCCCCTGCGGAAGTCGGTGACATTCCCAGATCATTTCAACACGAACATACCTAAATCGATCTCGATCGCTTGGCAGTCATGAACTTTCGTGCGATGGGAAGTAAAGTGCATACGTGCTGTCGATGTCGCTCTGGTCACCTGTGTATCTCCACGTCAGGACATCAGATTTTGAAGCTGATGATCTCGCCAGACCACCAGTAACATAGAGCTAGCCAGCACTGGCATAGTGAAGGATTCAACGACAGTAAGCGTTGAACGTCGAACTGCCAGGCGAGGCACGCTCATGATACCACGAAGATACCAAATGAGGTTCACACCGGAGAGACAGTCAAGGCATCAGCTATTCAGCCCGTCCCCGGAGTCTAGTATGAAAGACTGCGACAATATTGCGTACGCTCAGCACTGTTATTTCGTCCGTTCGACGTTCGCAGTGTCACCCGTTCGAGCCCGATTAGTCACGCTTCGTCACGACTATGAATCCTGTCCTGGTGAGAGGTTGGACATCTCTTCTCGTGGATCAGGACACATCAGGCATATAATTAAAAGAACGAACGGTAGTGTCTCTCGATGGCACGCAGAGGGAAAAAGAATTGAATGCGATCTGCCAATGTATCAGTGTTCACAACTGTGCGCCTATTATGGCACATGTAACAGATGTGACAGATGTGACTCTGCGTTCCTCACGCCACAGAATCCTCGATGTTGCTTTTGTTCGAGTCTCCATTCGTTGACTGTTAACTTCCACGCTGACTTTGTCGCGACACTGTGGCCCGACTCTGCGACGTTTCTTCGAAGACTGGTTGTGCTCTATCGTATCTCTGCTGAGGACTATTCGTCGAAGACATGCCAAATGGGTGTAGCGGCGGATCCCCCTTCGCTGTTAGTTTGCACGTATCGTTTGCTGCTTTCCGGACTGTTACTCATACGGGTATATCATACCCTATCATACCTATGCTGCATCAGCATTCCCCGTTGTCCCCTGGCGAGCTGTGCTGATGATACTATTGGGCCTGGAGATATCATATACCCCTTCGATTCGCATGTCATGCGGCACTGACAGTTCCACAACTTGCTGGCGGCTTGTTAGAACCTCATGTCGAGCTGCGGTCCTCGAAGCTAGAGGATTCTCTACATGCTTCATGTTCCTTGACCACGCGCTGAGGGTGGTTTCTGGCGGGAACGCTGACTCTCTGAGACTTGATAGATTCATTCTGCATCGTAGCGTATATCTCAGAGTCTCCGAGCGCCATCTGATGCGTGCTAATCTGAAAGGCGATGAGCGCTGTAGCTCCTTCTGGCGCAACTGCCGAATGGTCTTCTTCTGCTACGTACGGCACCCTATGCTTCACTTCCACATCAAAGAGCATCCGCCAGCAGCCGTACTATGAGAGCTCGGAGCATGCATCGTGCTGGCGTGCAAATCTGCAAATCATATCTACAAAAAGTATGAGGTTTCCGCCGCTATGTGGACCGAAGCCTTCGGAGACAGTTTCTAATGGAGCACCTTGCTTCTGCATTAATGCGGCAAAACCCGGCCACATTGTAGCCATTTCGTTCCTTCATTGAAAGCCCTTGGAGATGTGAACGTTCCGAGGTAACTTTACATAACGTAGGCGAGTTACAGAACTTGACCTGTCTGTCGGGCCCTTACTCCATATCTGGTCTATTTACAGCCGAAGTGACATCCCCAAGCGCGTTCTCACGGCAACATGAAATGATGCTGTGTTTGCGTCTCCGCTTGATGCCTTCTCCGAGCTGATTAAACGTTTCTTCTCTGGGAGATCGATTCCAGGCACTCGTCAACTCTTCGCAACCACCAGTGCTACAGCGCATACCTCCTCTGAGTCATTGAATTTATGCTGTCAGATTGGTTCGCATTATGAGACGTTACGTTCAATAAACGCTCAGTTGACCAAGCAGTTGATACCTCCGTTACGGTATCCCCGTACATGGCATCCGAATGGCAGTGTCTCCGTGCGCGCGGCACCTGACCGTGTAACCGCCCATCCAATTCCACGCTTCTCGCTGATATCCACGCATGGAAGTGTCCATCAACCTGGCATGATCCCGCGTCCGTTCTCGAATTTCCGTCCTGATATGCGGCCAACGAACGGCTCCCAAGCTGGCACGAATGGGCTTGTCTTCCGATTTGGCGATCTGTCCATCTGGAAACCGCTGCGAATACTTAAGACCTGCCCAGGTTCCGGATCGACTAACGGTTGCAGGCCCTCGTCTCCTACCCTCAACTGGTCGGTCTCTAGAAGCGGCCTCCCTGAGTGTTTAGTGTCCCAGGATGTTCAAGAACGGTCCCGAGTACGAAGAACGGTGAGTTCAAAGCACCCTTCGCTCTCTGATTGGATGCTAATCGCGAGCCACAGGCTGGCGAAGCCATTCATTCCTCCAACCATCAGCCTCAAGGAGATCCATGATTCTGTTCCGAAACATCTCCTTCGCAAGGATCCCTTGCTGTCGACGTACTATGTCATCCGGGACATCGTCTGCTGCGTCGCCATCTTCTACTTCGGCTTCAACATCGAGACGCTGCTCAAGAGCAACTTCGGTGGCTTTGTTCCGTTGACCGCGGCGTGGCAGGTCCACCTTGCACGGACCGCGCTGTGGCTCACATACTGGTGGTTCCAAGGTCTGTCGTTCGCCAGCTTCTTCTGCATAGGTAAGTGGTTCGTGTCAGTAACTCTTGCGGTATCTTTGACGTTGTTGCGTCAGCGCATGAGCTTGGCCACCAGACCATGTACGAGAACCGCTACGTCAACGACACCCTCGGCTACTTTTTCCATGCTGTATGTATCAGTAGCACTCCGTGATGGTGTCTCACTGATCAGCTTCGCAGTTCATCATGGCACCTTTCTTTGCGTGGAAGGCAAGCCACAATGCCCACCATGTACGTGATGCGATCTTTGATGGCGAGCCGAGTCGTTGACATTTCTGAGGATAGAAAACTGTGGCCTCAATCGAGCGCGACGAGAACTACGTGCCATATGATCGCAAGGACTATAAGCTTCCGTCCCGGGAGAATGCCACGACCGCCGACTACCTCGAGGTTTTCGATGAGACTCCTTTCCTCACTCTCGGCCGCATGCTGGTGATGCAGGGAGTGTAAGTTGTCTTCGTTCATTCATACTCCTCGTCCTCATGCTAACTCGATTGAACACAGAGGCTGGTGGTTGTACATCTCGTGCGTATTCGTCTCGGAGGAACCGTGCTTGATCGATGTTAAAGAGGAGTTAGGACCAACGCGATGGGCTCCAAGAGGTATCCCAAGGGCACGAACCACTTCGACCCCTACTCCGCGCTATTCCGTTCCGACCAGCGCCTTGGCATCTTCCTCTCTGACGTTGGCCTTGTCGGCATGAGCACTATCCTCTTTTACGCCACGAAGATGTACGGCATCAAGGCATTCTTCACGTACTATTTCATCCCGCTCGTCGTAAGTGTGACGTCTCCTACACCATAACGCCAACCCACTCACGGACAAAATCTTCCACAGCTCTGCAACCACTGGTGACTATCCAGATAGCCTATAGGTTTGATCCGCATGCTGACGATTTCCTCGTGCCCTTCTTCGCTTCGCCTCATTTCAGGATTGGTGAGTGGGCGTCTAGATAGTCTGTGCTTCTGCGGTTCTCATCGTGCCTCGTTCCTCAGTCATGCTCACGTACCTGCACCACTCCGACCCTACGATCCCTCACTACCGCAAGCAGGAGTGGTCGTGGGTGCGCGGTGCGGCTGCCACTGTCGACCGCCCTCTCCTCGGCTGGGCCGGCCGGTTCTTCCTGCACAACGTGAGAATGCCTGGTCTTCTTTTGGCCGCCGTCCTGATCATCATGATTCCGTTCACAGGTCTCGCATGACCACGTGGCACACCACTTCTTCTCGTACGCGCCGTTCTGTGAGTTGTTTGAGATTTGTGGCAATATCCATGTGTAATTGACGGTGCGGCCAGACAACCAGCCTGAGATCACAAAGTGCGTGCGCAAGGTCCTCAGGGAGCACTACAACTACGACTCGACCGTACGTTCACGTATGCTTGCCTCGCACCCGCTCCCGCTGACCATGCCCCGCAGAACACGTTCTACGCGCTCTTCCGCTCTTTCACCGAGTGCGTGTTCATCGAGGACGAGGGCACTATCGTGTTCTACAAGAACAAGTACGGCCAGACCGTGCGCGAGGTCGCGAGCGACAAGCTCAAGGAGATCGACGCGCAGTGGAACGCCGAGGAGCAGGACAACGGCGTCCAGGTCATCGAATGAGCATCGCGTTCGCATTCGGGCTTGTGCTGTAGCACCCTGTGTAGAGTATCCGATCTGTCGCCTGAGGTGGGCCGGGTAACGCTGTATGAGTCATTTGAATAGAAGCTGTTTCTTGGTATGTTCGGCACATCCATCCAGTGTAAAAGGCATCTGTCGAGAGTGGTCGAAGCATTTCCAAAGCTTTACATTTCCGTAACGAAGTCTTCGCATCAAGCACTGCCATGTGGCTGTATACTGCTAGGCTGCCGAAAGTTGACGGCGCGTCTCAACACGGTCATGTTCAAGTGTGGCACAACTTGTGCCGCTTTCTTTTGGCATTTCCTCTGACACTGTGAAAGCTGATCGTTTATTTGCTGCGGAAAAACGTAACGAACGCAATTCAAAGTCGTTCGTTTACACCGAGATTCAATGCGGCAATTGAACGACCGATTCTTGTATCTCTTGAATGACAACTCATGAACGTCTATTTTTCTCACGAGCTTCTCAATATTTTTCTGCGCAGTCTGCTGACGGCGACGGCTTGACTTACGATATGTACATCTTCAACGCCTTGCTCCACGCGCGACGGCCGCTTCTTTGCCTATTCTTTTAACGGCCCATACGTGTGTGCTGCAACCGTTCTTTTGCGAATTTTCACTGAAGTCATTTGATTGAGCAACGGGAAGGTACGGATTCACTTTTCTGATTGCATTCCTTGGCCATATGCTCCTGCTCATCATGGGATATCGCTGTTCCTTAACAGAGCACTGACGTCGCGAAATCATATCACCCCTTTGCTCCCAGCGTGCCGCCGTAGTTGTGATGGAGCACCGCATCTATATTTATTCCCTCGGCCCGGACTTGTGATGGTGAGTTTAAGCATTCAGATTTGCTCAATCACGAGATTCGGTGTAGGGCAAGAACGCAGTTCCTGCTGTGTCATCAGGGTCACCAGTGGGTAGCTTTGGGGCGTTTCGCGCACATGAACACTCTCTGAATATCATCTACCCCATGGACGCGCTTCTCGCTTTTCCAGAGCTTGGCCTAGACGACGGCCCGCAGGCGCATATATAAGATGAGATGTAACTTGATGGGTGCGTAATAGTATCACCATGTACTGGCCTCAGTCTTTTGCGGCATGCGCGGTCCTCGCAGCGGTATCCGTTTCGCGATGTCTAGTAGCTACGACTGTGTCAGTCAGTTCGACCGCTAGCCATTCCATTCCCACGACCCTCTGTGCGTAGCTGACATGCCTGAATCCGTGGAGTGAGAAGGCACTGACAATCATGACCCTAGATGGGCAGATGTTCGAGGTATGACTGTGCGCGATATGATGTTGAAGTTCAGTATATTCAATCTAGCGATAATGCACAACAAAGGATATCAACGTGAGCATATTTCGTGGTGAACTCCCGGTGAACTCCGTGCTAATGCATCTTTCTTCAGCATGTAAGTATTCCCGCTGTGGATGCACTTCACCCTTCTCTTACATTTCTTAGAGTGGCGATGGAGGTCTCTATGCAGAGTGTAAGGTGTATTCGTTCTTCATGGTACTTGAAGTCTCACACATTCCTAGTGCTTCAAAATCGAGCATTCCAGCAAGTGACTCCGGGTATATCTTCTCTTCGAGTATCCGGATGGGCGACTTACGAATGTCATAGACACCTCCGATGCACTTGAGCCCTGGGAGGCCGTCAACGGTGCCAACATCACTGTCATCGCGGACTCGGACCCCGTCTCTCCGGCGTTGCCCAATTCTTTGCAATTCACAGTTCCCTCCAGTGCGAGCGGATCGGTCGGCTTCAGTAATGAAGGCTACTGGGGTCCGCTATTTGTCTTTACCTATGCGCAATTCGGTTCTCTCAACGACGTGTGCAGGCATCAACGTAAATGCGTCATGGACGTACAATGCATCGCTCTACTATCGCTTCCCTAGTTCATCCACCTTCTCCGGGAAGCTCACATTAGGCCTGGAGTCCTCCGCGGGTGACGTGTTGGCGTCAAACTCAACGACGATCAGCGGAAGCCAGACGATCTGGAAGCAGATCGCGCTCGAGCTGACACCGTCATATAGCGCGTCGAACAACAATAACAGCTTCTTCGTGACAGTCAACGGTTCGGAGGCCGCCGGAGAGACGATCCACTTCGCGATGTTCTCGCTGTTCCCTCCTACGTACAAGAATCGACCGAATGGCATGAGGGTTGACATCGCTGAGGTATGATTGTGATGGACTTCTGGGACGTTCCGTGCTCACCATGAGTGGACGCATAGACGCTAGCTGACATGAAGCCTGCGTTCTTCCGATTTCCCGGTGGCAATAATCTCGTGCGTTGCTTCGTCATTTCCCAAGACGTAATTGATTGCAAGTTCATCTCTATATAGGAGGTGCGCTTTGATCAATGTACAACCTAAGCGCTATGTGTACAAGCGCTATCCGTAGGGTCAAACATGGGCCACCAGATGGCAGTGGAATGTCACCGTCGGACCACTCCTTGACAGGCCAGGCCGTGTCGGTGACTGGGGCTATGTAAATACCGAGTATGCGCTGCGCTTTCGTTGCCCTTCGGACTAGCGTTAGGCTGACTGAAACACATAGTGGTCTCGGTCTCTTGGAGTATCTTACGTTCTTCGAGGATGTGGGCATGGAGCCATTCATGGCTGTCTGGGCTGGTGCGTTGCGTATTGAATCCTGTAGTCGCTTATGCTCACGTTCTATTCAGGCTATTCTCTCAATGGAGAAAGTCTTCCTGAAGATGACCTGTCGCCGTACATTCAGCAGGCCATCGAGCAGGTCTGTGACTTATCCAGTACGTAATGGGCTATCTCTCATGACCGGACCTGCATCGCACTAGATCGAATTCGCAGTTGGGGATGCGAACACCAGTTCAGTTGGTACGCAGCTCGTAAATGTGGTCAAAATGAAATGCTTTACTGATGATAGTGTGTAGCTGCACTGAGAGCGCAGTACGGGCACCCTGAGCCGTTCAACGTCAGCTATGTCGAAATCGGAAACGAGGTTCTTTTTGTTACCATACGACATTTATTGTTGGTAATGACGCCTTATGGCAGGACTTCTTTGCATCAGATTCGTAAGCCTACAACCCTTGATGTCGACAGCTGAACATTGACTCAGCCCTTCTGGAACAGCTATACCTATAGGTGGCCTGCATTTATAGGGAACCTGAGCGCAGCATATCCGGATATCAGTGCGCACTTCTCGCACCATCCTAAGCTTTCAGCGCTGAGTATTCCCTTAGACTATATTGCTACCACGTACCCGTTCGATCCCATTATCTCACCCACGCCAAAGCAATATGATATCCACGTGTATCAGACACCTGGTAAGGTGGTCCCAGCAGCTTTACGAAGCTGTGCTCACGACTTTCGTCTCAGGTTGGTTCATTGAAAACGCTTTTTATTATGATGATTTCGAGGTTTGCGTCCTCGTCATTTGCATCTATCGTAGGCTGATGGAAGAGTGCGTAGCGTAACGGAACGAGGTACTTCCAGGTATGTCGCTACGGGAATCTGACTCATCTCGTACTCTGATCGGGGCGCAGGGCGAGTATGCCTCAATCTCAACCAACTCGAGCAACCTGTACGGATCAGCCTCGGAAGGACGGTTCCTATATCCCACCATTCTGAGTGAGTTGTATCGTTGTACGAAGGGGAACATCTCTCTTACTTGTGCGGGGCAGGCTCCACTGCCGAAGCAGCATACATGACGGGATTCGAGCGAAACGCTGATATCGTCTTTGCTGCGTCCTATGCGCCTCTGCTGCAGGTCAGGGCAGTCGCTCGGATTACAATAGTGATTGCGCTAACCGGAACCTTCTGCAGCTGGTAAATGACTCACAATGGGTGTGTGTCTCACATCTCGCGACTCTTCACCCTTCATATTCATGAGACAGAAGACCCCCGACCTCATTACTTTTGAGTGAGCTATTTTCTCTTATCACCTCTCCAGTCATGTAGGCTGACCCTTTGCAGTGCTTCCACTGTCGTGAGGTCGACAAGCTACTACGTTCAGCAAGTATGACCATGGTTATGAAACACCGAAATGATTCATTCAATCATAATCCTCTGATGCAGCTGTTTAGCCTGAACGTCGGTGACGAATATCTTCCAAGCACACTGCCGACACAGAACGGAACTCTCTATTGGTCAATCACCAGGAGCTCTTCGACTGAAAACGTCTACATCAAGGTCTGCATTTCTCAATTTCTGCTCTCATCTATCATTGAATTAACACGAGATGCAGCTTGTCAACGTTGCCTCATCCGAGGCAGACGTGACATTCGAGCTGCCATTTGAGGTGGCGAGCACCGGAACTTTGAAACTTCTGACGGGCAACCCGGATGATAGCAACACTCCGGACGCGCCGGATTACATCACCCCAGAGACCAGCACGATATTCACGGATTCGACGCTCAACTACACCGCTCCCGCTTACAGCCTCAGCGTGATTATCGTGAGCACGTCCTAAGATACAGGGAGCGCATCGATTAGTACCGCCAGATCTGTGCCATACGCGTCGAGATTTCAAGCTGAGCCTGTAGTAATGTACTACCACGGGCCTGACGGCAATTCATCATCCTCGTCACCGCCCTCTTCGGCATTGGTCTCAAAAATGGTGCCCTCAACAGCACGAGAGTATACACCCAGCTTCCACATGTCTCCAATGACGAACCTGACATGGTCGACCGCGAGTGCAAGCGTCGGATGAGGCAATTCGTCGATTTTGCCATCGTCCCCGAGCATTATTTTGGGAAAGCGAGCGGAGAAATGAGTCAGCAGCAGATTCTCCGCCTTCATTCTAGAGCAACAGAGTGAGACTAAGTATTCCGTCTATCATAAGGAGTGCGTTCTTACTGTTCGCCAATCTTGCGGGCCTGGCTAAAGGTGCTATGCTTCTTCGCCAACGCCAAGTCCTCCTGACCATCTGCCAGGGTGGCCTCATGTATAAGCAGCTTGCAGTTCTCTCCGGCCGCAGCCAGCACGGCATCGGGAGGTGTGTCTGCAGAGTAACTGAAATATCATCAGCAAGCCACATGAATCAGAAGAAACAGGATCGCGAACACAATACTCCATCCATCCTGGTGCTTGAGTATGACTGCATAACATCCGCCTCCATGGTTGACCCTGAGGGTCTGGAAGCTCTCGAGACCTAGCGCACGACACATCTCCTTCCCACTCTTGAGTGATGGCTCTGCCCACGACGAATTGAGAAGCTTCCGAGCGATTTCGAAACGCCTGACATATACCAAATTTAGCCATGAATCAAAAATGGATCAGAAGGTTGTATGTACTGAAATGTATCGTTCTCCATCAACTCCTTCCGCTCTTCTGGCGGAAACCAATGGAAGAAACCTGACTGCATGAAAATGACGCCATTGCGGCCAGGCCCCGACAATCCTAAATCCTCCAAAGAAGACTGATCCCGAAGGTAGACTTCATGATTTCGGTTACCGACTATGAACAGCGCCTGATTGGGCGACGGTTTCAGCTGGGCAGTGACGGGATCAATGAGATACATTTCATATTCTGCACGTAAGGCACTCACGAGCTTCCGCATAGCAAGGAGTTTCGCCGTGCCAACATGATGATCACCGTGCATATGACTGAGGAATATGAACTTCAGATTTCGTAGAACGTCCCAGGCACCCGTTGTGTGGTTGTCGATATCATCGCCAAACATGCGCGTGAGCTGGCCCCACGTACCCTCGCCGGCATCGAGTAAGATGTTGCCCCAATTCGGTATGCGTATGAGCGTACTGGATACTAAGAAATGTTACAAAAGCGATAATCAGTCTCATCATCAGGCTTACCGTTGCGATACTTGCTTGGCACAGCGCTGGAGGTACCAAGCGGGATGACTTCCACGTCGTCGCCAGGCTTTTTATCTTGAGCACGCTCGTCAACGTGCCGCTGCACACGGGCCTTGGCTGCCGCGAACTCGTTCGAGATGGATTCGGGGAGAGACACCGGCATTCCGGATGTGATTACCGGGTGAAACAGGTCATACTTGGCGATCTCTTCGTCGTCGCATGGATCCGTGAGTGGCCTCATCATGACGATGCGGTTAGGCGACAGAAGTTCCGCCTTGGCGGGCAGTCCTGTAACCGCTTGGAACAATGAACAATGATTCAAATGCATAATCAGCCGTATGACATACATGATAGGTCTCGTCTTGCAACGAGACTGAATTGTGGAAGAGGGAACATGTCTGCGTCGAGTTGATGCAAGCGAAGCTGGGAGAACGCAGCACTTGTAAACGTTACCGGATCCGGACCGTGCTCTCTGGAGGAAATTTGATGCTGACCAGCAAGAGGGTCCATGCACATTAGAAGCTACCGTGCGTGCAGACGGAGTAACTCACATTGACATGATTCGCGAAGCCTCGCATGAATGCCTTGTAGCGTTCATCCTCTAGGACACCTGGACCGCAGAGATGATATATGATATGGACGCGGTACTCGCTCTGGTCATTTTCTGACTTGGAATGGAACCGAGAATAGAACGGATTTTCTGTGAAAGTCGCCACGACTTGTGGAATGTGCGTCGGAGTGGGCACATCCAACAACAACATGACCTGCATCAGGACGGTGAGAAAACAAGTCACACCAGGCTTACTAAACCACTGACTTTGGGTATCTCGGATTGCGCGATGCAATCTTCCGGCTTCACAATGCGCTGGATCTCATTTCCATCAGCATCCTTGATGGTTATCGTCACTGTCTGGCCTTTTATGAGCTTCGCCCGATCAGTCCTAAACACTCCCAGAGTTTCGGCCTTTTTGGCATCGAATTTTCCACGAGTGCGCGGACCGACTAAAACATAGCAAGCCGTCATCTTCTTCGACATGTCTAGTCCATATTCCTCGAATGGCGGGAGGTACTTGTTTTTGTGCGCGTAAGCTTCATTGTAAACCTCCATGAGCGGTGGTGGAGGTTCCGGCCCCGCAACCATTTTCGCCGACTTAGCATCAACTTGCTGTTTGTGCCTCTTTCCCTTTCCTTGCTTTTGTTCATCAGGGTCCTTCGGCGGACCTCCGCCTGGAGGCTGTACGAGCCTCGGGAACATGTTCTCCACCGTAAGTCGTCTATACTCTTGCGCGTCAACACCAGGCAGAGGCGACTTCTACTTGCGTGCCATTAGATCGAAAGAGGAATGGGTCGTCTTATGCACCCACATATTGAATGCCAGCCATCGCCGGTCTTTTGGAAGGCAACGGCGATCGTTTTCTTTTTGCGGACGATGTAGAGACTATCGCATCAGGTGGAGTTGGGTATATTGGGATTCCGTATACTGTGACGTTCTCATCTTTGAATACTGGCACCGGTGCAGCAGGCTCTGTGTCGGCAGAACTCGAAGGCGCAGGGGGGATTTCGACGCATTTCACGGAGAAACCCGAGCTAATGCATGTTCATTATATTTCACACACGCTAGATCAGTGACACGGACCAACCGAAACATATGATGGCGCATTGAAGCTAGGTAATGTGTTAGACCTTGTGGCCCTACTACATCGAGTCCCTTCATCAGGCCATCCGCAAAGAACATGAGCACGCCTGAAGTTGCAGTTATGAAAACTGAAGATGACCGAAAGAAAGTCCATCCTACGCACCTGTCAACCCTGCACATTGCTGCGTCCCAACGGAAGTGACGAATAGGCCTTTCGACTTTCGCCAATGCCTCCTGCTCTGTGTCCAGGTTCTTCCCGTATTCTCTCCCGCATTGAAGACATACTTTCCGTTATCGAAGGTCACGATAATGGTGGGTTCCGTGTCTGAAGTGGCCGTGGACACGACAGAGACCGACCAGTTCATAGGGTTCTTTTGAGCTGCGCTCTCGTATCCTCTGCAAAGGAGTTGCCGGCTACAGATTCTGCTGAATCGAGAACATAGCAGGCCCGAAATCATGCACGCTGTTCTGATGAGACCGTTCGATAGGCAAAGAGTTGGGTGAAAATAATTAACGAAAGCCGAAATTAGAAAGGAAAATAATCCCGTGGGAGGTAGCAGCCACGGGGGCTTGATCGTCGTTCTCGGACTCCGTTTGCACCATCTTCCGACAGTCACCTTCAAAAGAGTGTGAACGAGCTTATTCGTGACGATACTGGCCCATTAAGTCTAATCATCACCATTGTACTCTGCTGAACGTCACCGCACATTTGGCTGCACTTCTGTTATTCAAGTTGTTCGCGCGAAACAGTTGAGGACTTGCAGCAGTCGGTGCAATTCATTAGTCCACAGTAATTCGAAACACATTAAAGATGGATTCTGTAGATCTCAGACCATGGTACTCGATGCCATTAAATCTCAGTTATCGTGGGGACCAGTCGCCGATCATGAACGCGATTATGATTCTCGCCCTCAGAACCGCTTCCGCCTGGTCCGGGCTGTTATATCCTTGCTGATTATCGTCTGCAGCGTGCAAGCTTTGACCAGGATATGGACTGCAGATAGCTATACCAAGCCTTTGATGAATACGGATTCGCTGACTGCACAAAGCAGTGATTTCGATTGGGTATCTGTACATCTCGTTTTCTTGAGGCGGTGCTTCCTCAGCTTCAATCTTTCTTCTGCCACAGATTTCTCCATCTAATAATATAATCTGGACGCCATGCTATTCTGGGCACCAATGTACGCGTCTGCTCCTCCCGCTTGATTACCTTTCGCCTGCCACCGTAACTCCCAATGTGACCATTGCTCTTCGCATGATTCCTGCTACCGACAAGGAGAACTATAAAGGAACCATCATGGTCAATCCTGGTGGCCCCGGAGGTTCTGGCACCGCATTTGTAGGCACTACTGGTGCGAATATCTCGCGCATCGTTGGCGGGTCCTATGACATACTCGGCTTCGACCCTCGCGGAGTCGGTGCAAGCACACCATCCTCAGCCTGCTTCGACTCTGAGGCAGAGCTCCGGATCTGGCTGCTCTCAGCGGCGCACATCCTTCCGAATCTCACTGATGACTCAATCAACTTGGTACGCTCCCGCGAACGGGCAGCAGCGCAGGTTTGCGCGAAGGCTCTGAACGGAACCGGTGAGGAAGAGGCGGGAGGGACGGCAGAAGACTGGGGCATTGGACGATTCATGAGCACGGCGAGCGTTGCTACCGACATGCTAAGAATCACCGAGAAGCTAGGACAAGATAAGCTACTATACTGGGGATTCGTGAGTAATTGATACACATACTAAAACAGCTATATCGCCGACTGATTGCACACAAAACAGAGCTATGGTACGATCCTTGGGCAGTACTTCGCAGCAATGTATCCGGACAAAGTCGGACGCATGGTCATCGACGGCGTCTGCGATGCGAACAAATACCGATCCTCAATCTGGAACACCAATCTCGTCGATTATCACAGGATTGTGGACTCATTCTACGTGTTCTGCCACCAGGCCGGCCCAGATAAGTGCACGCTCTATGAGCCATCGGTCGCTGCGATCGGTGCTCGCGTCGATGCCATCTTCAAGGCCGTCGAAGATGAGCCCGTCGAGATTCCCTTCACTGACTACGGCCCCACCGTTCTGACGAAGCGAACGCTATACGAGCTGGCATTCATCATATCGTACAAGCCGATTGTATTTTTCCCGTATCTCGCCGATCTTCTCGTGGCTGCAGAGAGAAAGAACCAGACGGCGCTCGCCACACTTATGCACAAAGAACTTCCGGGTTTCAGGTGTGACTGCAAGCAAACGCCGTTCTGGGAGGCCACCAACTCGGCATTTATGGCGGTCGGGTGTGGGGATGGGGATCCGGTGGAGTACAATCCAGAGACACACAGACAGAACTTCGCCGGCATGTACGAGATGGCGCCGACGGCTGCGCCGTTCTGGGACTGGCATCATTTGCGCTGCACTGAATGGCGTGTGCGCCCGAAGTGGCGGTACACAGGCCCGCTCGCGGTGGAAGGCACGGCACACCCAATGTTACTTATCTCCCCACGGTACGACACCGTCTGCCCGCTCGCGCATGCACAGGACGTGCACACGCGATATGCTGGGTCGGCACTCCTTGTGCAAGACTCTTACGGGCACTGTTCGACCTCGGCGCCTTCGCTGTGCACTGCGAAATATCTGCAGGCCTACTTCGAAAATGGAACGCTGCCGGAGGAAGGATCGGTGTGTAAGCCAGACGAGCTGCCGTTCGTAGGCATGGTCAATGAGACTCGAGCAAGCATGATGTCAGTGGAAGACAACGAGTTGCTGGACGCGATCAGAGGACTTAACGATGGGATTGCTACGTTTGGAGTGTGAGTTTGCGCATCAATGTCCAGAATCAATACAGACATTATGTGTCGATCGTCAATGTCTGCGCTATTAATAATCTTTCTACGACGAACATCCCAGCCAGGTGCAAGCCAATGGTCGCCTATTACGGGTACGGCGGAGTGATTCGCTTGGTCCGCATGTCAGGTATTGTCCGTGATCAGACAGTACGGAGATACATCGTCAAAATGATCAGTGTGATATACTCAAAAACCCCCATAGACTGTCCGATATTTACGGAAGGCAGGCTATATCACCCATGAGCCCAGTCACAACAAAGCCCATGGCTCATCCTGACTGCCATGCTCCCACTGGAGCTGCTGCTGCTATCGGATTATGCAGATCCCATTGATGTAGGGCCGGAAGCACTGGTAGATACTATCGCACCAGTTTCGCTGCTATGCGCTCCGCTAGTGGCCTCAGTACTCGATGCCGAGAGATAGCCGCTTTGCGTGGTGGCCGCGATGTCCGAATTCCCGAGTGCCAGAAAGCCGGATCTCTCGAGCATGAAGTGGCTATGTATGTAGCTGCCGGAAGAGAGGTGGTACGACTACACCATCACTCGATGCTAGGAGTGCATGAGTAGGTGGGTGGATGCGTGGATTCAGCGAGCTACGAGTGAGGAGGTGAGTGAGGAGGCGAGATAGTGGCGCAGATGCGTGGCGCGTCTCCTTCGTCCGTCTGCGCAGTAAGCAAACGTCCTTTCCAGTACTCATTTCCTGCGCTGTGTGCGAAGTTCACCCCGTCTGATAGTTCTACTAATGAATTGCGCTAGCGTTCGACTTGAAGCAAGGGTGATCGCCTAGGTTGGGTCTATCGTCCGGTCGTATTACAACTGATGTCGGCTCGTGCCTGATCCTATACATGTTTCTCTCCGGTGAGGGTGGGGGAGCTTGATGAGACACCGCATTCGCGGGTGCATGAAGCCCTATGAAGCCACGTATTTCCGAATGATTGTATTGACGAGCGGGCCATTACATAAGTCGGAAACCCGTTCTTTTTTACTCACGCCTGTGGCTGAATGTGTACCTCGTTTTTCACCCTTGTGGCGTTTTTCGCACCTGTGGCGTAGGGCGCGGGGAAATAGGCAACGCTAATTAGCCAGCGCTATTTTACCTATGTAAATTACCGGTAATTTACGGTTAATTTCGAAAGGGCTGAAAATCGAAGGTAATTTACGGTTAAACAGGAAGCGCCCGTGGGTGGGGAAGGGGGTGTTCAAGATGTCCATCAGCATCGGCAAACTCAAGGAAATTCTCTCAGACAATCAGACTCAACTTAATCAGCCGGTGCAGAAAAAGGTCACAGAGACGAGCAGCCTGACTGGGACCATTGGTAGTGGTGTGGTGGCGCAGAAGTTGTAATTTACCGTCATTTTAGGTTAACTTACCGGCTAATTAGCGTTAATTAGCCCGGAGTTTCGGGGGCTGCGCCCCCGGACCCCCATTTGTTAATTAACCATAAATTACATAGGTAAAATAGACCCTTGCAGGGGGCCATTGCTAAATAGCCGGTCACAATTCCTATTTCCCCGCGCCCTACTGTGGCGGGCCCCGAAAGTTGCTGCATTCACTCTTCTAGTTACATCTCTGTCATAGGCCAGCTTCTCCACCGAAAACTTCTGTGAGACCCTCCATGCATATGGTGGGTTCACTTTGGAAGACTAGTAGCGTCTAGTGCTCTTGATCATATGCCACGCGTCCTCCTGCCGTCTCTTGGTGAACCATTAACAATCGCCATGGGTACCGTGGGTGAATTCTCCTTCAGCGCTAATGTCCCACAGTATTTGATATCACACAATTTCTCCGTGTTCGTGCATTTCACGCAGTAGTGAAGTCCTGATAAATTCATCGATCTCCTTGACTGCCCTCTCTGTTTTCCCTTTCCCCGCATATGTGACTCATACTGCTGTATCAAACCCCAAGACCGCGCGTGCTGTCAATTCCCTGGCATTTCCTGCCTACTACTTCCTGCTCTCGTATGCATTGGTGACGCCTTTTGCCTCTGTCACGTTTGGTCTCCTGGTGTTTGGTCAATATTCTCATCCGTCTGACTTCTTGATTGTGTCGCTGCTGCTTTACGGTGCGTCGCACATGAAATGGCACACCCGTCTTGCATCACCATCTCATCCTTATTTCCCATGCAGGCATATATCCTCAGATATCTGACCCGATTGCTCCCTCCTCTTATGCTACCAGCTCGCGTGTGATCTGTGCCCATATATGCTGGTCCAGATACTGTACGGCGTACGGACGACTAGCCCAGGACTGATATCAGATGGTAGGCATATAGACATATCATGTTTTTATCTGTAGAGTTCATGACAGTTGACCGCTCATAGCGATCCATGCGGCCTTTAATTGCATGGCTATTGGTTGAGTCTCATTGCACCTGTGATGGCAAGGTTGTTACCGAACGAGAGATTCACCTACGTTCATCTTGTTGCAGATCTCTCACCAGCTGCGACTCCGCGGATGCTCAGATATGGATGCATCGAGACACTATCTGGGTTCGCGAACGGTATCTTTCTAGCTACGTGGCCAGAACGTCAATCCCCCATCACCGCCTCACCATTTGCATTGCAGCGAGATATGAAACTGGAAGATGATACCGCCAACGGCCGTACGTATGTGCCAGAGTAACAGCACTAATGTAACAGGAACGAGCTGCAGTAGAGAAGGCGGGTCTCATGTTCTTCATGCTCACGTTCGAATTATCAATGAAATCGAATATACTCACTTATGACAACAAAGTTTCTGCTTTGTCCTAAACATTGTACATTTACTGTAAATTGAAATATCTGTTCACCGCTGTATATCGCTGTGAGTTCAGGCCTCCTTGCGGTCATTTGGAACTGGGCGTGCGGATGCAGCGCAGACTCCCATAAGTGATAGTCGTAGAGGCCGAGGAGACGCGCTCGATCGAGAAGTTGTGAGGTCTACTTCACAGACCAAAGTGCATGCTGCCCTCAAGTATTGCCATATAACAATCATCCAGTCCCAAATGAGTCAACCCTTTACGACCCTATGATCTTGCTGGGGATAAGTTTTCACTGCCTGATTGGCCCTTTCCCTGTAGACTTAGCCTAATGCCGGGACGTGCCTAATAAGCCTTTCGGTTGTGGAATTTAAGTTACTTGGAGCGCTCCTGGCTCGAAGCCCAGTTTCCATCGATGAGCTCTTCTAGGACGCAGGTGAGTGCCATGGGCGCGAATATTGCGTGAACCAAATACAAGAGCGCGAAGTGGAGAAAGTAGGGGTGGGCATGCTGAAGACAGGGCAGGACGATGGCAGCGCACGCTGCTAGCTGAATGTGGCACTGAACGCAACGACGGTGAAAGTCGACAACTTGCTGCAGCGCGAGTGCACCAGTTAGAGCATACAGCTGTGTCCAGACGAGTATCATCCTTGATAAGGATATGCCTCAGCGGCCGTAGTATAGGTCGCGGGGGAGTACTGATGTGAAACAGAGTGGCAGTGTTCGCACGTTCGCGATAGAAGCAAAGTAAGACATTTCGGTCAGTCGATACTCGATGGGCGATATGAGTATAAGAGGTTATGATCATGCTCATGCTTCCATGAGCACCGGCCACTGCCTCACGGCGGAGTCGGCGCGAACGAGCCCCTTATTTCAATCCTGCGCCAGTGATGTCCGTCTTCCACAAACTTTGTTTAAAATTAGTCTTATTCTTGCATGAGACAATGTGCGAGATGAAAGCTTCCGCACAGGCTGAAAGGCAAAGAGTGCGAGCGTCTTGACGACTGTCCGCATCAGTGCTCAGCGCTCAGTGGTCCGATGCTTGAACGATATCTACTCTCGCCGATCAAACATGCGTCTGCGAGCTGTGCATAGCCGCCACATACAGTATACCTAGCCTTGCGAACGCCGCACCGCTTTCCTCTCACCCCCGTCCTCTCGCATCCCTTGCATTCGGACACTTCGTCAAAGCCATATTTCTGCTGTAGTCTGTGATCACTGAGAACTCGAACTATGGATACAACTCCCAGATACATTGATACGCCGCGCTCTGAGCCATCCAGTCCTCCGATTGTGACCACCTCGGAGCATTCTGACTTGACTGTACCTGAGTAAGATACATCCTTATCCATTTAACCTGTTTAAGTATTTCAATAAACCTGTCATATCACAGAATCTCAGACATACAAACTGTGGAGGGTTCACAAAAAACTCCATTCCCTCCAGACTCTCAAATTCTGAATATACCAGCACAGTGAGCATTTCCTTGTGTTCAGTCTTATATATTTGTCATCTGTCTGTCAAAACCTTCAAACCCAAGTTTGTCAAACACTGTGGGCCAGAGTGGCCTTCTGTTGACAGCAGAAGCTCAACTCAGGTAGGTATCACTGAACTCACAGTGTCATCATATACATCATTGACAACCTTGAGCAGAAGACAATTCAGTTCTGAAACTTGTGAAATGTTATTAAAGGCATATCTTGCAGTGAAGGATACAAGTGCTGGGTATGTCATGATTAGCACTGAAAATGCTGTTACAATCCTGCTTAAGCTGTATGACTAAGGAGCCTGTTGCACAACATCATCAAACTTGTGCTGGATGACAGCATGGAGAATAAAGCAGCATTGCAGTATGTGTGCAGTTTCTAAGCTATAAGCATCACATTATTAATCAAAATGTAGACTAGAACACTTTACAGATCTCAATGCATCTACGTTGACCATTGATATTGATGGAAATTTATCACAAATTCAAGGCAGCATTCCAGATTCTTTCACACTGGCTATGTCAGACCTTTCTCAAGAACTTCTGAAATGTTATCACAAATCACACCTTCTAAGTGAACTAAAGAAGGTGGTGATTATAGGAAGAATTGCACTGCAGCTAGCTTCTAATGGTCATGAACACAAGCTGATATATTGCAGCATTCTTGCATATGCCTTGCAAACACAATTTCATCATACCAATGATCTTACATATCTTGATCAGACCATTGCTCTGCAGAAAGATGCAGTACAGCTGACACCAGATGCTCATGCAGACAAGCCTGGCAGACTCACCAATCTTGGAAACTC